AAACCTGACATTTGAGCCTCCTTAATCTTTCCAAGTTTCTTCCTTCTAGTTTTTACTTGCAATGGAGTAAGGTCAGTATACAACCATATTCTTTGTCTTTTGAAAATAGATGTGTTGGCCATGATCGTATCATGTGGAGACTGGTTGACAAACTTAACAAGAATGGCGTGAGGTTGTGTGCCAGTTTTTCCGAAACAATCCGGGCTAAGTGTGGATTTTCAACATGTAGTGTCAACTAATAATTAAGTGATGACACTCTTCATATCTTCATTTTCTATTTCAGGTAAACAAGATATCATTCTTCTTACAAGATTATTGATTTGCATTTTTTATCTCTTGTTCTTGACTGAAAGAAATATGCGCAACATTAATGACCTTGACATACTACTTGAGTTTTAATTCTAAGGTGTCTACCATTGTGTGTAATCTTGGGCTACTAGGAACTATAATTTTGTGAAGCTTTCAACTCTCATATTTGAGTATGAGCAAGAATGAGCTGGACAGTTTGTACCTTAAATTCTTGTCGAGGTTCATCAAGATCGTCCAAGATTGTTTGATACAACTTGAGTATTTCTTTTTGAGAGGCCATCAACACTCTTTTACACTTATTCTCAACCAATCAGAGTAGCTTATTTTTCATGTAGAACAATATCTCCTCTCCAAAATTGCGGACGATTCCTGGTGCCTTGAGAAGCTCCAAAATCTTCACTACTTCCACTTGTAGAAACTATGATCTTCCTCCCAAAAAAACCACGGGCACTCTATCACATGTGAATCGTAGACATTTGCTTTTGTAGCCGTCGCTATGTGTAGGATCACATTGCTTCATTACTCTAGATGTATCAATGTCCGATCTTTTCCGCAATCATCGCTATATCCGTCGTCATCGCTAGCCCCTCACCACTTCATTACCTCCGACAGACAGCACATCAACCTTGATTTAAGTTTTATTGAATGTTTTCCTTACATTTGAAAAGCCATAGCGATTGGCAGTTCACCTTCGCATGTTGACGTTCTCATCACCAGCCACATTCTATTTCGTGCGCATTCAATCTCTCTTCAAATCTTTCATTGCATTCATCTTGCTCCACCCTCCTTCAACTTCCTCCAAAATCACATTGAAGAGAATATGCTGACAAATCGCATCTCGTACATCGTATTACTTTGCCGTTGCTATTACAGCTTGTGGTCACTTCGCCTCCGCACGGCACTCCCTCCCTCGCTCTTCCTTTGAGAGAGAGAGTTACATGAACCGTCGTAGCCATTGCAGTCTCAAGCAGTGTGATGGCCGACAGGAAGATGAAGAAGGAGCCAAGTCCACCGGGCTTTGACTAGAACAGTGTGTTTGTAAGAATACGCAAAATCCAACGACCTTCTAACTTCAAAGTTTTTGAGTATCTTTTGGTACTATAAATAGAGAAGCTCAAAATATCCAACTAGGTACATATTCTTCATGTTATCAATACTACTTTTATTTTTTTACTTTGAATACTATTTGAAGTCTTGTATGCGTTGCCATCTGCAATAGCTTGACGATAGTTCACTATCAATCTAGTCTCTAGCTCATGCGTTGATTTAAAAAAAATAAAAAAAACATAAATAATCAGCTTTTGAGTTTTTACTTTTTGTGATCATTTCAAGAGTACACGATCCAAAGATTTGCTATTTCATTTATTTATGAACCTGTGATCATATCAAATTCAAGATGGTTGATGCTTCCAACATCCGGATACACGACGTGAAAGTTCAAGAACTACAATACAAAAAATGTCAATAAAAATTGTCATTAAAAAACTCTAAGTTGTTTGCGTTGCAATCTTTATTTTAGCTCCCATAGCGAATTCTGTTCAACAAGCGTTACAAATAAGCTTGCAAGATAAGTTTGAGTTGTCTTTTATTTTAAGCAAACAAATATTCAAAAAAAAAACACAAGTCAAAGGCATTGAATCATTATTCATCAAAATTGTTTTACTTTTGTTTTTGTTATTATTGAAACATGATTCTTCACTTCTTGGAGACTTTGTTTAATTTTTGGAAAAATTCAGTCAGAAGTTTGGAGAAAAAGATCAAGGTTTTATAGAAAATAAAGTTCAAACACATAACAACAATTGAGGTTAGCTTTAGCATTTGTTGCAAAATTTCAACAACTTGCTTGTGATTTTGATTGATATGAGAAGGCTCTCATCATCATGTTTTGATGTAAATCAACATCAATATTAAAACCTTATTGCTGAATTTACCGACATCAACTGCTATGTTAGAATCCATTACTCAATCAATCAACAACAACAATTGCTTTTTGGATCATGGCGAACGGATTACACAACTCAAGACCGTGAAACATTATCAAGCATTTTTACCTCAAAGCTCATGCAAATTGATAATTCAAAAACATCAAAAGATAAAAGCAAATAAATCTTGAAAGCAAAATTCAATAATCTCTTAAGATAAAGTTTGACTTTTGTGTCGCAATTTGAAGACTCATTGATCAAGCAATGACCTTGATTATTCTTGTGTTGGACATTTTTTCAAAAGTAACAACGTCAACAAGTTAACATATAGCTTAAAATTGCCATCATTTATAAAATTTCATACAATGTTTCATGTTTATTTGCTTGAACCGTTCCAAAAAACAATTTTTTTAAGACGGTTGCTAGCATCTCCATCACCAATTGAGATTAACAATAAAGAACAATTTGATGATTAAAATATCTTGTACATTGGTAAGGCTATGAAATAAACAAACGAACTTGAATACCTGCTACTAATCTTGCTAAAACTTCCAAAATGATAATAAAATTTCATCGTCAATACTGGACAAAACAGAGTATCAAAGATATATGAATTCAACACGTTCGGATGAACACAATCATTGAATCAAACATCGTCAATACTCGATAAAACAAGTGTCAAAGATATTTGAATTAGAGTCCTGCAATGGGAATCCATATCTATGAATAAATGGATGGATACTGGGTATGAACTAGGATGCATGGATGGGTTATGGGTTTATGCAAAGAATCGGTGGTTAATGGATTAGTATGACTTAAACTAAGCTCGCTGATGAAGTGTAATTAAGAGCTCTTGAATTAAGTGTAAAAAATAACAATGATGGGCTGATGGATTTGAATTGGATATGAAGTCATGAGTAATGGATGTATAAAAGTTGTCATGGATGGATAATGGGTACAGTTGATCCATTCATGTGTATGAGTTGAGTATGGGTAAGGTTTTGAAGCTCAATGCATGATTTTGATTTGAATCTAACACGTTTGGATCAACACAATCATCGAATCATTCTGTAAACATAATCATCGAATCATGTTGTAAACATGTGACTCCCACATGGACTTCTTATAATAGAAATTTAATTTCTATTTTTGATAAAATAGATAGAATAAATCATGAAATTCATAAAAATATAGTAGTGATGAAGGTGTGAACACGTGCTAACTTTCTAACCTTTGAGGATGTGCAGAAGTTGGAGACAATAACTCTTTCTAACTCTGGAGTTTCTCAGTATCGTCCTAGCAATATATATATATATATATATATATATATATATAGTCTTTGAACTCTATTTTATCACTTTCGTCAACATTAGTTGTACATACTATTTTACTTATCAATACTTCTTTTAGTTTTTTCGCCTTGAGCGTTATTACTTTCAGTTTTTTCAAATGAGAGTTATTCCGAATCTTATGTGAATTGCCATACTCAACATGATGATAATGAGCTTGGACTTGGTATGAATCAAACTATTTATGTTCATCATTAGCTTATTTTCAGATTTTGAATATGTTACTAACTTGTTAGTACTTGAATGTCTTGCATCATGTTGGAACTTGATATGGATATGATTATTAGTGATTTATGATTAATTAATAAAATCTATTTTTTCCAAAACTATATGCGTGTGTATTGATTTATTTATTAGAGTAAATGGAGGAACACATGTATATAAAAGAGATGAAAAGATTACATCAAACATAAACAAAAATATAAGTATATGAGACTACATAGCTATATCATCTACTATGCTCAATCTATCTACAATTTATAACATCCCCAAACAAACATGATGTAATTACTTTGGAGAAAATTACTTTATGGTACTCCATTGGAACACAAATTGCTTGATGAGATCTATCACGTTTTTTTTTACTTGATGGGATCCCACTGAAGGCACATTAACACGAAGTTCTTGTAATAACCTTGAGATCAACGCGAGTGCAAACACTAGTTCCAACACTAATCTGAGATGGTAGTGGATGTTGGACAAATGAGAGAGCATTCAAGAGCAGAGAAGTTAGAACTATGTTATCTCTTGTGTTAGAGGAGAATCGATACTCCTGTACCGAGCCATCGGCACTTGAAAGCTGCGAGCTGCTCTACACATTTAATTCAAGTACTCATTGATGAGCTTCTTGTATTTTCAGAACCTTCACGCATACCCGCTTCAATAGTGTGTGAGAAATCATAGTAATTCGCATGACATAAATTCTTTGTTTAGCAAGGAGTTGGACTTTGAGAGAATTCATTCTTGAAACAAACATCTTATTCTATTTTGCAAACTAGAATAGAATTTTGAGCCATCAAATTGAAATCCAATCCAACATTAGTGCTAGGATTTCAAGTTCATCCGCGAAGTTGGTCACAAAAATAGTAAAATAGATTGAACAAAGTTAGAATTTGCAAGCGAACACTTCTCCACACCGTAGTTAGTAGGAGTATTAACATTAACTTTTTTTAGAACTTGGTGGGAGTTCCATATTGTAAAACCAAACCTAATGGATCACATCAAACAATTTACTCAATTACTTTCTAAAGATTTGCTATTGTATTTATAGTGGATATCTATAGCACTATAATATGTTTTAGATGGTTTAGGTAAGACTAATACTCGATGAACATGGACTGTCAGTAAGGACTGAGAGTAAAGGGAGTCGCGGTGAGACGTCACGGCCGGTCTGGCGCGTCGCGATTCCACTTTGGCGACGGCGCGGCCCAAATCGAGCTCACAATGTCGATTGCCTTCAATTCTGTGCATGCTCCAGTGCCGGTCTCTCCAACCCTTCCCTTCAGCAACTACATTTTGAGGTCGGGCTTGCATTCGCGCAGTATTGCAGCGTAGTACTCGCAGGGAGGAGTTGCTGCTCGCAGCCAGAATTTGGATTGGAGCTGTTTGGGACGTCTAACAATTCGGCGGTAGAAGCTGTTGAAGATTGATCAGGTAGTCTTGCGAAGTTGAGCGGAATGGATTGGTCGGGCGAGTCGGAGTATGAACTGTGAGCGGTGAATTGGACCTGCGGCAACAAGTCCACGAGCGAGAACTCGAAAACGTCTGAAAGAGAGCGTTGCAAGCGAAAGGAACATGGCGCTGGTCGGGAAAGGGAATTTTTTGAGCTTGGAGCCTGGACAGTCTGTGAGATGCATAGCTTCATGTGCAAAACCTGTATCTCGCCCGTTTAGGGCTTTAGCTGCGGGAAAATGGTCAAATGTGGGAGACCTTTGCAGTAGAAGTATTCATACTCGTCGTGTTGCCCGTGTGGATGAATTTGAGATCTTCGGAATTTCGAGGGTGCGGCAGGTAAGACAGAGACTTCGTATGCAGAACAGGTTTATGGCTCAGTCAGACATGGTCACGCCGGAGCGCGGTGAGAACGAGGATGCTACGGGGGCCCACGCGACAGAGAAACCAATGCCAGAGAGTATGTCCGTGCCCCTTTGACGTCGGGATTGTAAAATTTAGTCCTCTATCTTTTCAGTTGAGCTGACGCGCGTCCTGCCCTGCCCTGAAAAGTGTATCTAGACGAGTGCTCTGAACTGCCATAATTCTGGAGATTCTGAATCCACACAATCCTTGATGTGATTCAGGGATATACGGTTTGAAGATGGAAAAAATTCCTGATTTGAGCTTTAGTTGTCTGAGTTTTCTGCTCTTCCTATCTTCTTCCTTCCTTCCTTATGAACTGCAATATGATCATGACGCTCAAACCATCTCGTTACAAATCATGGCGAGAACGTATTCTCGTCCCCCAGGAGCTTCTGGAAATGACAGAAGTTCTGTAATTTGGCAGGGGTAGCGGAGATTAAAGGGGAGCCCAGCTCCGCCTTTGCGGTGGCCATTCGAAACTTGGGCTTAAATGTAAAAAATGAAAAAGGGGAAATTCCTGTGTTGAAGGATTGTTCGCTAAACGTTCCGGAGGGTCAATTGTGGATGCTATTAGGACCAAATGGGTGTGGAAAATCTACTTTGCTCAAGGCCAGTCCCTCCTCTAATTTCTTCTCCTCAGGTACCGAGTAAAGCAAATCTGAAAATATGTAACAATTTTCTGAACTATGCCCATACAAAGCAGAGATAATGTTGATGATCTTTCTGTTGAGCTGGTTGCAGGCAATGGCTGGATTATTGAAGCCGAATCGTGGTAAAATGTTCGTAATTGGCCCTAGGAGTTTTGTCTTTCAGAATCCAGATCATCAGGTACTCGCGTGTGATTGGCTGAATTGAAAGATTGTGCTCTCAGTATTTTTTACTTCATATACACTTCTGACGGTTTTTATTACTTTACTCGTCAGGTTGTCATGCCAACCGCCGAAGCAGATGTTGCCTTCGGTTTGGGGCGCTTCGAATTGTCGATTGAGGAAGTGCGAGAAAGAGTTCATAACTCTCTAAAAGCTGTTGGGATGGACAGCTATGCTCAGGTATATATAGAGTGTATTACAACTTCTTCTTTCAAGTAAGAAACTTTTTATATCAATAATGACAACCTTATTTGTCAGGCTGATCGTCTCTTTGCCTGAGTCGAACGTAAGGGTTAAACCCATTGTAAGGAAGCGTATGTACTCATCATCGAGTATATAACGAACAAGAATCTGACAGTTTGTCCAATTGAAGACCGTGTGGCTCAACTTGTTGCGTGGGACTAACACTTGCCTTTGCCCAGAAGAAGTACTGTGAGGAGGTGCTTCTAACATCGTAAGATCGAGAAGTCATGGGTACTGATGCCAAAACGCAATGTGCAGAGGCCAGTACAAACTCTTAGTGGGGGACAAAAGCAGCGCATTGCAATAGCAGGAGCTCTGGCAGAATCAAGCCGCTTGCTGCTTCTTGATGAACTCACTACATATTTAGACAGAGGCGATCAGGTAGTGCATCTTGTCTACAATATCATTGTGCTCATGGCATCTCCTTTACCTGTCGCCTAGTTGCGTGAACCTGATCGGTGTGTTTATTGCTCATCAGATCGGGGTTTTGGAGGCCGTCCGTCAGGTGGTCGGTGTTGAACAAAAAGTTACAGCTTTGTGGGTTACCCATAGACTTGAGGAGCTAGAGTACGCCGATGGAGCAGCTTACATGGAGAATGGAAGGGTTGTTCTTAGTGGTAGTGTAGCTGAAATTGAAGCATATATCAAAAGAAAACAAGCGCAGTTTTACAGTGAGCAGGAAATGTTGAGATGATAGAGAAGCACGTTCTGGTCATGAGATCTAAGCTTGCGTCGACTTCGTGCGTATAAGCATGTGAGTCTCAACATAATCTTTTGCAGTTTCGTCTCCTCGAGCTTATTTGTGTTTTGAGTTGGTGATCCCCATCGTTGCCATTCAAGTTGGCTACTTCGTCTAAACTGGGCTATTCTTGTCTACTGCATTTCATACACAGTCGTATGTTGAACGTAAGTTACTCCTCTTGGCGATGTCACATTCTTGTCTATTTACCCTCAAAGTTCTAACTATCATATATTCTTAATACGGACACCTCATATCGTTTTAATATTCCTTTTACGCGGCCCTTCCCACGAGTGGGATTTTTGCTCCTGGAACAGAACAGTAGTTTAAGTTGAGTTGCGCGGAAAGTACGATTATAGACCGATTGTAGAACGATTCAGGAACGGTTTCAATGGGTCTTCTCGCAAGTTCCTTCTCCAATCATATGATAGTCTCAAGTAAGCTGAGATGTTATTTAGAGGTTGAGTTGTCTCTAAGATTTCATATCTAGTTGAGTTTCCATATTTATTTCACATAAGGTTGAGTTGTCTCTTTTGATTTCATATTTTTGTACAGTCTATGAAATTACGAAATTGTAACATAGTTTTTTTTCCCCGAAATTATATTAAGAAATAAACCTGAAATAGCCACATTCTATCGATGTCGAAAAGTAATACGAAATTCAGATTGATAATTATATCGTTTAATAATATGCAAATTCACCAAAAAGTCTTTTCGTTGTCAAATCCATTTCAGTGGATTTGATAGCAGGTAAAGGATATGACAACAAAAAACTTAAATCATTGTATCACACATATTTTCGGCTTCTCAATATCTGTAATTTTCAAGAATAAATATCTTAGGTTTTAAGTAGAGAATTGAACATTGAGTTTCGATTCAAGTTTATATACTTTACTCATCGAAACGTTTCCATTTAATAGAATTTTGGAGTATTTGATTACAAGAAAATCTTTACATCGTAATATAAAATTTGTAATATCAAATACCTTCTACAGAAAATTATACTCTATAGGAAGATAACAAAATTTCATGAACTTTGGTATCGATCATTAATATTTATTTCTTTATATCATAATTAAAATTAATATAATGAATTTGATAGTCAATGAAATAAGTTTCATTTTAACTAATTCTTCAATTTATAAATGATCTAATCGATTTAATAAAAAATTCTTCGAAAAATGGCTAAAATTACACATCAGTTGAAAATTTTTTCATGTGTACATAATCATCAATTTATTGAAGGATTTATATTCATATGTACGAAATTAAAATATGATACTTATTAATTTTTGAACCATTCACATTTATTGAAATCAGTTAAGACGTATAAATACATCTATTTTCATCCCACTATAAACATTGGAAGTACATAGTTATTGTTTGATTTTCGTTTGGCATTAACATTTGATAATGAACTTGATGCATGAGCATGGACATAATTTTTTTGTCTTTTGTAATTTCAAGTAGATAATCATATTAAATCATTCAAAAAATAAACTTGAAATTTCGTCTGTATCTATCCTTGATAAATACGGACATGAATAAACTACCAAGTACAGTAGTACAAACACAAACTGTCAATTTTAGGATTCTAAGGAGATTTTAGTCGAGATCTCAACTCAAAGTCACATAATTTAGTTATTGCGTACACAGTAATTAAGTCAGGACATTCTCTTCTAACCTATGCTTTGTGAAGCTTCATAGAAATTCAACTGATATCAAACTCTAAGAAACAAAAGTTTCGGCTTCACCCAATGATTAGATCCAAATCGCGTTGTCTTGTAAGCTTCTTATATAACCTTTGTATGCGGTCTGAATTTAAGCTTTCCCCTCTGATATTGTAGAAATGAGTTGTGTATATAGACAGAGTGGAATGTTAAAACGATCGCAGATGCGTGTTCATATTACCTGTCAAACCACAGATTTCTTTCGCAGGCATTATAATCTACGGGCGTGTTTTTGGCTTCCCACTGCACAAAAAGATCCATCAGAGATGATACTTCCAACAACTTCCCTGCAAAAAAGGATTGACCAGCTCACTCCCAAGCTCATTTTGGAATCACTCTCCACCCTCCCTGTCACCAGGAACATCAATAACTACAAAAACAACCCTACATATATGCAGGGTTGTTTTTGTAAAAATCCACTTGGATATGATCCCTGGGCTTGTTGAGATTTTTGAAAGAAGACGCATCTGGAGTCGTTTTAACATTGGATATATCTATCGTTGAATGTGGTCGTAAAATAATTTTTTGTATTTAATTGGGAGTAAGCAAAAAAATAGTGCAAATGAAGATACACAGATGTGACACCAGGAGAAAGTTGATAAGAAACAGGCAGCGAAAATGTTGATAGGCATCGTAAAAACGGATGATTAATTTTTAATTTCGTAGTAAAAACAGAATGTGAGCCCGTATCCATTCCACTTCCGCAAATCCATACGTATGAAATGCAAGCACACCAAGTGCCGCAAAACGACCACATCTTATTTGCAGTTTCAAAAGATCAGTAACAGAATTTCATGAGTTCCATACATGTGACGAGGGATAACATGGGGGCAAGGTAGATGTAATCCCTGTACAAAAGTTAATAAATTCCAGCAAGACGAACCCGTACATTTAGATGAACAACAAACAGCCCTTCGGACCTGCGACTCTATAAGTATCTAGATTTGAGGAACCTCATGTGCATGTCCCCATTCTGATTCTAACTAGCAATTTACTAACAAGTCCTCATGGTTCTAAGCTGATCGTAGATTTATTGCAAGTTTTGGGTTCTTGCTGTGACAACCAAAGTGCGAATTACCATCGGGTTTCTAGATTCTAAATGTGACCCGTTGGTGAATTCACAGTTCAAACGCTAGCCAATCGTCAAGAGTACTATGGAAAGAGTCTGTCAAATGTACCGCTGAGGTTTACAACATATATTGTTGTATCACGTAGTTTCACCACGTGGAAGACAACGGACATTACAGCAACTTTCATCCATGCAACTCTTCACCGCTATCTCCATCCGTTATGGAATCTTATATACATCACAATCAGAGAAACGATGTCTCTAGTGACGAAGAGGTAAATTGGAGTCCAGAGGTGTGGATAGAGACCAACCAGAAGGGTATGAGAGGCTGGTGCTTTCCAGGTGCAGGTGCCACACCATAATCTTGTTGCACCCACTTGGTAGACCCTCCATCTGACTTTCATCTTCTACCAGTTGCTCTATAAATGTTGTCTCCTGCCAAAATTACATACTGAATATAGTCAAGACAATATACTGGCACGGAGGACTGATAAGGGCGGGATATGCATAAAGGGACTATAAAGTACAGTTGCTTTCCCCTTAGGAACAAATGAGGTTATTGTGTGTCGTGAATAAACATAAATAAACAAATCATATCTCATAACGTTATCTTAAACGTGACATGTTATTGGAAATCTCTCATTCAGGGAGTAATATAATACGAATCTTACAGAATACTCTCACGTACTCAAGTCAATAGATATCCAACCAACCTGCATTCCTTCTTTTATTGTATCCAATTGTCTGATTGGTTCCTCCGACCGGTGTCGCCACGCACTTTTGTCCCACAGCATTGTGCTGTTGAATCCAAAGCCAGACATATCCACGTGAAATCTACGTAATCTCTTGCTCTTCTCGTTTGTGTGCCAGCCTATCACCTTCCCTTCATCACAAACAGGTCCTTCGACAATGGTTTTTGCCTTGCTTTCTGCGAGCATACCCACGGGCCAAGTTCCAAATCTCCTGCACAGTACATCAGGACAAGAAAAGTCAGAACTAATATTCAAACCAGTTCATATGATAAAACAAGCATCAAAGCACGCACATCACATAGTTCCTCGATTGGCCCTCCAGACAGTGGAGAAATTTTGAGACCTCGATAAAATAATCTGGCAGGCCTTCGGTCTTGCAGAATATACATACTTCTAAGGCGAAGGAAGGATACAACTAGAAGTTCAGAAATAAACTAGGCCTGAGATGCCTTGTACCTGGGTTTGATAGAGCTAAGACTCACTAATTTCATACTGACTGCGTGAATATAGTAAGAGAAACGCACATCCATTATAAAAAATACCAAAATGCGAGAGAGCTCATCGCGTCTTAGTATCGAACAACTGCTACAAATTTGGCAGAAGTTTACTATTTTTGAGAAAGAAAAGAAAAAGATTGTACAACTATGAACTCAGATACTGGTGAATCATCCGTAGCTTGCAAACGAAAGGCTTCGTAATTGAGTGCTTGCTCATGCACTCAACGACTGTCGAGTCGTTGAGTGCTCAGAACTCGAAAGCTGATACGAGGTTTAAACCCGCCAAATTTTTCGATGTCAAGTGCTCCTCTTGACAAAAAAAGTTTGATTCAGGTGCTGCTTCCTCCATAGTACTCACAGTAAGATGGAGAGTGCCTTGGAGGAATCTGCACCTAAATCGAACCCTCAAAATCTTTATGTGCGCAGTTCACCCAAGTCTGTCAGCATAGCAAATACAAGGTGTAACCGACTGGTCCTCCCCAAGAATGCACACGTTCGCATCCACCTTTTCATATAACACATTGAGTTACAACCACCAGTTTGGTAAGCTCACCCCGTTCTTTCTACCAGAGGTGTCCAATCAGGAAGTTCAACTGCTTGATGTAATTCCATTCCTTTTGAGGGCAGAAATCAAGACACATTACCGTAACTTGTAACGGTCGCCATAAGTTGGATTCCCAAAAGGATTATTGGGCTAGAGAATACTGGAGTTAGGAAGCATAGGTTCTGAACTAGAGAATCACACGGTCCCTAATGGCATTCGTGATCCTAGTCTGCCATATTACTTCGAACAGTAGCAAATACTTTTGGTGAAAAAGTAGTCTGCAACAGATACTCGAGACCACAGGATGAAAACATAGAATTCAACAATGAAAAATTCTCACTTCAGCTGATGGCTGCACAGATTTCTAAGAGTTGTGGAGCATTATTGCTATTGATCGTTTCACGAACTTGAGGATGTGGAAACATTTTTCAAACCGGACAAATTTACCTAGTTGATAACCTTCGAAAAGTCTTGAAGAAAAGACAGCTCAAAAGGTGAATGAAAATTACTTGATTTTACGCAATTGCTCGAAGAGTTCAAGAGAGTAGATATTGTCATCATCTGCAAAATAGACAACTCCATCCAGCTGGTGCGTCTCGATGTGTTTCAGTGCCGCATTGCGCTGAAAGATGCCTCGGTCTTTGAAACTTGTCATGTTGTCGTTGCAAACAAGGTGCCTGTACATTATCCCCGTCTGCCTAAGCAGTGTCGCCGTTTCAATAGACTGGCTGGGAGATTCTACCACGAGCCACAGGAGAGGAGGAGGAACGAGCCTCAGAGTATGCGCCAGCCGAACTAAGAAGTGTGCCTGAAAAGCTCTGTTGTACGTCGGGGTGACTACAATGATCAAATTTCGTTGCGAATCCCTGGTGAAATTCAAACCTGGAGCAATCTCCAAACTGCTCTCTTCTAGGAAAGCTAATCTCGATGCCACTAAACTATCTGACGCATCAACATCCAAGTTTAAACCCCCGAACCCCTCCTGTGCTAAACCTACAGCGCCTTGTCCAGATTCAAGCTCTATAAGCTTGTGCCCTGACTGGCTGCCTTCCCTCGGCAAATTGGTGACAAACCCATTGACCTCCAGAGCAAGTTCGCGCCGTGGATCATCTCTTTCGGCCGCAAGTCCAGACCAGCTGATTGGAGTGAATCCCAACACCAGCCCCAACACAAAGGACAACAGCAGCTGCATCATAGGCCTCCTGTACAAGGTTCCCTTGGACTTCATCGGCCGATCCATGGAGCCCGCTCGGCTCAGAAGTTTAAACCACGACAAACCGGAAAGGAAGGACAACTTGCTAAGATTGTAAAAGCCATCCGAAATTGAACTCGCACGAGCCAGCGAGCCTCCCGGGGACGAGGATCCGAGCACTCCGCCTAGACCTCCCCCACCGCCACCTCCGGACGCCAGCGACGTCAACGATGAAATGTGACTACTCATCTGCTGCTGCTGTTGCTGCGGGGGGGTGTGGAGTAAGCGCCCCGCCGAGGGTGCCGCTCCGCAAACAGCGCCTCCTCCTCCTCCTCCTCCTCCTCCTCCGTCCGCAATTCCGTTCTGCATAACGAACGCGCTATTCATCGTCGCCCTTCCGCCAATGCTGCTGCTGCTGCTGCAGCCGCTGTGCTCGTGATGAATGTGCGGTGACAGCGTCCGCCGCAGCGCTCTCGCCATTCACCTGCTCGGCAATTCGGCGAGCAGACGGCGAAGCTGCCTCGTCCCTCCTCAGGGCTCGCCCTTCCTCCTCCTCCTCATCTTTCATCGGCGCTCCTCTTCTGCTTCGCACTCCGCCCCGTCCTCGCGCAAAAGTACAGCGACCATTTCAAAGTCGCCACCATCTCGAATTCCCCACGCCCGCGCCCGCTCCTTCAAACTCGAGCAACACGCTCCCCGCTCCACGCTCCACGCTCCTCGACCTGTCAAAGAACAGGAACCGAAGCGGTCGCCAGCCTTAGCGCCAGCCAGCTTCACTCGCTCGGACCCTCGGACCCTCGGGCGCCTTCTCAGTGAATCTGCGACTCGCGAGCCGACTGTCGATCCGACTCGTCCGAAAGTCCTTCGTCCCAATCAATCAGTTCGGTCCGCCAGTCAAGCACAACGCACACACAGCTGCATCATTTGTACCGGCGTGTCAGTGGTCGCGGCGCGTGCTTCAACGGCTTCGCTTGCATAGACCACAGCGTAGCATGACATCCTCTTCTCGTGAAGTCCGACCATATACTTCTCCTCGTCTGCGCCACTGTAATGCATCGACGCTCCTCCTCCTCCTTTCCCGGCCCCACTCCTTCCTGTTCTTCTACGAATTCTTGATCTCGTTCGAGAACTTCCCCTTGTCTCTCACGAAGGTCTGGAAGGCAATTCCCTAGGCATACGGTTTCATCCTACAATATCGTACTGCACTGTCCATTGTACGCTTTCCCCATATTTAATTCTTTGCTTTATTTATTTGTTATTCTATTTTATGAGATATCTTAGAAAGATATGAGATTTATGTAAGATAATGCCGAAAATATGAACCTGCTTAGTGTTTTATCGAACTGAATGAAAAATGGGGCGGCGCATGGAATAATCACATGGTCTTCCATGTACTGTATATTTGCACTTTATGCTCACAGTGATTCGCTTGAGTCTTCATTTCGCCCTATTGGTGCTGTTTATTTGGTCGTATGTGACCTGTAGATGATAGACCTACAGAACTGTCCTGAACCACGAGAGATGCCATCACGACAAGGCACATGTACTGTACTCTACGGCGATGGATGCTGGGAGTCTTCGATTTGAGGAAGCTGCAACTCGTGAAGGTCTTCAAGCTTTGGTGAATATGGGAACGACGTGAGACCGCGTAGTGAAGAGAAGACTGTGGGAAGAGCCCGTCAAGTCGACTGAAACAAAGATTGATGATTAGTGTGTGTTTGAAGAATTAATGTTCTAGAAACATATCACAGAAGTCACAGGAACAAATAAATATCAGGTGTCAAGAAATCAGATGACAGTTAGTAATGTCCAGATGGAGACTCGTTCGTAGGACATGGAAAGAAGAAATCAGTCACCAGTCATGTAACATAAAGTAATGGCTACAATTGTTCCTCATTTCCTTGTCAATAGAAAGAACCAATAACTAGTAAAGGGTGTATTCCAAGAAATAAGCCCACTTGCAATTTTACTGTACATCGCAGACATACAGATATTTTCTACCATCCTTTGAATGGATGGAGCGTTTGCAGTCCATTGATCATATTTTGACACAGATTTTTTACTGTTGCCTGCAAGAAGAATATGCTTTTCGAGATGAGAATGACATGTTTGTATTTTTCCGTTTAGTTTTGCGCTGACTTGGTCGTGAGGCTTGTTACACAAGGAACAACAGTTCCGTCCGCATAACAAAATTTGCCCCAAACCAGAACCCTGAATTCAACATGAACTAAAGCAAAAATGTGGTGATTGCACAGCTCATCTCGTGGCGCAGGCAGATGTTAGGGTTAGGGTCATACATCTCACGGCCATTCCCGTGAGTTCAGCTTTACTAGATGATAAAGATGATGACGGCCTGCGCAGATGCTTTCAAGAAGTGAAGTGACGGGAAAGTAGGCCCCGAAGGTTTGACAAGTCATTTGATGTACCACCTCTCTTCGGCTGAAGATGAGGCCCGAAGAGAGGCCTACGTCTCGGAACGGTAAGCAGATTATTGAAGTGGCAGCTGCCATGTTTCAATTATGGAGCCCACCGCGATTGCTCAATTGAACGGAGATCACCGCGTGGGTCTTCTTGAGCATTATGCACAGGTTTGGGCTATGCCCTATTGAACAGTGAAAGAATGATAACAGTACACGACACTTGATATCATTGTCTAAAGTACAAGGAATATCTAGCAGGGGTTTTCAATTTACCTTAAAATTACAAGAAATTTCTACTACATGAGCTTGAAGAACAACCGACCTTATGTCCAGGTGTATATGACTCTTAAACTAGGTACCATGACTCTCTTCAGGGAGCACCTGACAAGTGAATCAGTACACTTCACAATGTCGCAACTTTGATCATCGAAACGAAAGTATCAAAGATTACAACGAGGTCAGGGAAAACCCATGTCTGAAACAGGAATTACAAGACTACAAGTTACAAGGGTTGCAATTGTTGGTAACCGTTGTTGAAAGAATCAGAAAAGGGAATAAGACTTCTGTGGCGTGAGCAACAGTTGCACGGTGCTGGGCAAATAGGGTGAGGATACTTCTGCTCAATGTCTTCGACGGCATGATGAATAGCTTTCCTGGCTGCTGGTGAATATCCCTGTCGATGGAAAGGCACATAAGTAGTCAGTCCGTCATTAGTCATTTCGTCCACAATTTCAGTCAAGAGAGCCTCAAAATATCTACACACAGACAAATGATCCTTCTGTCTAATACATTATCATTTCCGACAAATCGTGCGCCGAGAGCACTTCCCAAGGATGGGCAGGAAGCACGTTCGGATATACGTTGTGCGACTGACACAAGTACACAATGAGAGAGGAGAGGATACAGATACACAATGAATTTCGTGCCATTTGTGTAACCAAAGCAGACGTTGGCGTTCTGGACATAGTAGAGATAAGCATCATTAAGGTGAACGGAAGAATCACGACTGCGAGCACAAAGATCACCGAAACTCCACTCTACTCGTTGAGGAAATGCCTGACAAGTCATGAAAGCAGACCACACGCCCTGCCTGCGCTCTAGCTGAGGAGTGCTAGTCCAATGATTACAAAATGGGAAGAAGAGAAAGTAAGATGAGAAGAAAACGGAGACGGAACCGCAATGGAGAATATCAGTTGAGATCCAAGCGAGTCTATCATGCAGTGAGAATCCTCCACATGGACGACGTTCGTCGGTGGACATACTCTTTGCTCCGGTAGGTCCACCGATGATCGACAGAAAAGGAACAAATCAACAGAAGAGGCAGAACGATCGAGATAAAGATGGGCTTAGGAGAGTGAGCAAAAAGCAGGAGGTAACTCATTTGCGAGTCTATGTGAATGATGAAAATGTTCCAGTCAATCAAGACGGGCTATTCTGTCATTGGCCGCAAAGTTAAGGGAGAAAGAGATGATCTTGGTGTGAAGGAAACTCACGGCTGCGAGCGAAGTTCGTGTACCTTGGTTGCTTCATTGAGTGGTCCCCAGTTCTCAACGCGATTGTACTCTTCCATATTGGAGTGAAAATACACCCAAACAGGTGCTTTTGCCAAATCTGCGAGCCATGTAGTGAACATAATTTAGCCAAAAACCAAAACTGGCGTCTGAAATATGAATGTGACGACGAACATTAGAAGTGCAAGAGTCACTGATGTAACGTTAGAGTCCAAGATTTACCTGCTGGCAAATCTATGAACACGACAGATGTGAAAAGCTGAGCCAAAATGCACGCGAATCAATCATAAAGACAAAGAACACTTTATACATAAGTAATTTCCTGTCATGGGCTGAAGACTAAAGATCGCGCTCCCTGGCTGGAGTATGTGCAAAATATGAGTGAAATACTAATCGAGGAAGCTTAAGTATCTATGCCACAGCCAGCAGAGAAAAAAGGAAGGTAGTACGATAGTGAGACGGTCTCAAAGAACTCTTCGGTTGCGGTCTTCATGATACACATGCAGTCCTGGGTGCGGAGAGATCTAAATATTTCAGGGACTACTGAAAAATCAACGGTTAAAATGAAGTCAAGGATTCGAGGAGACCGATGAATGACTATTTTGAAGTGCATTTCTACGGAATAATACAGAATTGAGCGTACCAAACCTTGCCACATCTGGATATTGTTGGATGACAATTGAGACGCTCTGTTCATATGAATCCTCTCTGTATTCTTTCTACAGAATAGCTGAGTTCATATAATAATTCACAAACTACTTGATCCGTCAGTTTCCGAAGAGATTAGATAGCAAGTACCTATGGAGTAAAACTGTAGTAGATAGACTTGAGGATCTCTGAAAAAGAAAAAAAACCTGAGATGTAACCTCCAGTGGTTGTCACTAGTAACAGCTGGAAAAATCATGAAGTTGGCAATTGAAGTCAAATCTGGAGTCTCATGCATAGGACAAAAACAGAGAGCTTCGCTAAAATAACGGCACAACTGTATTCAGCCACTGTGCCGACGGGTTATAACTAGGCTTTTCTGTCCAACGTTGTAGAAGGTTATACCATAGAAGAAATATTCTGCTCGTGCGGAATTCAGTTCAGCGAATTTTTCAGACCCAACCTTTTGTTGATACGAAATGGCAATTCACGGCAGAGTTCGAGTCAGAGATATTGCGTTTAAAATCTATCCCGGAAGAGAGTAAAGTTTCTTCGGTCCCTCTCTGTACAGTATAATAGTCGTCGACAAGGAAAATGGAATGATTGCGAAAGCTTGCGAAAGCATCCGTCGCTTCTCATCTTTAAAAGTAGTACTCTACTTCTGGTGACCAGGGAAGGGAAGATCAGAGTGTGGGCAACCAAATACGCTCAGTAACCGGCTGGACCATGGGGTGAAGACCAGATGTTTGGTTAGTGACTACAGGGCCCCTGTTTGAGACTAATCTGGGTAGGGAACAGTCTCTCACCTGGATGTTTTTCAAATAAGGCCCTGTCTCCATGCATGAACGCTTCCAACACCTGCAAATCAGCAAACAGAAATGATCAGCCATTTCGCTCGAACATAGAGGGTCTAAGTTCATGACTGCATTCCTCTCATCTTTGATTATTGTTCCTTTTAATCCAACTCTTGAAATAATTTGTAGAGACCAATAGATTTTCTGAAGGCACCGGTCTAATCAGTTCCGGAAAATGTGAATGCTAAACAGTAATAAGTCATCCGCAGATTTCCCTTTTGCTGCAAAAACTCGGCGATAAAAAGCGCATTGCGGAATACTTCAGATAAAAATCTACATCGACTTCTCCACGAGTGTCACAAGAAAGGTGTATACTTACCACAGGTAACTCCTTACGAAATATGTAGAACCGAATTTTAGCAATCAAATTGAGAAGCCAATGTCCTCCACTTATGTGACAGTGCACGTGGAGAGACATCTGGCCCTTAGCCTTCCTCCATTCGGCTAAAACCTCGTCCCTCTGGAGTCTTCGGTACCATCCTCTCAGCTGCAGATAAAGTTGATACATAAGTAATTTGAACTATATGCGAAACGAACGGGATAACCATACGGAACCACATTTCCGGGTTGCAGTTACAACTAAGCGACAGTGTAAGTTCCCAAGTTTGATTAGTAGCTAGAAGTGTCACATGCAACTCATTTCACCGTCAACCGAAATTTACATTCGTACCACTGGCAAGCTGACCAAAACTTCACTGTATGCTAGAAAATGCACATACTGAGGCATATCACTGAATGAAGCAACACAGAGCACCAGTACTGGCTTCGACCAGACTGCAAGCCAAGGCGAAGTGCACTTGGGAAAGACAATCCATAAACTTCATGTACAATGCAAGCGACGTTGACTACCTGTGCCTTGTTGATTTCCTTGGCCACAGCCAGAGTGATTTCTGCCGTGATGTCACTGTGGGTCAAAGTGTAACTGCGAGGCACGTGCTCCGGATGTTTCTCCTGATCGACTCCAAGAAATAACACGCACAGCTTGGATGCCTCGAAAATAGCTGGCCCAAACAACCTCGCTTCCTGGGAATACAAAGACCAAAACGGTGCGTAGAGCACGGGAGATACCATCAATACCGTGACCCATATTGTGAGATGATAACGTCCAGGGAACAGCAGTGAGAAGTGAACTCGTGACAATCTCATTGATGTACAGCTCACGAAAGTACAAGTAGAAGAAATGATGGATACAGATCGAACTTAAGCCGACAATGAGATCGTATTGGATCTGTTTCGATCCACTTCTTTAGTTTCATGGACACCAAATACTTCTAAAAGATGGTCTTCTTACCCTTGGGAAAAAAGTGAACGAAAGACATACGAAAGAGATTTGCAATGAGTTTGAAGAGCATATGGCCACTGAATGAACGTAGTTACGACAACATATTGAAACCCGGCATCAAAAGTGAGAAGGGTTGCATGGGATAGTAGACACAATTGCTCGAGCATGGGCGTGGGCTCTCCGGCCAGCCAACTCAGAAAGGAATCCGAATACACAAAAAAGAACTTGACGGGCGCAAAGCCATGAATGCAAGGAGACACTGTCAGATCCTGAGATGAAGGGAAGGGTGACTAGGCAAACACTGACAATCAAAAGTCCAAACTGGAGTAGCTAGATCTCTTACCACAGCAGGTACTGGCCTCGCGTCTTCTTGACCCAGACCATCGCATGCCTCTCCTAGCCTGTACAATTTTACATAGCTTTGTTGATTCCAGAAGGAAGAACCGAGTCCTCTAGCGTGATTCCTCCTCCTTCCGTTACCATTCCTCAAACCTGTGACCTCTGTAGTTGCTAATCCAGTTGCGTCTGCCTTTCTGAACCTCGAGGCGTAGGTGGGAAGAGAAGATGAGGTGGACGGAAAATTAATTCCCAGCTCAGCAGAGTTTCCGGCATTTACCATCCGAGAGAGGGAAGACGAGAGACCATTGACACAAGCTGCCATGGCCGAAGGAATTAAATCTAATAAAAATGTATTCAGTCAATTTCTCGAATTCTTTGAAGTATGGCCCGCTGCGGAGCTTTGCGCCGCCTGAGCTGATCCAAACTGCGGGCGTCCTGCAACCTGAAGAAAATGTATGAGCTACTGTAAAGGCCCGAATTTCTCTTCGAGTCCAAGCTCCTGCCACCTGATCCACTAGCCTATACTTCGTGCAGAGAGTGTCCACTGCGCAGCAGATTTCCGTCCATCCCACAGGTTCCAGCTACCTCTATGACCGCTCGCACTGCTCCGAGGTAGCTGGAACCGGAGCTGTGCGAAGCAATGGGCGCTCACCTGCCGAGTCCGAGTCCGAGTCCGTGGAATCCAATCGTTGAAATGTCACCAGATTACGACGACTGCGGCAGAGAGGGAGAAATGGGCGTGACAGTCTCCTCCTCTCTTCGTCCTCGCCCTCGTCGGCGTCGTTCGAGCTGCACGTCAGAAACAGCCGAGAGTGTTTCAGACATGAAACTGGGGCCAAGCTCCATGGCAGGACAGTTCACATCTCTCGTCTAGACGAGTAGGAGAACGGTCCACGTAGGGGCAGTTAGTCTCGAGGAAAATCGCAACAAGAGGCTGTGGGCCTCCACACCCGCGCCCAGCATCGCCGCTTTCCCCCGCATCACCACATAGCCACAGGCTGCAAAGCCCGCCGTGTCCCCCGAAGCCCTGACTGCGTCGCGCCCGCGAGTCCTACCGCAGTCCCGCGCTAGGCCCACATCCATCGACGTCCTCCAATGGCCTTCCTCGCCCCGCTCTCCAGATATGACAGGTCCAATTCTGGATAAGGCGGACCCGGCGACAGACATCCCGGGCCGGAGCGTGGCATCGCGATCGGGCCCGCATTCCGGAAACGGAAGGCTCAGAAGGTGCGGCCTGAGTTGACTCTCCGTCGAACCGGGGCGTGGATCGTGCACTGCTGCATGACGTCCGCGCGGGTTCCTATCCGGATGTCGCCGTTCGTCCGCGGGGTCGGTGGAGCGATCGTTCGTGATCGATCACGGGAGGCATTCGGACACGGCGACGGAGGCCGTCGTGCCCACGACGATTATGACGAGCCTGGCCAGGAATATCTCGAGCTTCTTCAAACTCCGTCGCCAGGCCATGGCGGCCTTGCACCGATCGTTCAGACAGCCCTCGGGCACGACTTCCTCCGGCCCGTACTTCCGTTTCCCCGGACCCTGACCCCACTGCCTTCTGTGACGCATCGCAGCCAGCCTTCCTCCTCCTCCTCCTCCTCCGTCGTCGTCGTCGCAGCGCCTACGATTCTCCTACCCAACTCTCCGTCCTTCATGCCACCTTCGTTTCTCTTCGCCGGATATAATCCTCTTCCTCCTCTACTTCTCTGCGCTCCGTCTCTATTTTTAGCCCGCCGTTACCAGGAGTACGGTCCTGCAAATTTTCTTTAAATCTCCTCATCGACCTCCGTGAAATTTCGGCGAATTACACAAAAGGAAAATTATTTCGATTCCCAATTCTTTCCTGGCCCGACCATTTGACACACCTGCGGGCATCGGGTTGGCGATGTCCATCTCTCCGGAGCAGATTGTCACGCCCCATCGTCGTCGCCGGCGGATCTGTCACAGCTCCTCCGCCACATTTAGGTACCGCCTGCGGTGGTTTGGTCATATGAGCTTTCGACACGAAAAGACGTCTCACCTCGAGGAAGGGGCGTGGAGATTGGAGTGCAGATTGGCGGACTTTCTTGAGCACCAGTCTTCTTCACTCACACTTCCGCGCGCAGTTTGAAACCTGATGTTTTCTGAGAACTCGCAAGTACATCCCACTTCGCATTACTTGCATTGCACCATATTCGCGTGGAATTGAACAGGTTTTCCTGATTGATATGTGCATGCCCACACTTGCTTTATTATATTCCGGTGGACAGTCGAAGGCAGTGGCCATTCTCTCCGTTAACTTCAATTTCATATTGATTTCAAGTGAAATTCCGATGTGAAGCTCTCTTTTACACTACCCATGTCCACAACAGAAACAAATTGATAAAAATTCAGAATGTATACGCGGTGCAAAGTAGAAATGAATGACGAAACATTTCATGTTGATCGTAAGATATCGTGTATTGATACAAAGTGAATAGATAATTGAATTGCAATTGCCATGTGAAAAACTCATTCAAGATTACAGTGTAACAATGGAGATATTGGCTGTTAATTCACATAATATATCTTGTTGATATTCTTCTAGGTCTTTTCCATTTAAAACTTGAGTTATCTTCATGATTGAATAGATAAATTGAAAATAATAGAAATTGAATTTACTTCTAATCAGATTGCTTCTCCGCACTTTGTGAAACTTATCAAAAATCATGATCTCGTATACATATCGATAGTCATATATATATGGATATTGGTCTTTCAAAGTAAAGAAAAAGATATTAAAAAAAAATTGAATTTATCAATCACTACATCACATATGATTAAAACCAGCAGGATAGATTGTCTCTAGTTTCTATGGTGAGAAGCCTCTCTCTGGTCTAGAGTAAAACTCTCTATTAGAAAAGAGCATCAAATTACCTGCATCAAACAGAATACATAATACAAGAGCAAAGAATTTTCTCTTAATTTGATAGCTAATCTATAAATGTTATCGTTGAGTTAACATTGTGGATGTGATCATTGTAAATCTATACATGCTCGTTCAAGGTTACATAATAGAATCAAAATGGCATCGCACAAAGAATTTGCACAATATTGTAATAATCCGTCGAATCTAGTGTACGTAATTTTTTATTTCAAGTTGAAAAGATAGAAGAAAGGAAATGGATGTTGTTCCACTTGCAGAACAATCAGGTAAATATTAACTAGCTATTTTTTATATACTCTGTAACTCACATTCTTTCTATATTGAGCATAGAATTTGTTCATACAATTGCAGTCACCACATAAGTATTGATGTGGTAACTATCACTAATGACATAAAGTATACATATGATTCAAATCACCTTATCTTATCATACGTCTTCAACTCATCTAAAGTTAGTAAGACTTGATTGTAATTATTCAAATGATGCGTATTTTATGTGGAAAGAATAGATGATCACTTATTCTTAAATATTCAGGCAGCTTCCAAAATTCTGATGGTTGGATTTTATTTTGTTGTCTAGTTATCATTCAACATTAGCTCAAAAAAAAATTCATGTTGTGACAATTAAGTTGACAGTTGATTGGTTGATTTAAAATATGATAATATTTTGTATATTCAAAGTTAAAGCTTCAAATTTTTGGATTTGATATAACTTTTCAATTTCAAAAAATGATAAAAAAAATAAGACTTAATTTTCTGTACGTATATGCTAAACTATAACACTACATAAAAATGAGGGGAATATATTACTGAGTTTGTAAAGCATTAAATTCAAAATGATATTATAATAATGATCTCATTATATTAAATATAAAAACTTTGTATTTCAAATATTTCAAAGAAAAAAAAAATAAATATTTATTTATACCAAATTCATATAGAAATATATCGGAATTACTAATTAATGTCATCTAACATTTTTTCCTTTATAAATATAGCTCATAATGATAGCAAGTAAATGATAATCACAAATTATTCTTTATACAAATGTATATATTTGCATAAGCAAATGTATATATTTACAAGAAGCTATTTATATAATTGTATATATATATATATATATATATATATATGTAATTTAACCATTGATCTAAGCATGAATTTCATGGAAATTATTTTGCACATGAAATATCCAAATGAAATAAATTTTCTTTATGTTTTTTATATATTGAAAAAAAAAGTCAACAAGATAGAATAAGTAACGAATCATAATTATATCACATAGACATACTAGTACATTCATTTGATCATCATACAATCTTTTAAAACAAATATAATATATACATATGAAGGGGTTTGATATATGGACATCACCTTTTTGATATATGGATATCACCCCCTCCGTCTCGTGACCGCGCCTTGCATTTGATGGGGGGAGTTAGGCCGCAGGTAGGGCCCAAGGGTGAGGTCTCTATAGTTGGCATCGCACTCCCGCTAAGCTGGAGAGCAATGCAGAGGCAAGGTGTGAGAGCTGTAGAGGCCTTCCTTCACTTCACCCCACCCACCAGACATGCTCCACAAACTCTACTTTTCACCCCACGCTCATGCCGTCACCTTAAGTCGCTTCCGCAATGGAGCCCGTGTGATCGACGCGTGTTCCCATTCTTCACTTGGGAATTTTGTCCTTCCCATGAAGGAGGGCAATCATCAATCGGAGCATTGCCTGTCCACATCGTCGTCATCACCAGCAGCCCCCGATCCTCCGAGAGAGAGAGTCGTCAATCCGGCACGGATCCTCATGTTGTTGCTCTGCCCCACTACTCTCCTGCGGGGTATGTATGGGGTGATGTCAATATATAAAAAAGGTGATGTACATTTATTAGTCCTTATATAAAATACAAAGAATGAAATTATATGATGAAGAGTTATATTTTATATTTTTGTAGAATTATTTCATGCTGCTTGAAATATTTTTTGATTAATTTAAAATCAAAATTTACAAAAGAAAATAGATCGTTCAAACAATGAAAATTATATAAATATTTTTTTTTTTTACAATAATATTTTTTAATGTTCATATGAATAACTTTGGGAATTATTAATATATGTATGAGTGTTTCAATTAATAATAATAATCTAACACTTGCTATAATGTAGTATCAAATCATTTTTTCAATATTAAAAATAATCATTTGCTATTACATTCAACTCAATACTAGTGATATTGGTAGATTATATTAAAACGCTTCAAATGATAAAGAATTAAAATATCATTGATTTATGTAAATTAATATATGCATATATATTTAATGAATGTTAGGGATTTTATATAAAAGAAATTTACATATATATTTCATTCCATAATCATATATATACATGTCATAGTATAAACATTACAATAAATCATACGATCAAGATTATGTGATTTCTATTGAGTTTAATTTAGGTTAAGGATTAACCTCATTTGTAGCTATTTAAAGTTGAGACTAGTCGTCTATGTTGGGTATATATATATACCCGGATGTTTTTGTGTTGCAAGCATTGTTCACTTGAGTAGTAAAATATTTCGCGTGTATTACTCCGTGAATGTAGACCTTGAGGGTGAACCACGTTATACGTTTGTTCCTTGTGTTGTTGGTTTGATCACTATGATCTTGAGTTTTATTGTAAGATACTTCACTGTTTTCATCATCAACATGAATAAAATTTTTAATCTCTTGTTGCTCAACCGAAAGATTTAAAGTTGCGATAACTTGTGTAACTTCGGTTGCTAAATCATTCATCGGGTTCACTCCTTCTTGATCGACTTCCAATTTCATTATATATTCCTTCACAAATGAATGTTTGATAGAGCTCGGTGACAAAGATTACCAAGCTTCTTTGACATAATTCGCAACATCAAGCAAGTGAGTTGAAATTCTGTACGCAACTTCAACAACACCACGTTTCAATCACTATCCTTACATTCTGAGTTCTGAGTTGATCCACTTCGTAAAAGTCAAGAACATCTTTAAGATAGAGATATTTGAACATTTTCTTCAAAGCTGCGATTATGCTCATATCGCAAGGCTATTTTCAGCTTGTGCAATCTGCAGGAAAAAAAAATAAGACTAATATTGTCACGTTCAAAAGACTCAAAATGTACATGGACATTGTACATCACCAGAAGAATCCGATCTCTGATTCATTTGTTTCACCTCTGGAAAAACATTTTGTTAAACCACTTCCAACATGTCTGAAATCCATCTAAGGTTTCACCTTTTTTATGTATGTTCTTCATTTGGTGCTCCATTTCCAAATTTGATCGAATATTGTGGTGTAGTTGCAATGCTTTTCGTGGAACCACTAATATAGAATCTGACTTTTCAATTTTACGTTGGAAGAAAGATTTGTTTTGCAAAAGTTATCAAACTTTGGATTAGAATGATTGCAAGCAAAAAAATATTTGTTCATAAAACAATTTGAGCATTGATAAATGCTAAGTAAACAATTTGTATTGAAAATTTTTTATTTTTTTTAGTAGACTAAATCAGTATAAATCAACTTTTTTATGATACTAAATTAAGCTAAATTGAGTTTTTGAAGTTAACTAAATTAACCTATTTTTTTTTTCAGTATACTAAATTAAGTATATTTAGGTAATTTAGGCACGTGACTATTAGAACCATATCTACGTATAACCCATAGAAAGAATTAAATGAATTCAATAGATTTCGTACACGAGGATAGTGTGGGGACTACTGTAGAGATGTAATACCATCATGATTATTTACTTTACTTCTAAGTCTTTCCAAGATTATGACTATAGTAAGTGACATAGTCGCCATGTCTACACATTCTATTGAACGAATCAAATGAGAGCATAAAAGATCAGCTGGAAATTACATGGAATGATTGACATTACAACTACACTCAATGTACTGATGATTTATTGCTTAAGTAGAAAACTGCTTCCGCGTATAGAAGATTTGATTAAAATTTTTTCCTGATTTTTCCAATAATTATCATTATGATAATTATCAAGTTTTGTCAAATCTTATTCTAGTATCATTTCATATTTATATAGTTCAATATATTTTAGAAATCCAAGATGGCATATACAATAAGCTACACATACACCATAATTGTCAATACAAGCTTCAAGCACACATTGAACTTAGATTTTACCTTTTATTCTTTCAAATTGCTCCGGAAAAATTAACTCTATTGAGTATTTAACAACTTACACAAGCCAATTTTATATAATATGGTCAATCAACATAAATTATCATTCAATTAGAAAAACTAATAGCTGGAAGAAAATTTAAATATATTCTAGATTGAAAATTTTAATCTATATCAAGTACATGTTTGCTATGTATAAATTCCAACAAGAAACTTTACATATATTATTTTTGAAACTAGAGTCTGTATATATTAAGTTCTAATTTAAATATGATAAATTTCCTATACATTTGAAGTTAGTTTAATTGCTAGTTAGATAAATATATGTCTATATGCATCATCTTATGGCATATGACGCGATGACTAAAGAATTATTTTACAGATAATATTTTTCTAAAATTATTCTTACTATTGGATCAATTGTCAATTTGTATTATTTGATTTATTTTTAACCTGTAATTTCTGTGAAATTATTTTTTTTGATCTCTTCCACAACAATCTGTCAGGTAATAAATATTTACTGACATAATAAAGATTCACAAAAGAAATTTACACAATAACAAAGTCATTTATAGATTTTATCTCCATAAAAACGTTACAATTTACAACACAAATTATGTTATAAAGTATGTAACTAAATGTTCATCGTCAAATTCGTCCTGATTATGGATTTCAACAAATTTGAATCTATTCCATATTGAAATTCAATACTTTATATATTGTTAGATTTATCGTATAATTATTATGCATTTTACTACACTGTACAGATTTAAACTTATATGTTATGTCTAAATAATGTTCCATGACATGAACATGTCACACAATTCCAATTGAACTAATTTTTTTGGTATAAAATCACTTCATAGTCCTGTATCAACCTAAAAACATTAATGTATTGTAATACTTTTTACGTTAAATATACAATTTTGATAGTATACATGATAACATATCTTATGAAGAATCATATCCAAAACACATGCTATGTACATTTTAATATCTACTAATAGACCATGTATGTGTTATGAGAAAATGACTTAAAAGGACCCACAGAAACTCAAAACACATAATGGTACCCAACAACTTACAAAACCGTTAATGGGACCCCATCAACGGCCTTGCATCCCATCGTAAGTAATGTTCCAATACGATTTGGGACTATTTCTGGTAGGAAGATGAAGTCCCGGCAAGTCCATGTGGGGAATATTTCAGACTCATGGTGCCCGTAGCTTTCTCAGACATTGCTACAAAAGAGTCGCCAAAATACTGTGAACCTACAATGGCAGACACTCCCCACCCTATAGAGCAAATTAGGGGATTATAAGAACTTTTAGTGCAATATGGCTGATGGTGGGTTGCATGGCCACACTATAGAGCAAATTAGCAGGTTATAATAACTTTTATTGCAATATTGCAATTCTCTCTGTACTTTCTCACAACTTGTTGGTTCGGTTAACAATAAGAAAAGTAAAACCCAAACAAATTCGTAGCATAGAACACAACACTGATGAACATGGACAAACGCACATGCTTTATCCTCACAGAATAGAACAACCTCCACCTGCTTGAGAACGTGTATCAAAGCGAGTGAATGTGACATTGACGTAATAGAATACATGAGTTGAGGATATTGGGCGATAGAAGTTACACCCTTCCAAAGGGAAAATGAGAGAAACATCATCTTATTGCACCTGTCTCTTTTCAAATCAACTGTAATAACGTAGACAGGCCCCAAATGTGGAGTGATCTGAACCAACTAGAAGGTGGTTTGATCAAAAAATAAACTTCGAAGTGCTGTCATCTGCCATACAATCTCCTGCGTTAAGCCTTGATGCACATCAAAACACAGAAACTGTACACGATCAGGCAAAGAGCTCATTCTCCTCTTACATTTGTTTTACTCTATCCAAGGCAGACTACAATCTAATCATTGGCTAGAACCAGAAACCCCACAGAAATGTAGAGAAGTAGAACTGGATACACAGCTAAAGCCTTTCGGCTTTGAGGTACTGCTGTGCTCACGAAGGGATAGGCTGACCATGAGCTCCAAACTAGAGTCACCAATACAACAATGCTCCTGAACAATTTTGAGTCTCTGAGCAGGCACACCAGGGCACCAATGTCCAGTGGAAACAGGCAATAGCCCAACAAGCTCAAACTTTGGAAAAAAATGATTGAGCCCCCCTGAAAGAACACCACGGTACTATATTAGGGATTTCAAAAGGACCTCATAATCACGAGCTAAACCAAGAGGCTAAACCACCTCAAAGACCAGAAAGAAACAGAGTAGAGAAACGGGATTCCTTGAAATAAACTCCATGTAAATTCTACTCTGCTGCAACCGAAGTGAATCGCAACATCAGAGATATTCTTACCAGAAGCTGAACATTGAGTGTTAACACAATAGCACCCGCTGATAGTACTGCGAATACAACTGCAAAAACCTTGGACTGCAAAGTTGGATGGAGACCGTCAGAATCCAAACGATTATAAGATAACACATGCAAATGGTGACTTGTCTTCACAAGTCTCATTTTCAAAACAAAGACAGTTACTATCGATAAGGACTTCTAGTCTCTATTAAAATTTCGAGTAATTAAGAAAGAAAAATAAATGAGCTCCACTGAACTGAAAACATCTCTCACATGATAAGTCAACTACAAAAATTACAGGGAGCAACAGAATAAAAGCTCGTTAGCTTTTGTCCTCTTATTCATCGTGGCAGTACCGGAAAACAGAACTACGGACTAGACATTAGGTGGCATAACCCTGAAAAAATCTTGATCTGAAGATATAATTCAGATGCCACTGGTGTAAATATAATAAAATACACATAAAATACATTAAAACGTCACGAAATAATTCAATTTGGCATACTTTTGGCTCAAAAAGTCTCTCATTCTCGGGACCAGGGAAGATTAATGCAAGCTGGCGAAGAGTGGAGACAAGGAAGCTGTGTCTTACGGAACTCAGCAGGATCTACTCCTCATGGACGCAGTATCTATATTGGACATTCCTTCCCTCCGGTAGTTTAAAGAATCAGCAAGCTATGATTTGTTTACTCTTCAGTGCACCGGAACTCGAGGCCATACTGCGTATCGAACGCGCAGCTGTTTCAAGAAAGGGGAGCGACTATCGACAAGCAAGCTAAACTTTTGCTTGAGCTCACAAACGGCTCCCAAAGTAGTCATAACAAAAATGGAATATCTCTCGATCCAGAGTTTTTCTCGACGAACATCTTCTAAAATCATCCTCTGTGCAGCTCATTACTCTCAGGCCGAAGTCTCGGAACGAATACGTGCAGTAGACAATGATCTGTCCAGTGCGTATGCCTGAGCATGCGAAGTACTCCGATGTCCTCACTAAACTTTTTCATTCTTGAATGATCAGACAATTGCAATTCTGTAACCCAGAACGTTGTTTTGACTAGAAGTAAAACGTCACCCACAACTGAGGCAATATGAAAAGCCCTAGATCTGGCATTCATACCTTGTTCTCGGTAGCCGAGGAAGAAAGAGTGAGAGCCAAGAAGATGATGAAAAAGAAGGGACCCCAAAGATCCCAATCTCTGAGAGCCTTGCCGGGATCTTCACGATAAGGATTGGGAAACACAACGTGCCTCAAATTGGTGGCTACGCGAACTACATCTCTCTTCAAAGTATGCCAGACGGGCTCCGTGAGAGTACTATATTCGGGGCCCCCTCCAAAAGCCCCCGGACCTCCGGCTGCTCCACCGCCCGCAGCTGATGAAGACGACGCATTACCAGATCCAGAAGGGCGGGGATCAGACGACACCGGAATGGAGACCTGTGGATGATGCACAGTGGTGGCAGGCTTTCCAGGAGCAGTCGAGGTGGGAACTTCGATGGTCGCAGGCTGTACACTGATGTTGAACAGACTCTCGATCTCATCAATGTCGCTCTGGGAGGTCGGATGCAACGGGGTTTTCTCACTTGACCGACTCATTGTCTCTGCTCCGTGTCCGCCGTCGTCCGCTCGCCCAATCGAATCCTGCCCCTCCTAGTGCTCTCGATCCGTCTCGTCCCCGCAAGCCTGCTCGCCTTCCTCCGCAACTAATCTTGGATCGCTTCAATTACCTGCACAGACGGCTCTCGCACAGCCTCCGATCCGCAAGCCCGCGTGCCCCATTCCCACCATCGCCGTCCGCATGCCCTGCCTGCTCGTGCCGATTTCGCCCCGTCAATCGACTGCTCTGCTCTAAACCCGTCGCTGGCAATCGCCCTCCCTCCGCCCTCCTCCTCCTCCTCCTCGAGCCTCCCTCCTCCACTTTGCTCGAGCCCAAAGCGAACCCCGACGATTCTTTCCTCCCTCGGGCCAATTCGGCACCTCAGACGGGCCACCGGCTGCGGCCCGTCCTCTCTCGTCCGTCTACCTGCTGGTGACCGCCTCAGTTGGTCGATCCTCCCTGGCTCCGTTCTCTGGCTCTGTTCTTCCCGAACGAGCCGACCGGAGACTTGGAATTGACGGTCGATCTAGAGTTGGGAAGTAGGCACATTTTCAACGTAGAGTTCTCTCTCTTATTACGACACTCCAGAAAGTGCACTAATCACACCTTGACACTTGCAGCGGCAACGTTACTAAAATAATCACCGGAATCAACTCTGCAAACACAGATTTGACTCGATTTCGATCTAGTATCATATTTTGGAACATGTAATAACAACGCCTCATTCGATATCATCAATTTATTCAGAATTCTCTACATTTGTATTCACATGTGAATTCAATCCCAACGAATAAGAATACTCAATAATATTCTTCAATCACACTTATATAATTTAAATCTTTTCAATTCATGAAAGAATTTCATATTTTTTTTGTTTACATAAAACCTCATTGAATTTAATATAACCATTTTGAGTCAGAATATGTCTTAAAAATTGAATTTTAATTTAATTATTCAATGTTGTTACTGCAATAAAATATACACTTCAATCCATTATTTCAAAAATTTTCATTTATTCATGATAAAACATTGCAGCTTTGTAGTAGAGATTTACATGTTGCTTAGATTTCTTCAAATGAAATCATTTTTTTCTAATATTAAGTTTTTTAGCAGTAGAAACTATTATTTAAATTTAATTATATTTTCCATATTTTTTCAATTAAAAATTTCTAGTATTTGATATCTTTTTTAAGTTAGTATGACGCAAATATTCATCAACATTATAAAATTTCTGTGGCATATTTCATACAAATTACAATTCATCTGTAAAAAAATTTACCTTATAACATGCTATCTTATATTAATTAATGTGAAATTCTACATAAAACTTTTTGCTTTTGTGGCATATGTAACACCAAGCTTTTTGCCTTTAAAATAAGTATACTTGTCAAGTATATTATTTGTTCCACAAGATTAAGTTCTGCATATGATTGAAAACATTTTATATATTTATATAAATCCATAAAATTTAATTTAATTATCATCACATACAAATTTAATTTTAGAAGTGGATTTAAACTAAGAAAATTGACAATTTTTTTGGAGTTATGGAATACTTAAAAAAAAATAGTAAACAACAAATTAAGTTTTTAGGTCATTTTGTGTATTATGAGCATCTCATACAATTTCTATAACGATAATAAATAATTATCATTTTTTAGAAATAATCAATATTATTATGTTTAAATTATTTAATGAACTCAATTATTGCTTAATTTCAAATTTATTTTGAATTGTCAAAAAATTGAAAAACTTTATTTCAAGGTACCTTTCTTGACAAAAAATACTCCGCGTTATCCAATAATATGCATTGGATATCGATATTTAACCAAGGAGATCTCTCGAAGGCCCTACGGCTAGAGTTGAAGTCACACATTAAGAGTCATGCCCCGGGGCGAGGGCACGAGGGCATGACTCAATCACATTAATGCATACGGGCATGCCTGTATGTATTAATTGAACATGTATTGGAGATTACGGCTCATAAGTGAATACATTTACTAACCGTGTTACGTGTCAACATTGAGATGGTTTTACGTGGCACTCTGTAAGAAAAAAAAGCGGTCTACCTTGAAGTGCTCGATAGGTTTTGCTTTTCATAATTTCAAGATTTGAGATTTCTTCAATTTCTTCACCTTGTTTTACCTTTGTTTCTTTGACGCGTTCAACTGCTTCGTGACTGCCGACAACGCGTTCTAGAATTCCAAGATTGCCGACTGTTACGTGACTGCCGACAACGCGTTCTAGAATTCCAAGATTGCCGATTGTTACGTGACTGCCGACGGTTGTTGCGCGACTCAGTTGACTTATTTGCTTCGTTTTTTGTGTCAATGCTTTCCGAGCCAGCGAACGTGGAACTTTTTTAGACTTCATGGCCATCCCCCTTCCTCCTCATCCTCTGACGTCATCAAATTTCATAACCTCTCTCTCTCACAGAGTGATTCTCCCCGCTTCAAGCATGAATGATCAAGATCCATTATCGCATTCGACTACTACATGAGTTGACACAAAGTTTGCGACTCCTTCATGACATGCATACATTACTTATAACTTCGGCTCATTCAGGTGATGTGAATGCCGTATTCATATCGATTCATTGAAAAGGTTGAATTCGGTACTGTGGGGTGAAATATTTCATGTAATATTACCAAGCTCCTGTGTCCATGATGTTTGCTTTACCGCGTGACTCACTCCTAATTTGTGTTTTACATATTGATTATGTAATGTGTGCATGTTAGATTGTGTGCTTTAGTGATTGACTCATATTCTGTGTTAATAATATTATGATTATTTAATGTGTGCATGTTCAGGTTTTGTGATTTAATGAATGAATGACTAGTATTTTGTGTTTAATATTTTTATTATGTAATATGTGCATGTTTAGAATGTGTGCTTTAGTGCGTAATTGACTCTACTATTCTCTAATGTGTGCATGTTCAGATTGTGTGCTTTAGTGAATGAATAACTCATATTATATGTTTAATATTTTGATTATCTAATGTGTGCATGTTCAGGTTGTATGCTTTAGTGAATGATTAGTATTCTGTGTTTAATATTTTAATTACATAATTTTTGCATGTTGAGTATGTGTGCTTTAGTGCCTGACTGATTCTATTATTCTCTAATGTGTGCATGTTCAAGTTGTGTATTTTAGTGCGTGATTGATTCTACTATTCAGTGTTTAATACCTTTATGATCTAATATGTGCAGGTTTTTAAGATGTCGATGGATTCATTTTCACTTAATCAATCTGATAATCTAGAACCGGAAACTGAGAATGTAATTATGGATTCACAACTAACCTCAATATAGAGAACAAAAATACCACGTGGATGGACAAAATCTGATGAGATTATAAATCCAAGATGACATTGTTTTTATCGTTATTTTGAGAAATATAGTGGGAATCGATATCGTGCAAAGTATGTACATTGTGGAGAGATGCTTGATGGTAAACTTGATAAATTAGAGTTTCATATACTACATTGTTGTACTTTGGATTTTGTAAGCAGAGTTGAAAATATGCGCAATGTAGAATAATTTTCAAAGAGAAAATGTATTTCGACACATACTTTAATTAGATTTCAATTAGGTTTTGAGTAAGAGCAAATGATTTCTTCATGACATTACCAACAACAATTGCCTAAATACTTGAGGTTTGTCAATTTTCTCGTGACTTCCAACAATGCTTTCAATCTATGTTGCAACATAGAGCTGGAGATGTTTATTGGGATCAATTCCAACTACACTCTTCTTTCTAGAAGGATGAAATCAAATAGATTGTTACAAAAATGTTACAGTGAGTGTCTATTGAAGTTAGGAGAAGAGTTGAAAAATGCCAACGATGTGAAAATAACTATGGAAGTATAGGAAGATTTGTCCAACAATTTGATTTATGTTGTGATGATTATCACAAGTGTAAAACAATGGATCTTAGACATTGTGCTTTTCACAATATGTCCTACAGCAAATGCATTGTAACAACAATTGATAATGTCAATCAACAAAAGCCTTTTTCCATTGACATCAATTGATGCCTTTGTGTCTGATAGCCTAACTACTATGATAAGATTAAGAAACAATATAGCAAGTTCAAATTTAAATATTGTTTCCTTGCAATGTGCTATTCATCATTTGAATCTTATCACAAAAGATGTGTTATCTCATAATACCATGAAGCAAGTCTTCAAAAACAATTGCAAGTTGATTAATTTTTTTACAAGTTCTCACTATTGGACTATGCATCTCAAGACTTGGGATGGAGAGAAGAATATTAGTAAATTTTTGTCTAGTTTTTGCAAAACATTATGGTATTCTGCCAAACTTGTATATCTTGGTGTTGCATACTATCATAAAATATTTCAACATTGTGTTGAAAAATCAAAACTAGCTAATGAGTCTCCCATCAATAAAGATATTTTCAAATTGATGGAGTATGATTATCATTATGTAATTAACAAGAAAATTTGTAAACTTATTAAGTTCATAGCTGATAGTATAGCTAGTCTTGAGCAGAGTTCAACCACATTAGATTATATTTTTGAATAATTCATCAAATTATACATAGTTGTAAAAGATACTGTCGTTACTTAGAACTGAAACAATTTCAAAGCTCACATGATCAAGATTATTTCAAAAAAAGAGCTTCTGAATTTGATCATCAGATGTATTTTGTAGTTCTTTTTTTGAATCCTCAATATCAATCGGTCGCCATCTCCATGTTGAATACATACAATAACATTCAAAAAGATATTGTAAATCTTGCAAAATGATGAAGATTCATTGAGACGAATACAATATCACTTCTGGCGAATTTGAACGAGTTCATCAATTAAAGTGGAGCTTTTACAAAAAATCAAAATAAAGGCTATGCAATGAATTTTTTGCAATTACTTGTTGGTGCAGAAGCTTTGTGTCTTTGCAATGAAATTTTTTTCTATTGCTCCTTATAATGCGGCAGTGGAAAGATTGTTTTCTCAGCTCTCATTATCAAAGATAAAAATTCGCAATCGCATGTTAGTTGAACGTATGAAGATGCTTGCCATTGTTAGATCAAGTTTTAAGTTACATTCAAAACTGCATTCAAAATCTTCTTCATCGTTAACACTAGAGCAAAAGATTTCATTAGATATAGCACTTGAAGAAGATGTAGATCTCAATATGATACCGACCGATGAATTGAATTTGGAAGATCTAGATTTTACTTGCAAGGATGATGATGATTTTCATCAAAATTTTGGTATGTATTTTGATTTTGTTAGATTTAGACAAGAATCATTTTTACATTGAAACTAAACAACAATGGAGACTGAGACAAGAATGATAGATGAGGAAGATTGGAATATAAACGACTTATTATCTTGAAAATATAAAAAAATGATTTTATATAAATTCAAGTTTTTATTTGTGTAGAACTACTTGAGGAATGTATGTATATACATTCATAAATACATACGGGCATGACTTTAGAGTTTGAAAGTCACAATGAGCATGCCTCACGAAACATCTTTGTGCCTCCAATCCCACCTACGGTACACGTTAATGCATGTTACAAACGAAGTTATTGTAAATATATAGTTGGCGTCCTAAAGTGTGGGGATGGACTGGACTCTAGGACGGCTTTGGTTAAACCTCTAGCAAAGATGATGACAAAGACAAATGTAGTGCTAAGTAATACCCGTTCGGGTTTTTCTATGTTGTCCAAGATAGAGAGTGCACATGCATTTTCAACTTCGTAGTAGATAGCCAGATCCAGAATCTGCGTTGTAAGAACCCAACATAGAAGCCAATAAAGTGACAATTTTGCTGTAAAGAGAGCGATGGAAGGTCTCATCCCTAGCTAGATAGATAGTTTCTGATTTCTATGAAAGGATATGCATAGCTCGGTTACGGCTCTAGCGCTTGTAGAGCCCGTATAAAATATTGCCTCCACTTTTCCAGAAGACGTTTAACTTAACAATAGTCCAGCTATCGGAGCGTTAAAAAAACAATCGGAGTCAGATCTGCAACGAATGAGACAATTCACTGAGTATTGCATGTGTGTATCACTCACTAGACCGAGGTATTTCGGTCAACAGAAGAAGTTCAATGTAGAAAGAAATCAGACATCTCTAATGGATGGCTTCGCCAGCGGCGTGTAACAGAAGAATTATTGATGTCAATCAATGTACAGATAGCTTGGGAAAAAAACGTTGTATCTGAATAGAAAACTTCAGCGGATTCTCTCGGTTCTCGAGCAATTTTCTGATCCATTGATTTCGAGTGTGCAAATATTGTCTGCTCATATCCAAGTTTTCAACAATGGAGCATCGAAAAGGTCTTGACCTGCTTTTGCGTTAGGCAGCAAATGGACCTCTATGCGTGACCTCGCTCACGCTCTCTCGAAACACTCGCGATAACCAGTCAAAAACTGATCTGCGCCAGTTAGAATTTTTTCCCTATGCACCTAAGACCTCGATTCCTATTAGACCATGGGTGACAGTGTAGCGTGGGTGGGGTCGATAGGATTAAATTTTACTTGTTGGGTCCCAGTGAGCATGTTGCGTTAATAGGGTCCCATCAATTAATCTTTTCTCAAGAACGATGACATAATGTTTGTATAAAGTTGAAGATAATATTCAAGGAGTGATAAAATATGGTTAATTCGTTATTTCAATGAAATTATATTCGAGTTTTTTGATTTTGATACAAGTGAATAATTATAACAATTATCTCTTAATGAATTTTAAATAAAGATCTCATTGTAAAGAATTGTCAAATAAACCTGGCCCTTTCCTAAAACTAATAAAAGTGTGAGTTTGAAAATTGAACCATAACATTTTGAGGTTGGGCGAGGCTTTAGATATAAAACGAAAGCCCTATTGTTGGCACACGGAAGTCAGAAATAAGTGAGAATTTAGATAAATCCCCTCTTGTTAAGAAACGAAGTAAACTTCAGAAGTATCTCGAGGATGCATTCAGAATTACAATTTCCGGACATGTTGGAACATGTTAGATCAAAACCCTATAACCTCAGCATCCCTAAGATTACCTCTAGTTGAGTAAAGAGTTCTCCCTGACTAAACCATCTATTTTAAAAGGTGTGAAACCCGAACAATGAAGTCAGCAGTGCTCGCCAAGAGCTGTCTACTCGAAGTAAGAAATTTAGGCAGATAGAGATTCTCTGTCACAAACGAGAAAGTTATACCTCAGTTCCTTGAAGGGCATGTATTAGACCAGTGTGAGGAATCTCCACATATATAACAACTTCCTCTTTCCGAGTTTGTACTCCCTTGGTTTGCCCTCCCTGAGGACTGACCTCTTCTACCTCTGCTACTGGTTTGGCTGGTGCGATTAGTGGTACTGATCGTGGTTCTCCCACGTCCTCTGCTGCCATTAGCTCGTGACACACCTTGCCCGCTTTGGGCTCTAGTATTCGTCGAACCGCTGAAAGAATTACTCCTACGCGTGACAGTGGATTGTGGAACCCTTCCGGAATTTTGACCAGCATCTTCCCACCTGTTCATACGTTGAAAGCTTGAGTTGAATGACGCCGCAAGAAATAGTGTGCCGAAGTTTCAAAGTCTAAACTGCTGGCTTCTCACTCGTTGAACGAATTCCATAACACCCTTCAGAAAAGCTTGGGAGAAAACACTTACAAGAAAAAACCACAGGTTCGTGAAGGGCATCCGTAGAACTGGCGGCCACGGTTAGCCTCAGTATTAGCTGTCAGCAATACACACTGTTCGTTGCAACTGCACCGTATATCTTCGTTCGAACCTGTCAAACAAACACACAACGACAAGTGATGTTTAGAACTTTCTGCTGGTTGTCCTCTTTTTTTTTTTTATATATACACGAGGAATACAGAACCTATCTCACGAATGCAGAAGCTGAGCTTGGCACCATCTTAGTTGCAAACCTGCCGCTGTGCTCCCACTCTGACGACGGCCGCTACCTTGACCCTGTCCCCGGGGACAATCAGTGGAGTAATGCCCAAGCTGCCCACAATTAGAGCACGCACGTCCACTACTTCCCTCAGTTGAATAGTTCGTGGCGTTTCCTTGCCCTGTTCTTCGGTTAGTTACAGACGAATTCGATCCACCACTTCTAATCCCTCCTGAAGCAGGTGCAAACCTTGGTTACTGTACAGTTCTTGACTCTTGAGCATCATAAACTTGAACAAGATTGTACTGAATAATTTGTGCGAGTGGCTGTGGCCTGATGACCATAGACAATGCCCTCTAGCAGCGCGGTAGTTCTTAGCGAAAAAAGAGAACTGAGAGACAACGGTATTGAAGTAGTCTTCCAAAACGAGAGAGAACGATTTAAGAAAAAATAAAAAATCTCTGTTGTAGTGGAATAATTCCACATGGGTGAGATTAGTTCCAAAGTAGCAACGATAAAACTATTTTTATTCCACATGATGGACTCCACCAGCAGAGCAAGATTAAAGACCAGTTTCATTATCATTTTAACAAAACGACTCAACCCTCCAGGTTTCATGAGGCATCGGGTGTACAATCATCTATGCTGATAGAGATGGCAACCACAAATGGTTAAATGCAATTCTTTGTGAACAACGCATTTTGAGTGCTCTACAGTCTGGTCCAAGTACCCAGACGAGCACACTACCCAATTTGTGTACTGAATCTGCCTGCATGCGGCAGGGTGACCAAACCAGGCCCGAACCTTTCGAACATCAGCACATCCTGCCTAAGTGAACATTCCAAGCACTAGGCTGCAGAGCAAGTCCCATGAAACAAGCAATACAAGAAAGAGAGAGCTCCGACTGAATTCACTGGAGGCCTTACCTATGTAGAAATCAGGTCAAAGAAACCAGACGAGACAGATACCAGTCAGGGAGCAGACATTATCAAGCCAAGAAAGGACCCTATTTGCGCTATGGTCACCCTCCGAAGGACTTTGTCTTCATGGCCAACCATAAGTACACTCGAGTACCTTTTAGATTTGGTGTACAAAAACATCACCCTGACAAAACAGAATAAATCGTCACTACAAACTGCTAAGCTGGTTTCATCGACGTTAATGAGTAGGGTATGACGGCAAGAATCAGACTTACCAGCTGAAGGCCGAGAGCCTGTTCCACACATCTCAATAATTTCTTTCAAGATGTCATCACACCCGCCTACACAACCTGCAAGTGATGGGTCGAGCTCAGTCTATCAAAGTACAAGCTTCAAAAAAACGTGATCTTGTAGAAGTAATGATCAGCCACATGGGAACGTCACACATTTAATGTTTAACACATTTCCTCTCCTTTCGACAGCGAAAGATTCCATGTATCGGTAAATGCAAGACTTGTACAACAAAAAGGAAAAGGCGAAGACAGAAATGAGGCTCTTTTCTGTAAACTTCTAACTGGAACACGGTGCTGTTTACTTCACCAAAGGTTATGGCAGAGCTGTTTGTAAGAACCTGTGTAATCCGTACTGTACTGCGGGGGGATTTCGGCCCTCCTGAATTTGAATCTGATTTTGAAAACTTGACCTGGACAAGCATTTTGGATCCAGGTTAGACAAATCTGGCTGAAAAAATGCAAGACAATTTCCTCTTTAACAATACTCAGAAATATTATTAATTTAGGAAAATATACAGCGTTTGCAAAACAGTTGTTGATGAGACAACTGGTTTGCAAAACCAGTTATCTCATCCACTACGAAGCAGTCGTAGTGGATGAGTCGTAGCGGATGATGATAACTGAGATACCTTCTGTTGCAAATTCTTTATATTCACCAAACATGCAGTGAACGCTATGCTTATGGGTTTTCTTCCATTTGAAGGCGACATCAAAGAAATAGTTCGTTGGAAGCACGACCCTTATAACGCGATACGGACGGCAACGGACCGTCACAAGTATCGGCACTTATAGTGCAATCAGTTGAATAAGAGACAGCCCTCGAGGCGTCAGCTAGATAACTTGGAAGCTCAGGTCGTAGAACAATAGGTTTTGAACCTAAAGGTCGCAAGTTCAAGTCCTGCTGTACCCAAGCTTTGAATTTAGTTATTCTGGCGGTACGAATACACGTCCAAACTAGATCTTAGTATCATCCGGTGGAGAGGATCATATATCACGAGCCATTACGCTAAGCCTAACGGTAAACCGCTTGCTCAGATGAATTACTTGAACAAGTCGACATTCATTACATTATAACTGACATAACAGTCATTTTTAGGCTCTGCATGCACATCTTTTATAGAAGTCGAACATAGAACATATTGTGTCACATGGAAGTCAGTTGGCAAACAAATTCAATATATTACGCAAAAACTGCGGCTTGCTTCTAAAGCCTTTAGGGAGAATGAACCTAAAGCAAGCCGTACTACAGGGAACTGAATTACACCAAAACCCTGATTGGTTTCAGCATACTACACGCATACCTGCAGCCTGGAGCCACAAGAAAACTTGAGCAGCCGGGTTTACAATGACTGTACCTGGCCCACAAACCTCGCAAGCTTGACTTTGTACAGATGCCTCTGAAATGGCATTTGGGAGCCAAACAACATCTCTGCACTGAAATAAAAAAGACCATACTTAAAGGTCAGATACTGGCTTCTCTCTATCGCTGGAATAAGTTCGTAGCTGAATACGCAGTTGCTTCATATGTGCTGCTCAAAGGACTGCCTTCATTTACATTGTCAAAGTACATGATGTAAATATGCTATGAACCTACGAATGCGTATGAGCCTTCAAGATTAGATCGACCACACAATCAATTAGTTGCCGGTTACCCTTGAAGCCGACTGTGCAAATCTTGATTGAAGTCAAAGTACTTGTCAGCATTATCTCATTGAAATAAGTGAAAAATTCTTCATCATGACACATGCACGGCAACGTCTTGGGATTGAGGGTTCTTACTAGGGGATATCCTGAGCAGCTCACGAAATAGTTGCCATCCTGCGACCAAATTCCAAAAATACATTCATTACAAAAGACCGAATATCCACCTGCGAATAAGCTCAACTTGCAGGAGGATTCCTATCACGCAGGTGAAGAGAGATCTTACCTGTCTCTTCTTCAAAAGCATATTGGACTGTTGACATGTAGGGCAACAGCGAACAAATTCTCCAATTGCTTCGCCTCCTTGTGTCCTTCCTCCTTGAGCTCTGGTGAACAGATCACTTATCAGAAATCAAAGCGGATCACTATCTATACCTTCAGTGATCACCTATCTACAAGATACATCTTTTAATCTACACAGTTTTGATCAAGTATCTAGGTATTCAAGAAAATGTACCACTTGCCACAACATCTCATACTTGGGCTGACCTGGGAATCTCGAAACAGGTTAGAGGATATAAACATGGGCACCCCTCTCTCATACCCTGACTAGAGGAAAATTAAGAGATGAAAGAAGAAAATCGGATCAAAGCAAGAAACAACACAACATCGAATGACAAAACAATCTGAAACGGAAGAGCTAGATTGCAGCTCAGAAAACCGAATAGCTAACCTTTCAAAAAAGAGCTCCATGGCTTCACAAAGTTTCTCTTTCTTTTGTCTTGCCTGTAAACCCGAGGAGAAGCTTTTGGGGTAAGAAAGAAAGTTGCAGTTTGCCGTATTGCTACATGATAGCTATCTTACTAAGCACTGAACTCTTCACCATACCGTTTTGGTGCTTTCTCCATGAGAAGGATTGTGAGTTGTATTCAGGAAAAACCAAACATAAGGAGTTGAAATAGTTAATAGACCAATAGTGAAAGCAGTTGCGGAGAATTCGAACTAACAGGCTTTGTGGCTGATTGGACAACACAAACTCTTCTCGAACACTGATAATAAAGTCTAAATCTTTATGAAGGACCCTACAGCAGTTACCTAGTATCTCAGGTTACTGATTTTCAGATAAAGACAGAGACAATATGCGCTTAGAGGCAGCAATGTACATATCGCCTGTCCAGATATAGATAGCAAAAAAAATGCAGGCCAATAAGATACGATCTACTTGTATTGATCTTTGGAGAGTCAAGATCATAGAAAAAAAAATGATTGAAATATGGAGTCCACATAGATTCAAAGAACATGGTATCAGGGTGCAGATGAGTCACCGTGAAGCAACAGGGGCGAGTGCATTCAATGCTGATAGTAGTTCCAAGGATATTAAAACATTAGATGAGCAGAAGAATTACATCGAGAAAGCAGTCTTGCATCTGCTGCAGACATGAGGCCAACACCACATCCTTGCTTTTCGTCCCTTCGCTCACAGCTTTCATATCATTCTCCATCATTGCTCGCAAATAAGGCTTCCACAATTCATACCTGTACATAAGAACTCAAGAAAGCTATAGACTTTACGCAGAGTTGCACGCTAACGCTAATACGCTATCGCAGATTGTAGGCATCAGGAGCCAACTACTTCACATGGATCTTTTCCTTCGTCCCTTCTATGTTTGCCTAAAACAACTTGACCAATAGCCAAGCTGTAATCTAAATTAAACCAAGTCGAAAAATGCAAGCTCCCTTACCCCATTGAATCGTAACCCATGACCAAAGCTTCACCCTGCAGATACGAAGGGCAAACTGCTCAGCTGAGCTTCTAAACAGCGGCCATTTTGACATGATCCCAGCGTAAGACAATAATGTGTTTGAGTGACCATCTGCAATGACGAGTTGTACTGATTGCTTACAAGGTTTGTTGGAGAAAATCGCGTATTGGCGTCTTTTGTAGCATAGCGACGATCCAGAATCTTCTTAATGTGATCGTGCATTGTAGCATCTGTACCAATTCCAGCCTGTGGTACCAATAGTTGCAGCAAGTTCTAAGTACAAGTCGACTTAGCACTTTACATCTGCAACTGTATTCCATAAACATTTCACTGACGTGCCTAAGCCTTCACGAAAATGGTGTAGAATACATAGGCAAACTGAACAGTCTGGCCGATAAAGAAGAGAAACCGACAAATAGAGAGAAGTAGACGCCTTAATCTTGAAAATTTCCCTGACAGATGGGCATCCGTACGCAACGAAACTTCAGCATGAACTTCTGAAACTCTTGAATGATATTACAAGCTTAATTTCTCCTTAAGCTTGGGGACTCAACCTTATCCATTAGGCTGATCAAGTCAGCTTCACTCAGTAGTGGAGGAGGCATGGTCATTCCCGAATCGAGAGTTAAGCTGTCCGGAACGAACTGCCACATGTTCAAGACTCAAGGTCAGTCGATGCTAAGTGCTCTCTTACCACCACTGAGGACATTGCTCTCCGACACTTCTATCCCAGTAAACTATCACAGAGAAAAAAAACCGTTTCTGCGAATACTAAGGAGCTAATTCTATCTCGAAAAATTTCAACTTCTATATAAAAGCTGATTTCTAACGCTGGTATTTCAATGTACTAACCTGCTGGCCTATCTCGAATGTGGGGAGCGTTGACGTGCCCCATGAATCATATATGTATACTTCGAGATAGTTTTTCTGGAAAAAAGAAAGACCAGATTACCAGTGAAACTATTTTGAAAATACTTTACAAGACGTCATGACTATATTACACCAAAAGGTCTGATGTAATAGGACAAACCACGGGGACAGAAACTTCAGAGCTCCATTCTCACATTTTAATTTATGTAAAGACAGTTTCATAACTGAAAGTAACCTGAATACGTTCGCTTAGACATGATGGCCCTTGTACACAGCAGAACCACAATATGGGACACCAACCGGCGTCAAGAACAAGCTCTAAACCACGTTCATTGGCTGCAATAAAGGGTCATGCTTAGAGAGTGGAGTAGCAGTATGTTCATAACTCACAGCTGTTATCATGAGTCCGGTTGCTGTGAACGTTTCTCCGGCAATATCTATACTTGCCGTCGATTTGTAACCAATGGCTGGCTGTGATACGCATGCCAGATAGTGGCGGACGACCAGCTCATAGACCCTCTGTCGATCGAAGTACGGTCAAAAAGATAGGATGAGACTTGTAAGGTAGAACCTTGAATAAAAGCACAGAAGGAATATTTTCATTAAGTAAAAAAAGACCAAGAGGAATGGGAAGCCTAACATACAGCCTGGTGAGACTAGAGATGACACCTTATTGATGGGCAGAAAAGCATGGTAAAAATGCGTATCTCTATGCATGCTAGGAAACACGTCCTTACTCGATGATCATGCGACCAGTTCGATTCACCTTCCGAAAAGCGGGTAGGATGAATAGGAGGGTGAGCTTTGTCATTATGACCTCCGTTACTGGGTTGTCGCCAGAGGTTGGATGCTGGATCCAGAAGACGCTGAGCATATGCCCCCCAGGTGCTATGTCCAGTTTGAGCCAGTACCATGGCCTGCGTTCCGGAATGGAAGAATACGATGAGGCTTGGACGTTTCCTGTATACTTGATACACAATGAGTTTCTAGCATTGCATTTTGGACGGGTTGTTTTAGGCTGAGACTCCACTTCTATGTTGAACATGTACTACGTCAATTGAGTTCAAGAGAAAGTAGTAAGTGTAAGCGTCTTTTGAATCACACGAATTGTGCTTTTAGCCGTTTATTGTGTTAGTCAGGGTACATTCCATAATACTGATACTTAGTATCATGTATCATGGAATACATGATACTGTATGATTCTGAGCAGCTGTACTCATTGTGCCTGTCATAGCCTCAAGAGAATGGAACCCGCGACCTGGCTAAACGGTCCAAAGGTAAGTATTCTGACACTGCATAACCCCATATCTAAGCGTTGAAGAAGGATCGTAGTCTAGACTAATCTCCCATCACACTCACCTGAAGGTCAGTATTCTCGCTGAAGGAATCTGTCTCAGTTCTTGGATAACTTATGAAGCCCGATTGATATAGCTCCTCAGCTACCTGATGACAGAAGCAACAGTACATTTTCCTCTCAGACGAAATGAAAAAGAGTACCTAAACAATGCCTTAATCGATCTCTTGAGCTGCTCAGACCCTCAAAAGAGAGTACACCTCTAGTTCACACTCTAGACAAGGTGGGATACAAACCCAACGCTAGTTTATTAGGAAGCACTACAATAAGAGCACTCAACGATGAGCGATCAACAAGAGTAGGTTATTAAGCTGGACGAAATGGTTGGCTCAAGGGAAACAGAGTACGCTGACGTATGGAAAACCGAAAGGGAACTTCCACCATTGCAAGGACAGCACAACGGCCTCTGAAGTCAAAACATTCTATCGGCCAGAAATTATCAAGAGCTCTTGATACTAATTCTATCATTGCACCTAAAATACCTTTACTTGACTAGAAGGCCTACGCTTGTCAAATAATATCTCTGGTGGAAATATGATCAGGTGATGAACCGATTCTTATTATGTGCAGAAAAAGAACACATCTAATAAACATAGTGCGGGCAGAACACCACGACAGTCCGTAGGAAAAAATTACTGCAACACATTCTAGACCATATGGGTAGCAAAACTTTGTGTATGACGTCACCTTCATAATCTGTTCGGAACCCATGCGGAAGTTTCGAGAGCATCGTTTTTGCAGCTCCACCGTGTTTAGAGGACAAGGTGGAAATTTACGAGTTTCTTGACCGGTCACTTGAATAACCTGTCCAGCTTCGACATATCAAGAGCCCAGCAAGGATAAGCGAAAGAATGTATTACTATCCCTCGATTCAGTAGGCAAACTCCTTCACAAAGCAAGCTTCAGAGGCAAGAACAAGTCTTCGATATCCTTCACTTGCACACAACAGCACCTGATACGTTTGTGTGTAATGCAATGAGATTAAAGAAGCGTTTCCTTTTGACAACTCCAAGAAATGGGTAATACTCCAACCAGGAGATCCAAAATATAACACACCGTGGCGGTTGAGTCTTCTAAACACATCTCGTAGATGACAGATGCAGCCAGGTGATCAAATAATCTTCCGCGCCTGTATAACAAATGATATACATAGTTTAAGAACTCTGCTATGAGTAGTACGATCCATATTTGCCAGCATGAACGGCAACTTAACAGTTTGGACTGCATGCTATAATTCCAAAATATGAACAAGTAAGCCGGGCATCGTGGTAATGAAGATAACAAAGATCACAGACAAGCACTCACATCCACACAAATTGACAAGAACCCTCATTTGCACTGTAGGAGCAATTTATGGCCCAAAATTCTTCCGGAACATGTGCTTGGACTTGCCAATATCGCTCCACTACGAACCCCAACGTTGGAAACTGATTCAAAGAAATATTTTGTTAGATGAAATGTCCGATGTTGTTAACCACTCCTTGAATTTCACTCGCAAACGAATGATTAGCAATGCTTCACTGTGCAAGATCTAAATGCTTTTGTGCGGTCTTCCAAAAAAGGATTCCTCCAGAAGTCTGACAACATTCAGTATACTACACATCGACTTGAGGAGTGACATCTCGTGAATTAACAATATAAAGACACGTTTAACAATTCCCATGTATATATATATATATATATATATATATATATATATATATAACACGAATAATGAAGAATTAAATTGGAAAGGACCTGGCATGGACCGTAGCTAAGCACCATCTTCCTTTCTTCGTCTGCATAAGGAAGTATGAAAGAATCTTTCAGCAGCATTGTCTGGAAGCGAGTGAAAGATGCGCCGATGCGTAAATCTATTTCCTGTTGGACATTTTGGACAAAATGTACAAGCTTAAATGAAGGCCACAGAGCTATATACAGCACAGAACCACATTGACGTTTTAGCAGTCAAAATTGATCACTCGAATCATTCAAGCGCTAGACGTCCTCGCCCGTAACTCGGACACAGCTACTGACCTGGCGGGCGTCCACTGCATCCGCAAACATTTTATTGGGTCGACCAAGATGCTGAGCAGCGTGGTGTATATCCCTAGCAAAGCGATACACCAAAGATCGGATGCCTCAGAGTGCTTTTCGAGAATACGTTCCAGAATTCTATTTGAGGCGATCTTGAACTAATATGTCTGGTGGTATGATCCAAAAAGGCTGAACAATTTAGCTGACTGAACAATTTGTAGCCAACGTCACATCTCAGAACACTAACAGAAATCAGAAATCCAACAAGCAAATAATCGGTTGGAAGAGAAGGGACTCCGTTCTCTTTCAGGCTATATGGCATAAACATAAACTTCATGAACGCTTCCATTTTCATGCGTCCTAGAGTCACACACACATATCAGATCCATTCTCCAGGAATTCACTGCTACTTTCAATAAAGAGCTCGAGCTACATTTCATTTATGTGTGAAAATCACCTTTCGATCAAGGCTGAAAAGTGAGCTCGCCAAATATCAAGTCTGGGATTGCTGCCCTGGCAGACCTCCACAACCTCATACGCAATATTTTCGCCTTCTCGATCACAATCGAGCCATAGAACCAACCTTTGACATCGCCTGGCCTCCTCTTGCAAAGTCCTTTGCAGGGCCAGTTTATCCTGCGAATCCCAATTGGATTCAACAACAACAACAACAAAATGAAGAGCCATAAAACGCGTAATTGTTGCTGAAGTGAAGATATGACAAGCGAAGCGACCTACCTCCGGTACTCGCTTTCGTATAGGTGCTTGATACAAAACAGCAGGATCGCATGAGTGCCATTTGCGATACTGATCCTCGAAGTCCATCTCCATCAAATGCCCAGTGACAGAAGTCATCAGCATCAAGCATGGCTGACCACCGATGGAGTAGGAAAATTCAAAAATTTTGTTGTAAGGAGAACGACCCTCGCGAACGTGAACCTGATTATGGGAAAGGATCCCAGCCACGGCCTTGGCAACGGAGGGCTTTTCGGCGACATTCAAAACTCGTGGCACGGCCATCGTCCACTGGAGAGGACATCAAAAGCACGCCGAAAATCTCCACGAGCTGCGTCGCGGTGACTGCTCCGGGACTCACCGAGGCAATCGGACAAAAGTCAGGCCCAAATCTTAGATATTCCCAAAAGGCGACACCTCCCAGCCACTCAAAAAAAAAGCAGAGGCTCGCACGCGCAGACGTCAATTTACTCACTGCACTGTACGCAATTCACTCACCTGCTGCTCGGGCCTCGCCCTCCGCTCCCTCCTCGAAGCGCCCCGCAAATCTCCCATCCCAGCCCAGCTCCCTCGCCTCAATTCCGAATCGGCGACCAGGCGCAGCAAATCCGAGCCTCGAATCCTCAAATCCTCGTCCCGCGGTCTCGATGATTCATTCGGCGCTCAAACGACGAGACGATCGACAAGAAGGCGGGAACACTCGACCCCGCACTCGGCCGCTCTACTGTATTGTACAGCCTCTCCTGTACACTTCTTGACGTATATTGTACTGTACATTACAGAGTAGATTAGAGTAGAATACGTATTCTTCATTAACTTACTGGCTAACTTAAGGCTTATCTGGCCAATCACGGGGCTCCGTTTCGTCGGGAAAGGCCAGCGGCGAGAGAGAGAGAGAGAGAGAGAGAGAGAGAGCCAGCCCCCGGGGGAACAGACTGCCGCTGCAGCTCCCGAGCTCTGAGAGAGAGAGGAGAGGAGAGGAGAGGAGAGGAGGGGGAGGAAGAGGCGAGTCCGAAGGCAGGGTACGGAGGGGGAGGAAAGGCCGGAGTGAGCAATTTATGCGGATCGAGGCTGCAAGGGAGAATCGGAATTGCGAGAGCGACTCTGAGCGAGTGGGAACGCTGCACGAGGTCGGTCCGAGGGTCGGGAGGAAGGGAGCGAGGGAACGAGGGAGGCAGGTCCCTGCTCTATTTTTCTCTCTGGGTTCTGGTTTCTGCGTAATTGGTGGTCGATTTGTAAACTTGGGGTCGGAATTCCGCGGGAGCGCGAGCATCTGATTGGGCCTCAGGATTGAGGCAGACGGAGACGGAGCAGCCGAGAGTCTGAGGCGAGGGAGGGAGGGAGGGAGGGCGGCTGAGCGGATGGATGGGAGCGTGTGTCGCACGCAAGCGTAGAGTCTCGGAAGAACGGGACGGAAGCAATTGTGCTGATTTGTACAGAGTTCGATCTTTGGTATGATTGGAATTCACCATTGACTGACTGTTAGGCTTAAAACGGGGGAGCGGAGGAAGGAAGGGAGGTCGAGAATCGAAATACTCGGGAGACTGAAATTGTGGAGTAGGAAAAGAGGTCGGATTTCTGGGTGTGGCTTGGACATGGGTGAATGAATGGCTGGCTCGACTGATCGAGGCTCGTCTTGCGGGGATACTCGGCGCCCGACGAAGGACGCACCGTCGCCAGGCGCAGAGAAGCAGGACGTGAGCGGAGAGAAACAAAAATAGTTTTGGTTTGGTTTTGCATGGTTTGCATTGTTCGATCGCTATTTCGCCAACCGCGCATGAGCCTCGTCTCCATAGCGCAAGTGCACGAGGGCGAAAATCTGGGTTTCTGCTTTCTTCAGTAGAGGATTGATTGCTGCAGAGTAAGGCGGATCAGACGACAAGGCGGCAGGGCCGATGGCAGTGCCAGGGTCGATTGCGGCAGCAGCAGGAGGAGGGATCAGGGATGAAGCCAGGACAGGAGTTTGAGGTTTCGTCGGAGTGGGCCAACTGGAAATTGGAGGCGATTGGTCGAGCGCCAGCGAGAGAGAGCGAGAGAGCGAAGCAGAAGCATCGATAGGAGGGAGAGATAGGAGCAAGAGCAGGAGCAGGAGAGGAAGAGTTGCTGGGCATGGAAGGATACAAGTTGAACACCGGGGCGACCATACCAGCAGTGGGATTGGGGACATGGCAGGCCGATGGATCGTCATGTCAAGCAGCAGTGGCCGAGGCGCTCAAGGTCGGGTATAGGCTCGTGGATTGCGCCCATTTGTATGGCAACGAGAGGGAAGTGGGCAACGCGCTGGGCGAGGCATTCGAGCGGGGATTGAAGAGGGAGGAAGTGTTCATCACCTCGAAGCTCTGGTGCACCACCGGCGCTCCCAAGAGGGTCACAGAAGCAGTGCAGATATCGCTCAAGAATTTGGGCCTCACGTACCTCGACCTGTACTTGTTGCACTGGCCGGTTCTCGCGCCTCTCGGGGATGCCACAGATCCTCCGCCTCGGTCCTCGGCGGAAGTGAAAAAGCCACTGCGCAGGTTGGAAGAAACATGGCGGGCTATGGAGAAACTGGTCGAGGTGGGGACGGTGCGTGCGATTGGCGTCAGCAATCTCACCGTTCCGCAGGTTCAGAACATTTTGAGCTTCTGCACGATTGTGCCCGCCGTGCACCAGGCGGAATTGCATCCCTTCTGGCGCCAGGATGAGCTCGTGAAGTTCTGTCAGTCGAAGGGTATTCATGTCTCAGCTCACACTCCTTTAGGGATTCCAGGCCGACGCTTAGAATCGGCCCCCTTCTCGGAAGAAGCACCGGAACCGAAGACTCCTCTCGCCCCCTCCTTGTCACGATCTCGCTCAGTGCATGCTCCGATGCTCAAAACCACCACCATTCAGGAAATCGCCGATCGTCTGAACAAGACTTCTGCGCAGGTCATTTTGCGATGGGGGGTTCAACGCGGTACCAGTGTGCTACCCAGAAGTCTACGACTGGATCGTATCATATCTAATTTTGATATACTTTCTTGGTCCCTTTCTGACGACGATTGGAAGGCCATAAACAGCATGGAGCCACAGCTCCAGCTGATCGAAGGCAACCATTCTTACTTGCAAGAGAATGGAGGGTTGCAAGCTGTTGAAGAGACAGAAGACCACGAGGTCGTGGAGGCATAAACAAATTGGATGTCTCCCTCTGACCAAGACCCTCCACAGCAACAGATGCAGCGGTGTGCCGCCGTCGTCATCCTTGTTTATGGCTGTTTATCACCTAGCAGCCACGGAGATGGTCATCATCATCATCTTCTGCTTTTTTATCTTTCGCAGATGATTGACCTCTTATTATAGCACTTTGGTTCCTTTCTCGCGCTGGGTGCGAGTTATAGCTGCTCTCTCTAAAAGTTGATAAGCGAATGACACTTTCCACTCGTTGTCTATTCTGCAATCAGATTGGAAGGCAGTTTGGTTCGCTATGGATTTATCCTGTTCCATATTTTTTTTGCATGAACTCATTTTTGTAAACGATCTCCAGTCATCTGGTTGTGAGCACAGCAGGCTTTAAATTACTATCAAGCTTACCAGAAATGATCCTTGGTCAGGACTCAGGATGAGTCTGCCCTCGAACGAGTACAAACGTGTCATAGATGGAATTGTTCAGAAGGAAATGAATTCGCCGGGCTGTCACCAGGAAACATCATCTTGGCCTCAGGACGGCTAAAAGTTGGCTATCTGTTGGCTATCATCACCATGTATAGAGCAACGTCCTGTGCACGGGCACTGCAATGATGCAATCAATGTCATGCCGCCCTCTCTTGTCTGGGAAGTACTAAAACACAGTATTCAATGAAATGTAGGGTCCTCAACTACGTGACACGTCTTGCACGTACCACTCCTGGAAAAGTCATGTCTCCGCACGGCTGTGGATCTGGTCTCCAATGAGTACACACAATTCCAAGCTGATTCCACACAATCACAGGCACACGTAATCTGCAACGGAACAGCTCCGAGGCCATAGGCCTTGAGATCTCGCCCCTCTCCCCACGGTCGTACAGTAGTGAATTCTGGCCAAACGACAGTGAAGCCATTAAGAAATGGATATTTGTGCAGTTATACGAGGAATTTCACTCGGAATCTCTGGATTTTGGACAATTGACATGTCACTCGCGCAGGAAGCTGCACGCAGAATGCAACAAATGGAATCCAGAGGGACCGACTTACTACTGCACCTCGGTGTCGTCTGCAACACTCCAGAAGGAGAATGAGCAGGAGGCCGAAATGCTTCCACTTCATGTCCTATTCCTGTAGCGTATCCAAAGCCTGGAGATGGTGAAGACCTGGACCTGTAGTTGGCTACTTGATCCCGGGTGTAGCTACAGGCACAGCACACGACACGACAAGTGAACAAACTCTCAAGGCCATCAGCATCCAGCTAGCTCGTTCGTGTAAAGGCGGTGTTACGAAGCAATTGTCTTTTCAGAAAAGGGGAGTCTCAGAGACGCACTGCTGCTGGGCTCTTTGAGGTGCTCGGAGGGGAGGCGGGTCTGTGCAGAGCAGCGAGTGCCCCTTCTGGCGAGCAAGCTCCTTCCGTCCTTCATCTCGTGCCGGAAGTTCAGACCAGAGTGTACGAGCTGGTGGAACTTGGTCGTTGCGGGTGGCACTCGGTCACTCGGCCTGTCAGTCCGTGAATCGAGAGGGTGCGGTGCCACAACAGCATCCATCCATGTGGATTGCTTAGATTTGCTTTGCCCGGTGAGAGGGATGTCAAAATTGGAGATTGAGGGCGTTGTGCTGGTAGTGGGAGGTTCTGGGTATCTGGGCCTTCATCTGCTCCACTATCTAGCCACGAGCACCAAGTTCCGGCTCGCCTACACTTTCAACAAGAACGACGCCCCTCGATCTCACCCTTCTCTCCAAGATGTGCAAGGCTTCCATGTGGATCTTCGCACAGGCGTAGGATGGGACCAGATCTCCAAGACGCTGGGACCAGTAAGCGCTCCCGTATTCCCCAGCATAGCACAAATCAGGCTTAGCGCAATGGATGTGTGCAGGACTGACTCTTCCTACGTGCCTGCGCAATGAGTTTAGGACGAGCTTGCCTGACTAATCAGCATTTTCAGAATTTCACACGTACTTAGCCTGTTGCACATCCATCCAGCTTATGTCTCGTCTAGTGACAATCGACATAAGCTGCTAGATTTGCAGCAGGAAGAGCTCTTAACTGGAGGCCGAAGTCTGTTTTGCAGATGGGGCTCAATGCTGGCCAGGTTCCTGACATCAATTTAGAAATGTTCAGAAGATGTGTCTGTATAATCATCCGTATCACGCGATAGGAATGTAATGCACTGAATCTAGCTTCAAATCTACCGCTGATCTGATTAAAACTGATTAAGAGTCATTCTAAGTGTTGTCTACTGCTGTCTGTGGCCCCTGCGCTGACTCAATCGAAGTACACTGGGCCTAGCCCGCTGCAGTTGTGAACTGTGCAGCAATTTCGGTTCCTCGGGAATGTGAGGAGAATCCTGAACAAGCGTCTGAAGTCAATGTTCCGCGATCGCTCATCCAGTGGTTGAAGTCTTTCGCCCACAACAAGCCACTGCTTGTTCATTTATCCACTGACCAAGGTTCGTTTCGTTGAGCTCTGGCTCCAGTCAACTCCAATTAGTCTGATTGTACTATGCATAGCCCTTGCTGTAGAAGCTGCCTTTGTTTGCCAGATCTTCCTTCTGAATGGGCCATTGATCAGACTCAAAAGCTTATTACGGATTGTGTGCACTCAGTGTATGAAGGCACAAAGTCCTTCTACAAAGAGGATGAGGAAACCAAACCAGTCAACGTGTACGGAAAGTCGAAAGTGGAAGCTGAGAAGCACATACGAGCTCACTGGCAGAACTTCGCTGTACTGCGAAGCAGCATCATCTATGGACCACAGCCTGTTGTCCCAGTGCAGAAGTCCCTTCCTGTTCAGGTAACGTGAATGCAGTGCCGGCCACCTTCGTCGAACTCAGCACGGAAATGAAGCTTGGAAATGGCTTATTATCGCCTATCTTGGCAGGACTTGTTTTGATTCTGGGAAGCTATGGTCTTTTAAGATTTTCTATACCCATGTCTCGTGAAGCGACACTTCACTTCACTCCTTTATTCATAATGTAAGTTTGATAGCTATTACATCCACTTCCTGAATCGTGTGGTCGTTGTCCACGTTTCCTACTCTTTAAGTGTTGCTTATTTATCTGACGCTCATAACGCTTGACGATGGTTTGCAGTGGATGGATACGACGCTTGCAGCAGGCAAGAAGGTAGACTTCTTTACAGATGAATTCAGGTGCCCAGTCTTCGTGAGAGATGTCGTGAAGGTGGTTTTGCTGCTAATTGCCAACTTAACGGCAGGTTTGAGCTCAACTCGTATGATGGCAAGCACCTTATACAGCTACGTTCAATATACTTCTGAGTGAACTAGTTGTACTTATAGTATTACTCTATCATGTTTATGACGCAGAACGCTGAAGCTTTACATGAAGTACTTTTCTTTCTTTTAGAAGTATTCGAAAGCAGCAACCTCCAGCTTCTATTCGATTTTCGTTTCTGAAGATGATCTTTGTGCTGTTTCATGAGTACAGAGGGGGGTTTTGCCCAGCTCGTGCTCAATGTTGGTGGCCCAGACCGTCTGTCCAGGGCCGAAATGGCTGAAGTGGTCGCGGAAGTTAAAGGCTACGAGGCATCGTTAATCAACCATGTGAAAGCATCAACGGTACCGTCCAATTTCCAGCTGCTATAAGTTTGCTGATCATGGACAGTGAACTGTTCTTACTGCTGTCAACTATCTGCACTCGTACTAAGGACCCTGAACAGTAATTAATCCACCACATACGTGGCAACTGATTGTGCTATCTGTTCGTGCCTTCAGGTGGATCGAGGCGTTAAAAGTCCCCCGGATATTTCTATGGATGTTAGCAGATTAGAAACCTTCTTTGGCATTACTATGACGAAGTTTGCTGACGGTGTTCGCCAAACTCTTAGTCTTCCTCATCCAGCTTAACAACATGTAGATTTGAAAGCTCAAGGATTACGTGCCTTCATCGAAATAGCATGTACAACTTACGTACATCTCATAGCGTCAAAACTCAAGAAAATATCCAAGCAAAGACACAAAATGTCTCTTTCTCAAACGTGATGTGATCGCATCTCTACACACCTGGACTATCTGATGGGAAACAATTTGCCGCAATGAAGAGCTTGCACCACTTCCGCAAACGTCGTGCTATGGATGTCCTTATCAGCAGAGTAGTTGTGAAACTGTGTGTATAGTGAACCCGCACCAAAGATGATAAACTTAGTAATATATTCGAAACAAAAACTGACACTAAAGAGCTATTAATTTAAGAACTACCTGAGACGTATACTTGAGAAAGTGTGAAGTTTCCCTCTGTATGTAGCGTTTCATCACGTGGTAATAAACGTAACCGTAAACAGTCCCTTGTCTTCACTTGAGCCTTTCACGGACTGAACGTGTCAACGATGCATCCCCTTCATGCACATTATGCTGCAGTGGTTCTGAACATACGAAGAGCTTCATACTATCTTGAATTTCGAGAGAGAATGTTTAGGCAATATTATGCCAAGCTCACTCAGAATAGCAGCCTTTATGTGTTGTATGATGAATCTGAAGGAGATCCAACTTGAAGATGAGATCTTTGATGGTAAGTTGGGTTAGTGGTCATAGTTACAGTTTTTCTTTATCATTCTTGCGACATAAAGCTTCCAACAGCTTTGGCAGATGATGAAAGTTTTCATATGTTTGGCAGTTAGATAATATAACATTCCTGTCCATAATTAGTCTTTTGTTACGTCAGTCAAATCATTCAGGGTGAGTTTTGAGCTCTAAGTTTCAGTACTTACTGACCATAGGCAGATATGTGAGCAATAACAATTGTCTTAGCACTCCTCACAGGAGCCTTCGTTGATTTTACTACTAGGGCCCGTCTCTCCAATCGCAAAATGATTACCGGGACCTACTTTGTTAAACTACAGAGGCGCAGCAAAGAAGGCTCTTTCTATATCACATGGTTTTGAAGTCTTCCCCATCATCTGCTCGATGTGCATATTTTTACAGAAGGCACTCCAGATTAAGTCTTACACGCTTCTGACGCCTCCATGGCAGCTGTAGTCAGGGGCTTCAGTAAAATTTACCCAGAGGTCTGTACTTGGATCGTCAAGCTCCAAAAGAATCTGCGTGAGGAAAGACGAGCCGCCAGATAAAGATGTAAACATTCACATCTGGTGGTTTTTTCATTTGGCAGTTCCTGGAATCCTACAGATATGAAAAATTGTGGGAGACTTTGGGACTAAATCCTTACCAGATCATTGTCTCCAGCATAAAAAAGGGGCGCAGGGATGTAATAGGAACACTGGGGACCTTTGACCTAACGCAAGAAAGTAAGATGTCCGATAAGAAACCACCAACAAGTTACTGAAAGTTACTGGAAATTTGTATTTCTAATTAGAGCCTGAACCATGCTAAATGCGACGATTCCAAAGAAAGTATCCTGCTAAAACACGGTATTTGAGTAGCTTCTTTCCTGGCATCCAGTTATATGCATTTTAATGAAAAGGCTCGAATTTTCCTTCGGCTGTCCAGCCAAAATAAAAGCAATTACCGGCCAATATCGTCCAAGATTGAAACCATTCAGAAATGCCACCCCCTTCGACCAGCCGACTACTGATAAGAATGTGTCAGCGGGTTTCTCAACACTCAGCTGTCCACGATAGAAAGTAGGTCCGTCGGTCCACTTCCCTACAGCAAAGGGCCACAAATGAGGTCTTAGAATTGACAGCAGAGATATGATCCTGACTGTACATAACTGGACAAGGTAGGAAATAAATCCAACGCAGGCTTCAGCGGTAACAACCCTCAGGAACGAAAGTGAGCGGGAAATATTCTAAGCAGGAACAAGAGTAGATTCGGCCGAGATCATAACGTTGCCAAGTTCTCAGCTGTGGAAGTGAAGGTAGCAGCAAGACCGAAAGAAAACTATAATTGCAAGGATAAAACAATAATTCCCTTGAGTTACACAAATAGATGAACCAGAGATGTAATCGTTGGAAGGCAATTTCTTTTTACGTATAAGGAGAAACAACACTCGTGCCTTGGAACGAACATTTCTAAGTAACTGAGCATGTATTTGCTCAGTAACGTCTGCATTACATTTCTCTTAAAAATGTAATGCAGACGCCCTTCTTTCCTACTCTATTTTATACATTTTACTCTGGTTTAGCCGTACTGTGCGGATCCTTGTCTGCATAATGTCCATAAGTAGCGTCGTGAATCGCTGTCAATAATCCGAGACCCATGTTTGCTGAGAATTCCCGCTGATGTTTTGCCAGTATCCTGCATACTCTTCTGCTAATTTTTGTTTTTTTAATTTTTCTTCTCTCATATACACCCATTAGATTTAAAACTTAAATTTGTTGATTTTGAATAACGAAAAAAAGTTATTCAGAAATTGTACATAGGCACAATATGACCTACATGCCCGTAAATATTACAGATAATAACGGTATAAAAGGTCTTATTTGAGCAAGATAAATGCGGAATAGACTAACATGATATGCGCATAGATGTTCAGGAAGCATCAATAAACATAAAGTGAGAGCATCAAAGAACATCCTTGTATCTACTTCATCAGCGCTATGTTAGAATACTGATTACTCCCTCCTTCCTTGCTGTCGCTTCTTGTGTAATTATAGTTAGGACTGCAGCTATGATGTAACAGACACCACAACCGTTCCCACTACGGAGGTGTCCCTGTGATCATTACCTTTGTCACATGTGTAATTATAGTTAGGAATGCAGCTATGATGTAACAGAAACCACAACCGTTCCCACTACGGAGGTGTCCCTGTGATCATTACCTTTATCACCTCGGATTGGGTAATTAAATCCAATCCGGGTCCTATGTTCATCAACAACTCAGAGCTACTCTCTAGTACCCATTGCTCTTGCTTTATTTTTCTACTATGGTATCAGAGCTACCATCTGTAAGAGTTGTACCTGTGCCCTCTTGAAGATTCTCCATCCGGCAGAGCTGATCAGAGGGCAAGGGAGACCCGAAATTGATAAAAAAAATTAAAATTGCGAGTGAAATTTCATCACGTTAAAATAAATTTTCAAAGTTCCGGAAATTGGGTCAGCTTATTTCGCGCAGAATCATAGAAGATCAATTGAGTTCTGGAAGCTTGTCCAAGGGCTTCAACAAGAACGCATGGAAAGATCTTCCCAAATTCAAGGGATAACATTTCCATTCTTGGAAGAACAAGATGAGTTGGATCCTTCGAGTGAAAGGATTGATGGGTGTCATGGAAGTTAAAGAATCCGACCAACCACTCCACCTGGTTCTACAACCAGAATTCATGAGTCAGGCGCAGTGAGTAAGAAGTAATGGGAGGATAACTCATTGGACAGTGTTGAATGGCAGTGTTGAATAACTCGTTGGACGACCATCAACATCCATTGATTGCTCGCTATGCTACAACAGAACTGAATACAGTTTTTGAATACCATGACATACCAATGCAGATGCACTTGAGAGATGCATTGAATACTCTCAAAATGAAGAAAGGCGAGTCTAAGGCAGAACAAATCTCCAAATTTTGTCTACTTCTTGACTAGTTGCCATCCGTAGGACAGACTATTCCAGAGACATAAGCTTATACATGTCTCCTTCGAAGTCTTCCTATCGAGTATAGATCTTTTTGTGCGTTTGATGCGATCACAGCACACGTTGACCGCTCAATCTGTTGTGCTAGTGTTCTTCTTGAAGAATCACACCTCCAAGAAAAAGAGTTGACCTACGGAATGACAGCACTCTACACAGCAAAGAGACGAGGGTGAACGCCAAAGATGAAACATCCAAGGAACTTCACTAAGGCAGGTTCTTCATCACGACAAGAACCTCCTGCGAAACCATCTATTCCCAGGCAAAAGATGAAGTATTTCTATTGCAAGAAGAGAGGCCATCTTGCTAACAGTGTATAGAGAAGAAACAAGACAACTTTTGTGCACATTGTACAGCAAAAGATCATCAACGGTTGTATGTAATCGCGCTATCATCCATCGAGATGGATCCGGCCTGGTATGTGGATTTTGATGCTACCCAACACATGGCATACAACAAAAATGCCTTTGTGACATATATTTAACTACCATCGGAGGAGTTCATATCCTCACTCGTTCATCTGGGCGACAACAGTCGCCAACCCATTCAAGGAAAAGGTAAGGTTACATTTCTTTGAAAGATGGACAATAACGGATAATAACCGATGTCTTACATATTCCTACTCTCCACAAGAATCTGTTTCCAATACATCAGCTTGTTCTCCAAGGAGGGAGTATACTAGTTCAGCTTGTTCTCCAAGGAAGTACTCTACTCGTTCAACCTGATCAATGCATCTTGAAGTACAAGATGGGTAACGTCATTGCTCAATGCATCAGTGACAACAACCTATTCAGGCTGGGAACGATTTCTTTCAACACACCTGCAGTTCCTACCCATGTTAGTTATTCGGCTTCCAACACTGAAGAGCTGAACACCTATCAAAGGCATCAGAAGCTTGCATCAGAAGCTCGGCCATATGAGTCTTCCGCGGATTCAGAAAATGAAGCAGCATCATATGGTAGAAGGGTTGATAAATATTCCTTTCGGACTCTCACTTTCTGCACTTCATGTGCTCTATGGAAGTCTACCAGAGCCAAGTTCCCAAGCAAAGGAGCCACTCGTGCTATAGACCTTCTTGATCTAGTGCACACAGATATTCGTGGCACTCTGAGAACTCAAACCTTCTCTGAACGTAAGTATTTCATCACATTTATTGATGACCTTTCACAATATACGCATGTGTATTTGATACAACAGAAATCTGAAGCCTTTGCCAAGTTTCAGGAATTCAAATCGATGTTGAAAATTACCTGAACAAGAGCATCAAGGTCCTGCGATCAGATAATGCTCTTGAATACAAATCTGGAGCTCTTACTGAATTTTGTACGCTTCATGGCATTCAACGACAGTTTTCTATTCTTGATACTCCTGGACATAACGGAGTAGCTGAACGGAAGAATCGTACTTTGATCGATTCAGTTGTCGCTATGTTCACACATTCTGGTCTTTCTCATGGCTATTGGGGCGAAGCCATCCATACTACTGTTTACTTGCAGAACAGATCTCCATCGAAGGCTCTACCCAACGACAAAACCCCTTACGAACTTTGGCATGGACAGAAGCCGGATCTGCACCACTTACAAGTTTTTGGATGTACTGCCTTTGCCCATATTGAGAAAGGCCATCGGGGTAAGATTGACCCAAGAACGTAGAAAGTGTTTTCCTTTGTTATTTTCCTACAGCCAAAGGATATCGCGTACAGCGTAAAGACTCTCATAAGATTCTTGAAAGCAGATCTGTCAGATTTATGCTTCTTGCAGTTCGGGAAGCTACCTTTCCCCATCAGCAGGCATCCGTTGTTCCGCCTGCTGTGCAAGAAGGTTTTACTCCCTTTCGCCCTATTCCATTAGCTCCATCGACTGATCCAGTTCGCAGGATATTACCAGCAGAACGGCCACCAGCAGTAGGAGAATTCAGTCCATTGATACCATCACCTGGAGTGGGAGTTCCACAGGCACCTTCCACTTCCTCAGTGAGTCATCCTCCCACAGCTGAAGTCCCTGCCACTTATCCGGCCCGTTTTGGCCAGACTTATCAGAGGCGCAGATGGAAGCTACGGGAGAATCCTCTCTCCTCTGCTACTCTTGTTGATACGGTTCGCAACCTCGAGAACTTACTGGGTGAACTCAGACTTCAAGACACTACATCTGAGGTACCGGCTACAGCTACAGCTAGGGGGCAGCTTCATCCTCTTCCCGCACCATCAATCCTATCTTTCGAAGGGGTGAAAGAGTAAGGAAACGTGTCGAAAAATATGATTAACTGTTGGAAAAGAAGACGAAGCATCGAGGTTTATTTTCGTATGGAGAGACTCACCAAGAACCTACTACTTATCAAGAGGCCTTACAGACTGGTGATTCTATCAAATGGAAAGAAGCTATGGAGGATGAATTTTCTTCTTTGAAGAAAAATCAAACCTGGACATTGACAGAGTTACCTGCGGGTAAGCACGTCGTTGGCTGTAAATGGCTTTATTAAATCAAATACAAGCCTGACGGTTCTGTTAATCGATACAAGGTCAGATTAGTAGCGAAAGGATATTCACAGGTTTATGGTGTTGACTTTTCGGAACCATTTTCTCCTGTGGTGAAGATGACATCCATTAGGGTGTTAATGGCTCTAGCAGCTCAATACAATTTGGAGCTGCACCAGATGGACGTGAAAACTGCATTTCTGAACGGGGTATTAGATGAAGAAGTCTACATGGCCCTTCCTGAAGGGTTGAATATCTCTTATGAGAAAAACATGGTATGCAAACTGAATAAGTCCATTTATGGACTGAAGCAATCTTCACGACAGTGGTATCAAGGGATTGACTCGTTCTTACTTACTGCAGATTTTACCAGAGCTGATGCAGATCAGAATGTTTACATATACTCTAAGGAGAATGCATTTGTGTATTTGGCACTATATGTGGACGACTGTATACTGGCGAGTGATTCCTTGCATCTTCTTACGAATATCAAAGAGAAACTCAAAATTTCAGAACTCGATTGATCTTCTGTGATTCACGTTCTGGGCGTTGTGAACACTGACCCCAATTTCCGGAATCTTGACATTTCACTCGAACGTGATGAAATCTTTAAAATGTCACTCGAAATTTTAAAAATTTCGGGGGGAGCCCGAAATTTTTATGAGCTGAATATAGACGTGTTTCAAAACGTGATGAAACTACCACTTGAACGGGGTTTTTTACTTTCAGAACTATCAAATGCGCATGATGAGTACAACGAGATATTTACCTTCTATCAGGAATGGCAGACCATTACCTTCACCACTATTCTCTGTGAGTGCACGTGAGGTCCTCTCCGTCTTCCGGTCAGAAACTCGTTCAGCGACTGAAGGAGGAATTGAATCTAAAGGTATTGAGAAGGAAATCCAATCAAGTATAGGCGTTCCATCCAAAAGCACAGCCGACAATATCCCCTGCGCAGGATTACTGCCAGAGCGTGAGTTCGAGTGCATCTAATGCACAAACCTGCTTGCTGAAAAAGGCATGAACAGTAACCACTCTCTTTTCCGCCAGCAACTGCTTCATTTGAGGCTTTGTCAAAAAAATGAAAATAAAGAGCACACATCTGAACAATGTAATTCATAGAAACCCTACCGTAATAGAGGGACAAAAGCTAATCCTTTGTTAATTGCTTAAATCAAATGTCACAATGTATCGTTTTATTAAAACTTCCGACATCCACATTCAAAACCAGGGCCGAGGCTGCTGCTTTGAAGAAAACTTCACTAGATTGGCAAGGATGTGCAAGTATAGAGGAGAGCGTATAGTGCTCACGCAGAGGGGACAGTTGATTCAAACCTTACCTTGGGATCGTACACAAAAGGGCCGTAATTGACTCGACCCATATTTTCGACCTGCAAGAAGTAGTACGAGTCCTTAGACCTTCCACATGTAACTGAACACTTGCCAGGTGCTACATAGTCCCTCAAAAGAAGAATATAGAGCTCAACGATTGTAATGAGCGTGCCAGTGTTAGCACCTTTTGTTGAGAAAAAGTTACAATATCTTTAGAAATGGTAGTTTCATACGCAGGATACACTCACAACATCTTGCAAGCTAGTTCTACTACTAATCGACATCTGAGTGTTGGTTCCCCCAATTGATTTGGTATTCATAAAATCTTACCAAAATATCCAGTTGCAAACCTGGCACAGCTACATTAGAGGGTAACCACAATGTATCACTGGACCAGCGCTCGAGTGTCCCAACGTGTAAATATCTCGTCGAGGTCGTCTCGTCACCTTCGACTAATCCTGATATGAAAACCTGTGCTCGATCATGAACCTGCTCATAACAAAGTAAGGTTTCAATAAGAAAGTACCGGTTTCGCCGAAACTGCTTTGCATAGAAACTACTTGAATACATCGTTTGGTTACACAGGGTGTTAGAGAGATTTGCTCATGTAGTCGCGCAAAAAGTTCATGCGGCTGCAATTATTGGAAGAATGAAGGATGTCCAGATGGAGAGAGCGTGGCAACACCAAGTATCGTCTTGGGCTAGAGAGGTTTAGAATGTGACATTGGACAGCACTCTGAGCCCGGCTTAGCCCGATTCAGCTGTACAGTCTACTAAAACTTCTGTTCTTTCCTAGAATATTATACCCTCTCAGAGTGTGCATCAAGGTCGTTCCAAAACGTTTCATCCAAAACGTTCTCTCCCAATACTTCATCTCGTACGAGTTTTTTGCTAATATGTTACAGGCAAGATAGTGAAACGAAAATGGAGATTGAGGTATTTAATACAAGCGATTACATATACTCACACAGATATGTATCTTGTAAGGACATTGCTATGTAAAAAAAACAGGCAGAATACATATCCTTTTGGCCCTCCAAAGACTGTCTGAGCAAGCGATTTTAACTACAAAACTTGACCCACTGATTGAACTTTTTACAGACATAGTTAGATACAGACCCATCGCCAGCATAAGGTAAGACATTTCAACGACAACAACAAGACCATGTGTATGCAATAAATCACCATCGTCCACCTTCAGCATCACTCCAGGGCCATATATAGTTTTCCCATAATTTCTTGTGGGAGATGTACATGCAGCAGAGGAAAATTCGACAGGTATTGGGGAAGAATTAAGAAACTGGCTACTGTGTCCAGTACAAATGAGAATATCAATGTCTCCCTAGAACACTGTGGATAGCACTTAGATGTAGAGGACTAATTAAAAATTTATGATGTTAATATATTAGTTATATATTGATTTATGAGTAGGAGCCTGTTGATCGTTATGAAGCGACACCTATATCTGGAGTAAATGGAGTATGAAAGCATCTGAAATATTCGCATAATCAATTTGACATGACACAGCGTTTACTTGACTCCAAATTTTGAGATTGTATCAATTTCGAAAAATTTGACTTCGAACAGTCTGACACACAGCTATATGCTCTAAAAGTCTCTATATTCTCTCACAACGTACACAGACGCATACACTTTTCGGGGTCCTGATATAACTTCCATGGGTTTCATACTTGTTAGAATTGTTAATTATCCAATCCGAGATGACAAAGGAAATGAACAGACACAGTGAGACACACCTCCGAAGTGGGTAACGGTTAGTCTACAGTACTAACTATAATGACACCCAGAAGAGACAGCAAGTAATAGATTTTCAGATATCTGAAAGCAACTCTCGATTTTGGCTTTGTGTTTACAAGGGTTGATAAAGCATCTGGTTTGACTGGATATTCTGATGCGGACTGGGGAGGTTGCCTTGACACGAGACGATCTACTTCTGGATATTGCTTCCAACTCGATGGTGGAACCATTAGCTGGAGATCAAAGAAACAAAAGTCAGTAGCACTTTCTTCTACAGAAGCAGAGTATATGGCTTTGTCCAAGGCTGGAGCTGAAGCTATATGGTTAAGAGAATTATTGAACGATCTAGGCTTTGAGCTGGAGTCCACAACAATATTCTGCGACAATCAAAGTGCTATTGCACAAGTAGAGAATCAGAGGAAACATGAAAGATCTAAGCACATTGACGTTAGATATCACTTTGTCAGGGATCTAGTCGAAATAACTTGGTGAAGTTGGTTTTTCTTCCAACCCAAGAGATGATTGCTGATATTATGACAAAACCATTCCCTAGAGAAGGCATTGGAGTCATAATCAGAATGTAGGTTTGTTAGTTGGAAATGAGGAAGAGAGAAGTAAATAGGTAGTAAGTGGGAGTGTTAGAATACTGTTATACTCCCTATTACTTGCTGTCTCTTCTTGGTGTACTTATGGTTAGGACGGTAGACTACAGCTGTGATGTAACGACCACCACTGTAACCGTGACCCATTACGGAGGTGTGTCTCACTGTGTCTGTTGATTTCCTTTGTCACCTCGGATTGGGTACGTACACCCTATCCGGGACCTGTGTTTAATTAACAACTAAGAACTCCTCCTCAGAACTCAGAACCTGTGTCGACCCATTCTTGCATTGCTCTCTAGGACCTTTTCTAATAATACTTCTTTGGAGTAGAGCATAGACAGCCAAACCATGAGATGTAGAAGACAGTTAGTTGACACAAAAACAGCAATCACCTACTGACCTTCGCAGGCAAAGCTAGATCCTGAATTATACATTGCAAGATGATGAGAAGACATAGATGATTGGATTTCAATGTCAAAATGTAAGATATTCCAAAACACATTTCTGTAGGTAACCGTTATGGAACTCTCTGTAGATATAACCGAACTTTGGAATTCTGGAATCACCTTTGAGATGCTTATCTTACTTCCAGCTTTTGCGTGTGACGGTAAATTGGTTCGGTATAGTATAAACCCGGAGATCTGGGGCACCAACGAACAAAGCCAATGAGATCACATCAAGAAATTTGGGAGCCTACATATATCCAAATTTTGACTGAACAAAGTAATGTACAAAGCATACGAACTCCATAATTGATTCTCAAGAAACAAAAGAACGTAATATGAACCTGGTGTACTGATTCCATTGAACTGGGTTGATCCATGTGTAAACCGCTTGGATCTGTACTGATATATTCAAGTATATGGAACAGAGAAGACAGTTTATGCAGCTGTAAAGGTCCAAAAGCTTTTCTCATTGGTAGTGGTGGTGGAGAAGGTGGTGACTCCAGGATGTAACGGCCGAGGACGGCCTTCAAAGCTGCAATACATGCCAAAAAGAGAAATCTAATCAGAAAAGAGCAAGTTTGACGCAAAAAACAAAATGTAGATATGGAAGCCATCGCCATTTGCAAACTATGTAACTTTGGTACAATTGACGGCAAAATAGATACTGAAGACTACACCCACCCTGAAACTTGGGATTATCGATATCACCAGCCTCTCCTATTGGGGCATCCTGGAATGACAGAATAATAGATATAATGAACAGTGATGGGGACCGCTCTTGAAATACATAGATGAAGTAGAAACATGGAGCTACACTTCACTTCATGGGCCCAACCAGGTAACATTGTGGCTGATTTACGAGCACAAAGGAAAGAAAAATGAGCAAAAGTAGCTTGGCCTAAACAATTTTCTCAGTTCAAGGAACCCACATAGTCATAAGAAGTTATATCAGGCAGGAAGTCACGAACTGAACTTCCTGTATTTGAGCCACTTGTAAAGCCAAAATTGGTCCCACCGTGTAACATCTGTTCCACAGAAGAGGTACATTATGAGAACTCCACCTTATACTTGGAAACAGTGATTATCCTAGATCAGTCATGAATAAGAATGTATATGGACTTTTAAGCTGACAATCTAAGCATCAAAAAGGCCTTGCAGCAGATGCAGAATCTACAAAGAGCAAACTCTAAAGTTCCTCTCTACTGAATCATGAACCATTCCTTTAAGTGTTTGTAACTGTAATGTATGGTGACGCAGCTATAAACTGTGAAACAAACCCATTAGTATGTGCCTGCCTGTCAGTTACACCACGCGCCGTGGCTCCCCGGTGCTGATATAAATTAGAGCTGAAATATTAGGTTCAAAAACTTACATAGAGCACAACTGAGGCATTAAGATATAATATCCTGTCCAAAGCTGCTGCTGTGTACTCGGGGTCGGTTTGAGCTAATTGTTCACCCCAGTGTGTGAGCCAACCGGTGTAAAATTCACTGTATCCCCGATACATCCACAAACAGAATTACGTGTTTACAATGATGACAAGTTTCAACATGTGCCTTTCGAGGTTTCCAACAAGGAGTTCATCAGCAAAGGAAGCCAGCAACAACCTTGATAAAGAAGGCGAGTTTCCCTGAGCGTTGTACTGTTTTTGAAGTGCAAACGCTGTTGCCGGATCCCACTCTGTAGGGAAGTCCACAGCTGTAGAACAGTCGCAGATGATGAGGTGAGATGTATTGAATTTCGTGTTGCATTCCTTGGACACAAAAGAGCTTATGCTAAAACTTTCCAGAATAATGACTTCTCAGAATAGGCTGTGAACATGATTTCTAATATATTGTGTAGTCGAATTGGAAAAACACTTGGAATATGCATTCAAATGAATGGAGAACGCGATTGTAGTTTGCATATTTCCACCTGTGTAAACACCACTTCCTTCAAGACTTCCGTGCTCCAAATTTTTAGATACGGCACCATCGGTAGTGTACCTACGAAGTACAATTCAAGTCTATCAAGGATTTACTGGGCAAAATTCGTGGTCCTTGTTGTAATCTCTGCAGTGTACTACGGGATTCAGTATGGATTGTCATGGATGTTTACTAATGACTAAGAATCCTAACTCAAATTCTGGAGTTGAAATGAACGTCTGGCCGGTCGACATTAACACTTCCTCTGGAATTCATCTATCTTCTGCGTTCATGAGCATGATTAAGACCAAAAATCTCTACACCTAGGCTTGATAAATCTCAAATAATTACGGATTTTGTTCAAGTGCGATCATACGACATAAGGGTCGTATGATCGTCTAAACCCTACATGTCTTACTAAAGCAGAAAAAGCTGTTAATAACACAATACAGGTTTGATTTCTGACTCTAAACTTGGTTCTCGAATCTTCATCTCAACCTCCCAGCATACATCAACAGCCAGTTCGACAAAGTCTACGGATTGAAAAGCACAGTCCATAATCTGATTGTAAAAATTCGTGCTTTACAGAAATCTGAGAGAGCTGACTACCGAGGGCAATAAAATATACAGGATGGCTCTTCTGCAGACTATCCTCCGATTTTGAAACAACCTGAATGTACAGAACCGGTTCTCCTCGGATGTCACATAAACATCTGGTTGAATATAGACAATGTTGACCTGATTGCTCTGGGAGCGCTGCTTACTAACCTGTTCTAGAGTCACTAAGTACTCCCTTCAACAGACATGTGATAAGATATTATACGCTCGTGTAGCTTCTCCACCATTCTACGGACGTAAGACTAATACGAGTACAGAAGTACTATTGTTAGCCCTTCGTTGTTGCTTCGGCTTTTCAAGAGCACGATAACATACCAGCCATCCCCAATTGTCTAGAATACGTAAGGATGGTGAACCACAAGGATGATGATGGTCATGTGCCCACCGTGGCAATCTGTAAATCAAAATGTGCTGGACTTAACACATCTTTTTCCTCTGGATCTTCACTTGTGCGGCATAAAATTTGTTTCCTCCTGTCCCTTCTCTCTCGTTGCAATCCCGCACTGTATGTCCATGGTTCAATCGGCAGATGTGCATCTAGTACCCCATGGATCTAACAGTACACACAACCATGGAAAGTCTGTTCTATGTAACTTACTCATATTGTCTTGTATTGTACGATAGTAGTAGAGAGCACAAAGCTGATACACATCCACGCTGGAAATGCCATAGGCAAATCAGCTGCATGTTGACGAAGTCATTTCATCCGTGTTGCACTGGAGTAAGTGCTCTAATCTTGCTTCCTCTAATCAGTCTCCATTTTGAGTTTTTGCTTCATTGTGCAGACGACGGTCTGCAAGATGAAGCAGATAGTCCAAGTCTATTGCAGAAGTCTTGACAACCATATACCTAGCCGGTTTGCTCATGCTGCTCGTACTGTTCAGAGGTGGCTTACTTACTTCTCAAGATTATTTTAGAACGTGGTCTAGATATTTATTGCTGAGTTTCTTCCAAATTTGCTTTGAAACTTGAGCATGCTTCAGACCTCATCGAAGCCGGACAATCTGTCGGTGTAAGTCGTTAAGATGGTGACAAGGCCCGAAAGGTTCAGACTGTTTGGATGTGAGCTGCAACATCTCTGCATTTTCCAGGGTGACCCCAGAAACTCGTGCATGCTCGAAAATGTTTCTCTATATTCGTTTCTGCTCATCTATCATCTACACAAGTCCCCTCCATCTCGAGGGTATCCATCTGTTACTTCAGCGCAAAACAACGTGAACCTGTCATAAAAGTTTCCACACATTGGAGTTTCGAAAATCTCGTGTTTGCTTGCAGTTCGTCCCAAGCTTCTTTAGCAAGTCTGTGCTTAAGTACCACCGGCTTATCACAGTGTCTCTGAGTACACTGATGTGCACATGAGCCCAGTAGACAAAACTTGTTCACTTGGCCACTTGTTCTCTCCACAAACAAATTTTACACATTTCTATCAATTAATGTACTTGAGACTAAATCTTTGATCAAGTGCAGTTTCTTGCTCCTTTGAGCTTGCCCTGCTCACGAAGGGCACTAACACCAAAACGACACCATGCCTTTGCCACTAACGCAGGCTCAACCTGAAGAAGTACAAATGATCTCCAACACCACGATTAGATGTGCCAATGTCTCCATTTTTTTCACATTTTTGTCCCTGCTTCGAAGGATGAACCAAGTCGTAGGCGAAATAGCTCAGAACGAAGGCGGATAGTTTCTTAGCGTATGAACACACAAAAAGAGCGAACAAGAATTCGCTAACTTCATCCAAGGCAGAAGGAGGATACCCAAAGACTAGATGGCATCAACGTGTTTGTGAACTAAGAGATTTTGCAAACGGTGGTGCGTTTACAACCACACCATCTCAAATTCCTGAAAAAAACGGATGCGTCTAATCGAACTTCCAAACCCTCCAAAAAAAAACTTTCAAAAACAGAAATCTTCAATGTGAGGGAAGAACAAACAGTCTGAGATTAGCTGAGTGTACATTTGCAATCCTTGCCTTCAAGCTGACACCTCAATGCAGAGTGAGGAAATAAGGAAATGACACTGAGATGGTAATGACAAGTACGAAAGTGCATGACACGTTGGTGGACATCGCCTAAACTCTATGATGAACCCCCGGTGCCATCACTGTACACCCTACGATTTTTCCTGAATCAAGGAGGTCAAATATATGGCACCTGCCTATTGTGTAGATTTATGTACACATCGGTCGCATTAGCATTTCAAAAAGAGTAAGAACCCCACCTTTGTGTGCATCACCGGCAAGTGACAGGAGTGTGTCGCATCTGTGAGTTTTTCTGACATCTCAGGGGATAAAATCGTCGGCTACTTCCCAAAGAATGTCGAGGTCCAAGGAAATCCCTGAGAATTGTACGAGTACTCAGGAGACTATCCTCTCACAAGTCTCAGAAATTTCCATGAACCTCGAAAATTCTTCCTCTACACGCTAACAGCACTCCTTTCGGTATGAACGGAAGGTATGCGGTCTCTCTATTCTGTAACCATAATTTTTTAGTAAAAAAGAGGACCTTCTTCAGGATTTTTGAATAGCTTTGTTTGAAGGCAAAAGTTGTTCTGTGAGACGGAGATGCAATTTCATCCGTCTTCCGCAAAATATTCGACATCTAATATAGGCGAGCATTAGAAGGTAGTTTCGTCTGCGGAGGTGTTCCGTTCTCTGATGGAAACAGGCTCGATCAGAACGGTTCTCATGTATTTCAATTGGGCACATGTGCTGACAGATCTAAAAGTCAACTGCTGTGTCTACTAACTAAATTCTAAATACATAAATAAATAAACTCGATTGAACTGTACAAGGTTCAAAGTAACAAGTATTAGAATCACATGGGCGATCTCAACGGCCACGGGTACACTTAGATACATATGTCCACCTCTTGATCGTAGTGTAGCCACGCCCCGTAAAAAAAAAAGGGTAATTTGCATCTCAACCTAATGCTAATGAAACATATTTTGAACCCTACACTCGGAAGAACTGTCTTAATTAGCATGACCCACATTACAGAAATTGAGCTTGTTCCCTAGAAGTGAGAAAAATGGATTACTTTAAAATCTGTTCAAGTAGAAAAAGAAGTGTGAAATTAGCAGAATCAGTGGGTTTGGTCTGGCATGCTATGCGAAATAGAAGCACTTCTCACCGCAAGTAAAACCATACACAACGTCATGGTTACAGAACAACACTGTGGTTAGGTTTCATAACTCACAGGATGATTTCTTCTCCAAGAACAGCCCTGACCTTAGCAGCGAGATGTTCCATATAGGATCTGTCAGCCCCGAAAGATCCGTATTCGTTCTCAATCTGCGCCAATCACAAAATACTCATTGGCAACCCTTTATGGGGGGGGGGGATACTGTAGTGGAATTTTCGAGCGCTGAGAACAAGTACGAGTTCCATCTTTCGGAAAACTGTTTAGATAGTCATCTTGCATGATATTAGATAGATTATGAAAGAAAATTTCGAACGAAGATAAAAATACCTGGACCATAATTACTGGACCCTGATGACAGTAGAGATATGGAACTATCTTCGGTAAAAGAACATCCCACCAAGCGTCGACCTGCAGAGTGAGTTGAATTTTGAGTTACTTCAATGCCTTCACGATTCCTTTCCGGCAATTACTTACACTACACGGAGAAGCTGAGACATAGTAGTGAAACCAGTTCATCAGCAGATACGACAAGCTCTGCTGAATTGCTCTGAAGAAATTAAGCATCTTAAATTGAAAATCCTTGATTTAGGCAGATAAAGACATTCACTGCCTGCAATAGAGCGAAAATACTCTACTCCTAGAACGAAAGCCAGTGCGCCTCATAGACCTCATTTTTATGTGATGTTTTGCATATACACACACTGTTAGGATGTCAACGTAGTTTCCAGGCTGAAGGAGCGGTGGTCGTGTGCTTGTGGAATACCAATTTCAAATATTGAGGATCTGATGTCCGCAAGCTGAGTTCAGGTCTCACAGATAGCAACCAGGCGGGAAATCCCCCAAAGTCCCACTCTACAATAACAACGCAACTGGCGCGAAGAATTGAGTACATTATTTTTGTAGAATAGATTACAGACAAATTTGTTCTGGGCCATATGATGACTTTGAGAAACAAAGGAACTGGTTATTCAAAAGAGACATGAGAACTGTAAAGCTTACAACAGAAATGAAGTATAGACAAAACATGATTGAGAAAATGGTACCTGCACAAATGTACGGGCCGATTCGGAGCATCACAAGCATGCCAAGCTTCTGGACAAGCTTCAAGTACCCCTCAAGATTTGCTCCATCTTCGAAGTTCAATTTTTCAGGTTGTGGCTGATGTAAATTCCACGGTACATACGTTTGTATGGCATTCAGCCCCAACGCTTTCGCACGTTGCAGTCTATCCTCCCAATACTGTGATGGCCCCAAAATTCGAAATCGTCAAAAGGGAGTGTAATGTGCGCTGAAGTTAGAATCATGGATACTTATTCCACAAAGAAACTGACAAACCTGCCCGCATTTGCAGAGACGATGAGATACAAAGCGAACATCGTGCCAGTTTTGAAGGAAAGTGAAGAGCTGCAAGGAAATTCATTTGGCTGTATAATTCCTGTGGGCTGCAACTTGCGTACATTACGTGAGCTAAAGCTCGGATAAATTTGAGAAAGAAGGAATGTGAGGGGCTTGCCTGCGGATGTACTCTGAAGTAATGGAGGTCGCCACCCAGAATTCTGAAGGGAGATCCATCCTTGTAGAAAGTGTCGTTAGCAATGTAAAAGCTCTTCGCTCCTGTATCATAGTCCTACGGAAAACGAAACAAAAGTCAAATTTTGTGATCACAGAAGAGATATCTGGCTTTATCTTCACTTCACATGCTGTACTGGAAGTCATGAGAACGTACAAACACGGCAACATACAGCCAGAGCATCAGTGTGCGTGCAGAGGACCGAAAAGATGACGAGACGCCTTTCACTCCTACAAGTTGACCAGTGACACAAATTCAGATTCTTTTCTTCGTCGCGAAACATCCACCTACAATGTTGTCAGTGGGCAGAAGGTGCGATTTGACCGAGTAAAACAGGCACCCGCTGCTGAAGACGAGCACAAGAATCGCAATCGGCGACATGGTCAAGGCGACGCTCCCACTCAGTGCCTGTCCCCGTCCCGAGCCCCAGCCCTGAAGCTTTTGTCGCATCATCGAACTCGAACGCGATCGCGACTCGCCAAGCTGCCATTCTTTTCTGCGTACAGGAACCGTCCCGGGTCGGGACAGATCCAACTGCGAAGGTAAAGACGGCAGTAGCATCGAGGGACGAGCGAGCCTCTTGACTCGCATGGACCGATAGACAACTGTCATTCCTCTGGAGGAGAGTAGTTCCCATTCCGCGTTCCGGTGGACCCCCGGCGTAGCCCCTCTGCATGTACTGTACTGTATGTACAGCAGCTGGCTCCGGAGTACGCACACAATCGCGAATCCATGCACACAAGAGTCTTCCGACCGCGTCATTCCACCTCTCTCACGACTTCCAGTCGTCCTCGGACTCGGGTCGGAACCTCCACCTTTGGCAGCGGGGTGAGGATGCGACGTCGCGTGCGATCCGGTCGCAGGTCCCGCGGCTTCTGGTCCTGCTTTTGGCTTGGGTTCGTCGTGAGCTCGGCCGAGAGCCGAGACGGGCTGACAAAAGGCGCGGCCCAGGGGGTTTGTGTGAGTGACTGTGGGCCCGAGATTTGTCTCGTAGCAGGAGCTAGAAGAACCTCTTGGACGAAGCATGAAGGCTGCCCACCGTCTACCCGATAGTTAAACTGCATAGTTAATCCCGCGGGCCTGGGTTCTGTCCAGATCCCGAGGGCACACTAAGTCTTGGTCAAAATTTGGGTCCCGGTGGGACCTCTTTTTATTCCAACAGGCATCCAGCATTGGTCTGAAAGGTAAGTGGACGAGTGGTTAAAATACTTCTATGGTTCCAGGCCTCCGTCCCGGTAAATTATCAATCACTCCGCAAAATAAATATATATATATTAGAACGGTAATTTTCTTGCTGAAGTAAGCCAGATAGGAAGGAAGGAAGACTTATATTCATGAGACAAAAAGTTTAGTGTGGTTCGAGTCCAATCGCATCATAACGAGAGATATGTCCTCCTAAAACTAAGTAATAATGGAACATCTCATCAATGTGTGCTAAAGCACACATTGATTGGATTTGATAAGCTCTTCTCTCTAATATGTTCACAACACGCATTTGTCATACATTGATTGAATTTGATAAGCCTCTTCTCTCTAATATGTTTACTTTGCACAATTTCCACATATAGATCCAATTCCTTCCAATCTTTCGCCTCTAGTATGCTGGAGATCCAGATGCATCCCTACATATTTGGCATTCTTTCTTTATGAAAGCTGGAAGTCAAAGTTTATGTCATTAATGCCACTACTTGAGATAGTTCAAATGAAAAACGAACATCCTCACATACGAGACAAAGGAAGATGTAAAAATGAGCCATGTAAGAGAGAGGTGAGAAAGAGAGAGAGGTTAGATAAAAATACACCATGTAAAGCAATGACTGCCCTCGCCCTTCACATGTAGTGCAACTTTCTAAGCTACAACATTCAAACTACGAGCCTGATTTGGAAGTCCATGAAGAGTATTATCAGGCTGGATTTTTCCTTGCCTTATTATATATAATTTAAGAAAAACAAATTTCATAGTGTATGCATGCTTTGGACTCTGCTAATTAAAGAAAGATGAGTCTTGTGTTAGAACTCCTGTTATCATCTGAAATGACTACTTGCATGATGAAGAGGCAATAATCAACCATGAGAAAGTTTAGCTCTCTCCTTTTCATTCGAATTTTCTTCTCTATGCTTTGGCTTTTGCTTCGTTCCGCAATGGATAATGCATCTTTTACTCCATGTATCCCCGCCTAAAAAAATCTGAGGTGGGTGATGAGCCAAAAATTTATACATGGATACTTATGTTCTAAAACTTTTTTGTGCACCATGTATATAGTAATGACACATTTTCTCAGGTTTCTGTAACATGACATCACTTCTAATCTTCGGAGAGAGCGTTACAAAGTGTGACTTTTCCTTATAAGATGTGCCGTTAGCACACCCTACAAGATATAATTTTTCCTCTTACTTCAAAATTTTAGTATTCTTAATCGTACTATTCGTGGAATTATCATTTAGAAACGTACACTCAGCTCTATCACTACTTTCGTTATGTTTCAAATGTAGACTACAAGATGTTGAGTTGAGAGTTGAATTCTACACATAAATAAGAAAAATTGGGAGTTCAAGAGGCATGAGTGCTACCCGCTTTACATCCTCCAAAGTACCAGCCACTAAGCATCCTTATTCAAACTTTAAGCAATTATGTGACTGTCGATTACTCTAAAAGACACAAACTTCTCGGAAACACGAAGATATAAAAGATATCAAAACACAAATATGGTAAAATGTTTATAAAGCTAGAAAAAACGAGCTCATATTTGAGCTCTCTGACTTATGAGAATCATGATTGGGCACTTGTCATCTGTATATAAGCTAAATTTCGACTCCGAGAGATGTTAGAACACGTCCGAGTGCTTAATAATAAACAAGTAATATTAAGAACTACCGGTGTGTCGTGGTCTTACATTGTTCACCCACAGAGTATCAACCCCAGTTTTCAATGCTTTACTTCGCCTCAGTCCGTCCAGATACACGAGGTATACACTTTACGTCAATTCCAAACTCAATGGCGACTTCCTCTGTAATCCGTCCAGTCCTTCGAGATAAATTGAAAAAATCATTTGTTAGTATGCGACACTTCATGGATCTTCTGCCAAAGAAAAAGTATAAAAATGTCTTGGAGTGAAAAGTCTCGTGGAATCTATCTGGCACAGATTGTGTTGATTCGTACGGTAGTCAACCTTTTATGAAGATCTGTTCCTTACTATCTGTTTCTATCAGAATCATTAAACAAATAATATTCGAAGGAAGTAAGATACTAACACCACACTATATTTTATATCTACTAAACATATCAAATAATATTGAATGTGGTGGTAGTTTTTACTAGTTAACAGAGATGGAGCATTATGGTGAATGTGGATATGATCAATCCTACTATGAAGAATCATTTCTTCATTAATTCATATTTCATCAATTGGAATTTTAGTTTGTTTGTTGGAACATATAAACTTTAGAATTAATTTAATAGATGATGTACATACATATTTTTCAAGTTGGACAGTTTCTCTTGTCAATTTCAATCATTTCTCTTAGTACTAGTGTTCTACTTCGGTTATGTTACCAAAGGATTGCAGCTTGTAGATCCTAACTTCAGCATGTATGTTCACTTTACACCTCACACTTTCCATATTGATAATCGTACTGATTTACACTTAATGAGACAACAATATGATTGAGGTCTTTTTAGTCCACAAGGTTACACTTTGTAGCTACTGTATAAATATCTGACGATAGGATGACTAATTCACATACATAAGTAAAGATGAAAAAATTGTCATAAATTTATATATCTTCCTGAATATAGATTTTTGAGATTTTCAGAATTTTTGCTTGCATTGAATATTGAAAAAATGCATTATGAGGGATTGCAATCTTAATATTCTTAAATCCATATGCATTCATGAAAGCTTTAAGAATCCACAGCATATTGTTAAGATACTATTTTCCAAAATTTCCACTATTCACCTCATGACTAGATATACAACATGAGGTGAATCCAAGAACCACTAGTGAGCATTATTAACACAAGACGGATGTACCATCGAGGCAATCGAAATATATCAAGGCAAATTATGATCCGGAGTTTTGAACATTGAGGAAACTACAGCAACAGAACCGCAAGGCTTCAGACTACAACAAGATTCGTTCTCGCTTTTGCATAGATGATTACTGTTGAAAAGTTAGAAATGGGAAACTGGACTTACATGCCCGGAATACGGTGCAGCGAACCTGACTCCCTGTAAACCTACGATAATTCTTCCACATCGATCTGATTAGAGAAAAGACAAGGGTACAAGTTGTCCAGCCATTATTTACAAAGTATCTTGGCGTATAGTGATAGAAAAGTAGAATCTATCGAGACGATGATAAATTCGTTCTGATGGGACATAATGAATTTTGAGGTGTTGTAATTTCGGAGAAATCCCACAAATTTCCGCTGTCCGACATATCAAAGGGTTTATTTCATATCTACAAATATCGTGTCATCGTACAATTTTGAAGATTAAAGCACCCAATTGGACGTAGCTGCCGAGGTCTGTCGACTCCATTTCCGCCCGACAACATGAATATCCACCACGATAACACACTCCACCAATCTCACAGGTACTCTCATATATTAGTGCTCACGGTGGCTGAGCGAACAACACAGTACCGTACAGTACACGATATTTACAGTACTGTATTTATATCCGAAGGGAAGTCAAAAAATACAGCCAGAAATACGACGACTCCGCGAGGGTCGCAGCCGGACAAGTAAGTCAAAGCACCAATCCGTTTAAATAGTAACAGTGGATACGATCCGACCTCCGTGCCGCTAAGTCCGCGCATCGGATGGACCGGAGCGGGTGAGCACAGCAGTCAGCGTTTGTCCGACGGGCCCCCACTCGAATTGGACTCAGAATAGAAAGCGAGCATTTCCACCGAAATAAAATACAATAACAAAGCATTAGAATAATACTTTCTAGGTGTCCGCTCGAACCTAAGCAAGAAAATGAAGCCGCCGAACTGCGAAGGAGAGGCGAGGAATGATAGAGACCGAAGCAATTGGTGCGACAGCTGACCTGCCTGCCTGCCCGACTGCCTGCCTCTCTGCCTGGGCCTGGCTCGAACTCATTGGATTTAGGTTCGCTCGGGGCAAATTCTCGAGCGGAATGTTCGAAGACGAGACAACGAGATGATGGCCTGCGTGGTCGGGTCTGCTCTGCTCTGCTCTGGTCCGGTCCGGGCTACCGCTGGCCGGAGTCGGGTCGGGTTCTGGGGTCTGGTTGAGTCTGGTTGAGTCTGGTTGAGGCGCAGCTAGGAGAGGAGATCGTCCGAGATCTTAAGGTCACGTAGCTCTCGATGACAACGAGCTCTCGTCGTCGAAGGAGGGGGAGAACGAATTATGAGCCTTGAGTCTCTTGGTCCTGTGCCTCGGTGTTCTGTTTTTCTTCGTGTTGGTTCAGAGTGCATCTCTTGCGCAGAGCGTTGCTTTTCGCCGTCCGCTTCCAGGAGTTCTGATGAACTATTTCTTTCGCGGTTCTCTATCTCACCCTCCATTGGTGGGTGTCGTTCCTCTGTAGTTCCGTATCTGTGTCGACGGTCGGCTGCAGACCAGAGTGTGGTGGTGATTTTGCGAGGACTTCTCAGCGATTGTCGGACGCAAGGTATGGAGATTCATTGCAGGCTGTAGCTGGACGGGCGAGAATTTTATCGGAACACTCGTCTGTCAGAAGCGTTCTCAAAGGCCGAACGTACTTCGCGTTGAGGGCGAACAGGTCTCGAATTCAAGCTGCGGTTTAGTCTCGCGTCGGCCTCTTTCTCATTCACGAAACCAGAGGGCATCAAGAGATTTTGAAGAGTTTGTCCCGATGATCCTGGACACATGTACTCTGCTTGTGCGAATTTATCAGAGCAGCATCTTGATTTTGTAGCTACCTTTTGATGGTCCGTCACGCGTGTGGAGCATCAATCAGTCTCAGTGCTTCTTTTCACCGCTCAACTTTTCTTTGCGACGCATCAACGACTGCTGTTGACCTGGTCAGAGCTGGCGTATAGTACTTCAGAACCTTTCTCTTATGACTGGTTTCGCTGCACGCCCGCAATGCGAGAGATTGTTACGGTCCGGGTGGTGCACCATGGACAATGCACGGTTAACTGCCTGGATTACGTGAGTAGAGTAGCTGACAGATGGTTCAGGACTGGAGAATGGTGGATTTGATCACAAGATTTAAGGGCATATGCACCGGTGCCGAGATGATCTTTCAGCCATCATCCATGAACACAGTGTCATTTCTCGTCGTTAAAAAGGATGGGTTGTAGTGGGGACGTTTCAGAATTTGTTGGAGAATCTGGATAATTTACATGAAGAGAAGGTAAGCTAATGCAAAGCGAGATGCCTGAGTTGCATAAGCTGGACAGTTTCTTCTTACATTCCTGTGACTTCTCTAGTCTATTGGGCTGTCTTCCCCCTGAGCCCATTTTCTCCTTCGCTTACATTCCCGGATAATCAAAGTTCTTGAAGTTGCTGTTGTAGAACCTTTTCGTGCTTTCTTAGTTCCCCTGAGCAGAGCCACCGCTAGTCAGGAAATGGGTGCTCTTTGTTCAAAATCTCTCTCAGCGGTCGAAGAAGACTCCGATGAAGAAGGATCGAGGAACTCAAAGCCTGAAATGAAGGTAGATGAGCGGTATGAACCTGCGACGACCGTCAAATCTGGGGAAGCTGTAAACCCTCCTAGCGGACAGATTACTTCTCGAGGTGATAAGGAGGGGAAGCTGGGGAGACTTCTTTCGGATAAATCTCGGAATGCCAAGACAAAGACTTCCACAGCAGCAAAAAAGACTGGTCAAAAGGTGTGTTATTGTTTGTCTCCTTCTCATCGATGGCATATCAAACATGCATAATTTTTCAATGCCCAGATTATTTTCCATTTTTCTCTTCACTGTGCCTCTCGTAAGTCCTTGTGATCTTTGTGTGACTTGTCGATTTTAGAAGCAAGTTATGGTTTCCATAAAAAAACTCAAACTTCAAGGCAGGGATACGTGGGGAAAATCTCGTGAATTGTCTATTGGAGACATACAGAGTTCTATCGAAGCAGCTGCATGACTCGCGCCTTTCGCAATCTTCTGGCTAATTTTTATATTCTCCTCATTCACCGATGTAATTTTTATATCCTCCTTCCTCAAACCAGGATTTAATCTTCGGGATTTAATCCTCAATGAGAACTGGTGTACTTCATCCTACATCCACATGATAATCTTAAAATTAAAGTGGATAGAGATCATATACCCACATAATATTCCAAGAATTAAGGTGAATAGAGATCCTACACCCACATAACATACCAAGAATTAAGGTGAATAGAGATCCTACACCCACATAATATAACAAGAATTAAGGTGAAAAGAGATCCTACACCCACATAATATACCAAGAATCAAAGTGGATAGAAATCTTATGTGTGATATTAATGTTCTCAAAAGATTTAGAAGGTGGGCTAAGATGCGCCATGGGAACAGCTAAGATTGTATAAAGCTCATGGTATCCAACTGTTTATTGAACCACTCTTTCAACTCTTGGTCTTCCCCCAAATACGCTTCAAAACAGCTCTTTTCAGCAGAGAGTCTTCTCGCTGCCTCCATCACTATATATTCATACATACAGTTCAACTGTAAGAAGCCGTCATGATGTATGCGATTAGTAGGCTGCCATTTACATAATCATCAGATTAAATTTAAAGTCATGAAGCAGAACTGATTTTGACGTTTGAACATAAGTTACACGATGCACCTGAAAATTAGTATTTTTGATGAATGAATCTCGTGTATTAATCATCTTTGCTATGTATAATTTTGACAGAGTTTTCCCAAGGGAGGAGAATCCTTATCTTTTTTTTTAAGTGACGTCCGTCTTTCTAGATTGCCATGCAGTTCCCTGTACTTGAAGTTATAGTCTTAAACAGAGCATCCTGCTAATTCCTCCTCTCCATGGAGATAATGTGTATTTCGGGTTGAATTATACATCTCAAGACCTTGCACACATACACACTGAGTTCAATTCATGTTTCATGTTCCCCTGCCACAGGCTACGCCTGATCTTTCGAGCCTTGGGGGTATTGCAGCTCTGTTACAGGTCTGGCATTCATTCATTTACGTCCTCTTTCTGAAATTAGCACTGCATTCAGGTTGTTTTCAAATTTTAATAATTGTCTAAGTAATCAGATGCTGAATCTTGATAAACTTTCTCTGAATAGGTATCAGAAGTGGGGTCTCGCATCGGAAGGGCTGGTACTGCGGGTTTTGGAAAAGCGGTGGAAGCTCTTGATACATTTGGGAGCAGCATCACAAATCTTGGCGGTGGCTTTTCGGTAGTGATCAATCAAGGCAAGGCAAACAAGATCGGGATTTTGTCATTCGAAGTGGCCAACACGATAGTGAAGGGCTCAAACTTGAAGCACTCTTTGTCAGAACATGAATTGAGATTCTTGCGGGAGGAAATTCTGGTCTCGCAATGCGTTCAACGGTTGGTGTCACAAGATGTTCAAGAACTCATGCGAATTGCGGCAGCTGATAAGAGGTTGCCCTCCCTGATTTTGAGTCTTATGAAACCCCATGTTACAGTTAACATAAGACAGTATCGTTGTCTAGCGAGTTTGTTCAGTGATGCTATGCTCGTGGAGAACTCACCCTCACGTATTGGTAACACAAGTGAATATACAAATGAGTGTTTCCCGTTTGTACTTGTGGAACCATGAAGTAGTTTCGTGGATGCAATATTTCTGTATTTGAATATTTGATGAAAACATCATGTCACTCTTCATTTATGATAAGAAGAGAGCGAACCGTCCTAGTATTTTGACCGGGGGACAGTTGGTTACTTTCTACAGATTACTGAAATTGACTGTTGGATATATCCGGTTGATGAGCATGTTTTGTTGATGATTTGAAATTCGATTTTTCTGATGTGTGAAGTCAATGGGCCTCGGAGTTGAGTCGTCCGTATGTAACTGACATGTAGAGGTTTCCTATGTTGTTATTTGTTGGGTTGCAGGGAAGAGTTAAGGATTTTTGCTGGAGAAGTCGTCAGATTTGGAAATCACTGTCAAGATCCTCAATGGCATCGACTTGATCGAATTTTCTCGAAGTATGTTTCTAGGGATTCTTTATTCTTGACATTTTATGAGTATCCACAAATACGAGGAAGATGTAGTCTGAGATATACGTCCTGTGTACTCCTTTACCACGTTGGGGGTAGGCTTTCTAGCAAATCGCTCGCAGTAATTGCATGGTTTAGTTATGGTCGTTGATCTTGATCACTGTTATATATTACTACCACAACACTGTTGGCTCGATTATTTTAGCTCAAGTCTGGCCTGCTAGTTGGTAGTTGAGGTTCGTGTTTTCTTCACAAGTTGCTGCAATAAGTCTTTACAATATCGAAATTCGTAGTAAATTGTACTTGCTTATATTATCATTTTTGTTCTGTTCTGTCGTTGCCTTTTAATATATTTGCATGCCCTCTGTTTCTATGTATTTGAATCTGGTATGGCCTTTTGTGCATTTGGCGTTGCTGTTTCAGCATATCGCATATCCTGACCTTCTCTTATCCCTTCTTAGTATCAAAGTTTGTATTCTTTCGTGCAAAAAGTTGGCATGGATTGTGTAGGTTTAAGTGGAAGGTTTGCTCCAGATCATAGGAGATCACTGTTTGCAACCAAAGTGAGCTCAAGTTTGGTCAACTATCCAGGCACTGGTTGGTGCTTGCCTGTTCCCTTAAGATGATGGACATGACTGTTTTGCCCTTTTTCACATATGCAGAACTTGGTTTTTTTTTTAATTATTTTCTCTTCTGTCACACCAACGATCTGGTCTATAGCTGTCAGCTGATTGAATGGTTCGAGAGACCATTACATTGTTGGTACGATAAATACTTTCTTTTGGTCTTAGACTAGAGGGAGAGATGCTCAACACTCGAACAGAGGAAGAGAGCTTTATGATTCAAGGGCTTGTCGAATGAAGGAACTTGGTGCTTTCTTTCTTTTGTGATGCGCCTAACGGGCACCCTGGCTGTATCTTGACTTCAGTCCAGATGGGTCGCGCAAATGGATTACTTTTAGCATATCCCGTTGTTTGGAATCCCTCATAACGACAAACTTACACTGGACGGTGAATATCATGGCTATGTTATTATTGATAAGCTTCTGAAGTCTGAAGGTTCTTAGTTAGTTGTTATCCTGATGACATTTCCGCCACTATATGTGGTTTTATGTGATTGTTACCTCTAAATCTTCCCCTAATCTTGACTAAAGAGTAAATGTTTCATTCTTTGCCCTGCTTTCTTCATTCCTTGTCTCTGTCTCTCCTATTCAATTATTTCTCCAAGTTTTAGGCTTGCGTTGACGACTTTCTTTTAAAGTTACAGAGACGTCTCTGACCGCGCTGGTCGTAGTTTTCTTGCATCTTCTCATTTCTTATATAGTTTACACATCTAGTATCTGTTATTGTATACCCCTCACGTTTTCTGAGTTCTCTCATGCACATTACACACCTAATCAGGTCATTGCATTTCGTTCGCATCCTTTTTACTGTCAAAGCACTTAATATCCTACACACATCTCGCTGTTTTTAGATACAACCCTGAGTTTAGGACAGGTGAAGACCGGTAACAATTATGCTTGTATCTCATAACGTCTTTACTATGGATTCGGGGTCAGCATCTTCACTTGCACATCCCGACTTGGGTGGTACCATATCTTCTTAGGCAGATGTTACAATATCTTTTCCGGTTTGGAGTTTGATGCTGATCGTTTCTTCCTTCACTTTTAACGCAATCCTTGCTACTTCTGCTCAGTCAAGCTACGTCGAACTGGCCTGCATAAGACGTTTTTACCACAAACTGGAGTCAAGTAGGTTCCACATATAAGATTGCGCTTCAAATGTACAATAATCACTCTTAATCAGATTCACACTCTGCAGGTCGCAATATGTTTGAGTATATTTTTACATGTTCTTACTTTCCTCATAGAACATACCTCTAGTATTGAGTACTCTTACTCCGTCTTGCTAAGTATGAAGATATTTCTCAGTGTCGTTTGATTACTTTCTTCTACTTTCGTGGAGGAAATAGTAGCTCGTCCTCAGTGGATTATTCTGGTGTGTCCATTTTAAAAGAAACCTTTATGCAAACGTGGAGGGAACCGAGTGACTGTATGAAACCGTGGATGTACTAGCTGTACAGGCTGTTGCTCAATCAGGATCATGATTCTGCTTTGCAGGTTGGGCACCGAGGAACTGAACATACCTCCTCAAAGTAAAGAAGAAGCCGATGCAGAGATGGTCAGTTTGATGAGTCTTGCACAATGTACAGCAGTGCGTAGTCCAAAAACCTTCCTCTTTGCAAGACTTACTTGTGATCACCATCCGTTTGTCCTGAACGTAATTGTGATGAACTGCCAGTAGTGAAAGTAGAACTTTCAGATTTTTGTTTTGCACTTTACTTCGCATGATATTTCCAAAGCTGTACAAGGAACCAGTGTGTTATCTGTGTAAAGAAATTTGGTTAAGGGATTTGAAGATAAATTATTTTCCACAGGAACTATACCATGAGTTACATGCGCTGGATAGGTTTGAGCTTGACCTTCGTCGTAAGATACAAGAAGAGGAGGTGTTTAGTGGGCCTCATAAAGGTGGGTGTATCCATACTCCGAAGAAAAGAATTTATGACTTTTTCTAGGATGTCCTAGATTGGATCATCGATTAGCCTTATGGCATACGATATAGGATATTGACATATAATGTCAATATCCTCAAGTCCATTGACACCAAAACTAAAAATCTTGTGACAACTTGCGCAAAATATTGTTTGTGTCTGTTAGGTTAATGACACGAAAAGTACAGGAAGTTGGTAGAATTCACTTAGGTGATGTGCTATTCAGTACAGTACAATCGTCTAAGCATTTTTGCTCTTGGAAATTTCAGGAGAGAGCATCACTATTCTGAGGAATGAGTTGCGACAACAACAGAAACATGTGAAGCACTTGAAGAGAAGGTCTTTGTGGTCTAAAAAACTAGAAGAGGTAATATGCTCATGAGTAGTGTCCAATTCGATCAAATTTCATGTGCAAACACAGTACAGCTGTCTCTGGTGTGTACCATGGACTTCACATTTCATTCATTCGTGCTCAAGTTCATCATAACAGTAACCCAATTTATGTCTCATCTTATGGGTCTTGAGGCTCAGCAGTTGTTATCTCGGGCCGTCTTTGTCTTGGTAAGAGAGTGCTTCAGATCTGTATTAACAGAAGTCTAACCACTATCTCTGCAGGTGATGGAGGACCTGGTCGATATTGTATATTACCTACATCAAGAAATCTATAATGCTTTTGGAAGTGCGGGTATGTCCTCCATTTCTAACCGTTGTGACACTACGGTTTTGGCCTTCTTGTTGATGTCTAGTTCTAGTTTTCTTATTTTCTTTCTTGGACAGCTGCATTGCTTAGAGAGGTCACAACTATTATCGGAAAACACTGCTATCTGCTTTTGGGGCGAACGAATGTAAGTGAAACACTAAGCTGTCGATTTATCACCCTCGAGTAAACGTTTGGTCGTTGTGTTGTTAAATTATGCAGTGCCTATCTCGAACAGATTTGAAAAATCTGTTTTATCAGAATCTCCGCGACCAAGGCTTGGAGCAGCAGGGCTTGCATTGCATTATGCAAACATAATCAACCAGATTGATAGCCTGGTAAGCTAAAGCTGGGACAACAACATTCTCTAAGTAGGACAATATTGTTTCAAGCAGAAAAAACTGGCTTGATTTACGACGAGGCTTAATTTACTCATGATACAAGTGGTCAGACTACATTTATGGAGTGTGTGAAAGTAACTTGGAAAGTCAAGAAACAGGCGAGTCGGGCATATAAACTGCATCAAAGTACTTTTTGTCCAAAATACTTAGTATTTGATGGAGTGCTCAGAGTATAAATGTGTAGGGCACAAGTGTAAAAACGTAGTTAGAGACTTGCTTTCGCTTGTCTCGTGGAACATATTGATATATTTCTTCACTAGTCGTTAACTACATTTTATAAATTAGTCTTGGAATTCTATTTGCAATCTATTTTAGTGTAATATGTGTCCTTTCTTCCTGTAAGTTCTTGCTTCCTTTTCAAATCTTCTTCAAGCTCTAGACATTAACTCTTGTTCTGTTTGCTTTTCGCTTCTTTCTCCCTTTGTTTTCAGATTTTATTCTCATATTCTCATTTGGAGTCTCCCTTCTTATCTGAGCTACTATACGTGATCTTAGTTATATACGGTTATGAGCCCTTGAAAGTTGATAGGTTCAAAAGCTACGAACTTACTCGCCTAAGACAGCTCCTCAGTGAGCATTTCTTAGTTTAGCTTACATGTCTCACGCATATGTGCTTCATTAGTGATTTCAGATGTCTTTTGTGTCTATCTTGAAGAGGATTGTTAAAGTTTCAGATTTTAAGTTTACGTCGATATTGTTTCGGCATACTCACAAGACTTGCGTTGGAGTAAATTGTGGTGGAAAGTTTGATTTTGTTCGTTTCTTTGCATGTTCTATGCATATGTTTCTCACGCTACATAGGACATTGAAGAATATCATTTATCACATGGATCGCTGTCGAGCTCCTCTTAGCTTCACATGTTGTACATCATATTATGGGATCAAATTTGTAAATGTCTCAAAGTAGAATGGAAAGATGTAATGGGGATATGATCTTCGAGCTTAGTAGGCTGCTTTGTTTGCCCGTAGGGTACTGACACATAATCTTATGAAACATGCTGTCCTGTTTCTTTCTGTCCACAGGTTTCAAGGCCAAATTGTGTACCACCTAATACACGAGATTCGCTCTATCAAGGCTTGCCACCGAGGATCAAAGCCTCTTTACGTAGTCGATTGCAACAAGCCTCTTACAAAGAAGAAGTACAGTCGATATTGATTATGCTGTTGCCTTGTATGCCTTTAGGTTGAGCATTTGAGTGACTGTCGAATGTTGTCTTGGAATATCTGTAGATTTTTTTATGGGCTTGACATGCAGCTGCCCCATAGTGGGCAGTACTAAATTCAATAGTCTTTTGGGAATGGTACGAAGTCTACTATGTTTGCTTTATTTTCTTATGCTTTTGAATTATTTGGATCGCACTAAAGTACATGCCCAAAGAACAGGTGATTTTTGCATACCATTCTCGTTGCCGTTTACTGCCTTGCAACAAATAGGAAATCTAGCAAAGCAGAAACCTTAATAAGGAGAGTAGCAATTCTTGAACCTTGTGGTTAATTTGTTACTTCCCTCACTTGCAGATGAGCGCTGGCGAAATTAGAGGAGAGATGGAAAAGACCTTGGATTGGCTGGTCATTGTTGCTGCAAACACGACAAAGTAATACCTTGAACTAACCTCGGCTGACTCTTATATGCTACATGTTTCATCTTATATCTGACACAGCGATAGTTGCAGATACTTTGGTGAGATTTGCAGTGTGCTTTAATACTGTATGATTCATGACTTTGCTCATGAATCACATAGTATATAAATAAGTTTCAAACATGGTTCTTCCGGTTCCTTCAACATTTTTCTCGCGTGAAAGAATTTCAGGAAGAATATACTTGTCTTCTCCTTGCATTTGTTCCTTCAGAATCATTCTCTGATTGTTTTTCGTTAAGTGTGTTATTTTTGCCACCGTATTTCGAACCTGTAAAAGGTATGTGTGGGTGACGCATACTTTATACCTCATCCATGTACGTAGTCGCACTGATGATTTTTATCTTTCCATTTGTAATGACTGTGACAGAGCCCATCATGGATTTGGATGGGTTGGCGAATGGGCTAACACTGGGTGAGTTATCCATCATGATCACGAAGTTACGGTGTTTTTCCTTCCAGAGTAATCTAACGGAAGTAGTAAAAGACGTGATAACATCGAAGGAAAGTCTTCATGTACGTGAAGTGTCAGCTATTTATCAGTTGTCTCTAGACCGTGGAAGGCGTGACTCACGAAGTATGGTCTTTACTAGTGAAAATCATCGCCCTGCTTATAATCTAGAGGCATTGAGAAAATTGCGTTATCATGTGTTATTAAGCTAGTGAGATCTAACGGCCCGTTGCATCTGTGTCTCGATCATTATGCAGATCATCAGGGGACCGTCGGCTTCCTGGTCATGCAGACCTGACCCTGTTACAAACACTTCACCATGCTGATCAAGATGCTGTGGAGGAGTACATATTGGAGCTTATTGTGGGCCTTCATTATCTTGTCAGTCGATCGCGCAGTGCAATGAACGGCCGTTCGCCGAACAAGTCACCCTTGAGATTTCATACAGATGCAAACTGTGCTCGTCGTCCCACTTCCCTAAACCCTTTGCAACTTCCCCCTTCACCTCCTCAGGAGCCTCAGTCACAAGCGTCGCCAAAAGATTCTTGCACGGATGACGACAGGCCGAAAAGTCCCCTCAGTCCTCTCAGCCCTCTCAGTCCACTGAGTCCCCACAGTAAACTGGAGCTCTCTCAAGAAGACAAAGAGATGCTCAAGGAGATGGAAATTCTTCCCAAACTTAGAAAACACACACTGGGTTTAAGTAAGAGCCAGGAATTCAGCTCGAACAAGGGCAAGAATGAAGCTAACGGAAGGCTGAGTAAAAGTAATTCTCATTCACCCAGCACCAGCTCTACCATGATCCTGCCGCCATTATACATTCCTGTCCGCAGTCGATTCCCTGTCCCACATTTTCCCTTAGAGATTGATATTGATAAAGAGCTTGATATTGATAGGTTACATGACTTAGACAACATAGAAAGGGCCAACCCTAATATAAGCTCCAGCACTTATCGAACACCGCAATGCGTGTGATGCTGCTGTTGATCCTTTCTTGTGCTTAATCATCATGAAGGATATACTCATGAATATTTGTTTCGTGGAACGGTGCTGACTTGTTACCTCATCTAACTGCTCTAAGAGTAGGTCATACTTGAAACTGCGATCTGTCCCGTTCTTGCTCCCGTCGCTGGATTACAGGAATTAGTTTTGGAGGAAGACGTACATGTTGGGATATTTCCGTGCTCTCAATCATTGACCTCTGGTGGAGTATACTTGCCGTGATGTCAGCTGGTTAACTCTACGCTCTGTATTGTTTTTCCGTTTATCACTGGAAAGCCTCTTGGAAAGTGACTAACGAATCTACTGAACAGCATAGCTATGTGATTCGTATGGTTCTGTATATTGCAAGGAGAAACCTGCCCTGTCCTTTTTGAGGTGTGGGATGCCAAGCGGACATTTGTAAAATTTATAGTCAGCTTCGATCATCACTTATATGATGTCCATTGTAATTTTAACTAAGCGGATGTTGCCAGACCATGCTCCTCGGGACGACTTGTTCTTCTGGTGCAATCTGCGGTTTGATGTATATGCGAGTACTCTCATCATCTGCTGTTCGACCTTGTTTGGTATCGTAAATTGCTGTCACTGGCCAGGGATCTTGTTTCTCACTTACAGACTTCTCCTTTTAAAAAGTAGGGGATTTAAGCTGCAGTATTCAATCTGTCGAAGAGTTTCGTAGACACCACTTTGATTATCTGCTAGTGTACAGAGCATTTTCAAGGTTGCACGAATTGGATCTCTAGAACTTGGTCTGGCTTTCTGTCTCTTGGAAAGGCATTACGTAAAGTTTTTTGAGATCACGGTACTCTTTTTTACCCCGCACGTAGCTGCGTCAAGGCTTAAGCTCGATGGGATAATTCGGGACATTGCCCTTGGTCGATGTCACTGTAGCCTTGTCAACTTCCGTTTGTGAGCGTCTGTCTCTTGAGCGTATGATCCAAGCTTTCATGTCATTCTCAACACGAGGGATCTTGTTTGTTCATGCTGAATTTATGAAGCCCTGGACGGTTCTTCTCTGGTTCTTTGTTGCTACTCGCAGCTTTCCTTTTCTCCGTGGTATCTGTGAACTTAATGGCTGACGATCCTCCGCCCACACCACCTCGCAACTTGATCAGGCCGAGTGATCAGTGGAGTAATCCTCCGCCCTTTCATGGACAAACCTGTTCCAAAACCATCACCTGTCCAAGCGAGACTTTCACCATGGATTCTTGCTGCCATTGGAATCTCCACCGGGGTCTCGCCATGAATTGCCGAAGCCTGACATCCTCGTGGGAAACTGAGTCGACGTCAGAGCAAAGGGACGCGACGTTTGACCACCTTGACGACGACATGCTTGCACACATTGTGCATTGAATCAGAATGGCACACGGCTCGAACTGCACACTTCACCCGCCGCAGTTCGATGGAGGGGCCGTTCGGCCTCGTGTCCTCGCGCTGTCTCCCCAAATGGCAATGGTCGGTCTTCTTCGTGAGCTACTTGTCGAGCGCGTCGTCGACCTGTGGAGCTTTTGCACACAAGGCTCGATCGAATGGAGCGACGGAGATCGTCAGCGCGAGTCTCGTGGATCGGAGCAAGCAGGAGAGCGCTGAGCCTCTGCAGCCTCTACAGGGCGGAGGGCAAGGGTGCGCTCATCGTGCATCGAACGCGGTCGAATGTCGACGAGGGGTCAATTTCTCCGTCGAAGACAGCCCCAAGCACGGCCGCAAAGGGCTTCTGCGACGACGCCGCAAAGGACCCGCTCACGGCAAGAAGCCGGACCCCCACCATGACGACGACAGACGCCACGTCGATAACGCGGTGGATAACGCGGACGACCACGACCACGACGGGACGGCACCGGCGAGGTGCTTACCCAGTTTGAGGCACTACTGCGAGTCGCTGGTACGATCCAAAGACTCGAGCCGACCTCGAGGCAAGCTGGACCTGATGTCGTTCCGCGGGAAGTGGAGCGCGCCCGACGGCCCCGACGACGCCAAGGCCGGGCTGCGGAAGGACGCCCATCAAAGAAGCCACGACGCCCAAGCCCAGGCGCACGAGAGAGACGGCAAGAAAGCCCAGTCTCGCAGTCGCAGTCGCAGTCCGGGGTCGCCTCACCGGAAGAACACGAAGCCGGCGACCCCGCCCCCTCTCGGGACTGCCGCGCTTAAGAGCTTGACCCCCGAAGGAGCCGGGAGTAGATCCCGCTCTCGCTCTCCAGCCCGCTCCCGCTCCCGCAGCCCCCCCGCGGCCGCGATGTGGGCAGAAGAGACCTGCTTCGACGGGAAATGGAGCCGGCCCAGCCCCAGCCCTCCGAGCAGCCGGCGTCTGAGCCCGCCGGGGCCACGGAGCCGGCCGGACAGCCGCAGTCCCAGTCCCTCGAAGCCGAGAGCGGGCCACGGGCTGCCGAGCCTAAAGAAGCCGGCGAAAGACGCACCTCGACCACGGCACCAGCTTTCCACGCGGTCCTTTGCGAGGCGATTCGAGAGCCCCCTCCGTAGTAGCACCAGAAAGAGCCCACCGCCGGCGCCGCTACCGAGTTGCGACGAATCGCGGCCGAGTGCTGTTCGACGTTGTAGCGACGGTAGTGCTAGCGTCCCCGCGATCAGCAAGAGGTCGGGAGTTTCCGCCCGGCCTTCCGACAGGCCCGTCTTTCGATCGTCGACTCGAGATCCGATTAGGCCCCGACGGCGACCGGGTCCCTTCAAGGCTCAGGCTCAGGCCCAGGCCCGAAGCTTAGGCTCGCCGAGTCGGGCCCAAACTAAACCTTCCAACGAAGTGAGTATATCTCTGGGTGGGGCACTGGCGGTGCAGATGGCTAGTTCCCCCAACTACCTGGTTAGCACTCCGGTTACCGCCCACATCAGGCTGGCGGACACGATCGGAGCTGCCCAGACCAAGAAGCCGATCGCCAGCGACGTCGCGGAGGTCGCAAGCCCCCAGAGTGCCGCCCCGGGCAGGCCTACGGCGCCTGCGACGTCCCACATTAAGCTCGTCGATCCCACAGGGACTGACCGGCCAGCCCCGGAAGCTGAACAGCCTCAGCCTGAGCTTGAGCCCAAGCCCTCAGCTGAACAGCCTGAGCCCCAGCCTGAGCTTGAGTCCAAGCCCTCAGCTGAACCGCCTGAGCCTCAGCCTGAGCCTGAGCCGAAGCCGAAGCCGAAGCCCTCAGCTGGGGTTGCCAGCCTCGAGCCCCAGCGCAAGCCCAAGCTCAAGCCGAAGCCCTCAGCTGCGGTTGCCAGCCTCGAGCCCCCGACGTCTCTGCGGGCTTTGACAGCTCCAGAGGACGCTGCGCGAGGAGAAGATCCGGCCGGAGGGATGTCGTCAGCCCCTGCTGACGCGGTTGGGGCAGACCGAGGGGTAGACCGAGGGGTAGACGTACCCGAGAGTCCTCCGGACACGGGAAGCAAGCAGCGAGTCGATACGATGGCCAGCGACGTCCTGCGGCTGTTGAAGCAGCAGCCTCAGCCTCGAGGACCGGTCCGCAGGAGGGCTTACGAGGTTGCCATCCCTGCAGGCGTTTGGAAGCTGAATTTCATCCCCAATCCACCATCGCCCGATGCAGCCGCCTTGTCCTCCAGAGCCTCTTCCATGTCTTCTGCCAGCAGTCGGCGCTACAGTCGCGGTTGTTTCTAGTGTTTGAAGCCACCCACTGGTTGCTGTCATTGCTGTCTCACACCCCATGCAACGTCCAATCATGGTTTCTTCGGCACATCCATCTTCCACAGGCCAATGCCATCGGACCCGTTTCTGTCGTCCAACATGGGGAATCCTGAAAAATTGTCTTTCCAGGCGGAGCTTTGGGGCCTGGTGGATTGATCAAGGTCACATAAATTCGATCACCTCTCCGTTCAGATTTAAAACCTTAGCAGGCACGAGAACAACGTTGTATGGAAATCACCTGAATTTGTCAGTTTGCTCATGATCGAGGAGTTCACTTTCGGCACGTTTTGGATGAAAAATTGGTAATTAACGAAAGGGAGGATTGGCATTCATCTTCCAATTCGGAGAAAGCTGCTACGTCCAAATTTGACAAAATCAATTCATTTCCATTTCACGTGCTTACTAACACGACCTTGTGTCAAAGACAATGGAAGAGTGTAAAATAACAAAGAGTGTCGGAAGACCCATTAATCCAGACGACATGGTTACCATCGTTTTTCCAGACTATTGTAGAGTGTAGAGTTTCTATTGCGATATCGAAAGCACTGATAACCTCTGAACACAAGATAGCAAGTCTTGTAGATGCTATGTTGTTCGTAGATGGTTTCGTCCTGAAAGATTTTAGTACTTCACTTGTATAATATATTCATCAACCAAGTGCACACTTTGCTTCTAATTTCTTGTGATGTTAAGTTTACTTCTATCGTTTTTATTCTCCCTTTATATGGATGAAACTTGTATATATATGGATGAAACCAGACTGGAATTTTTAGAATTAGGTTCAAATAGCGTCATATGTCCTACACTACCCAATATCCACGGTGTGTAGGTGAAAGGATGTGAACACAACATGAGTAAAACACATCAATAGATCTGACTGTCTCTAAGACACCATCTCAAAATTTTATCCTTGATGTGGTAATTGGGGCAAATAAAAGCACCCCAATCCTCCTTTTCAACACTTGATTTGCATGGTCAAAATTGTCACATGTCTGCTGTAAGATGTGCTAATTGGGGCAAATAAAAGTACCCCAATCCTCCTTTTCAACACTTGATTTGCATGGTCAAAATTGTCACATGTCTGCTGTAAATATTGACAATTTGTATTGAAGAGTAATGATGTGTTAATATGATTCTATGGCAGCTTTTTGCTCATGGATTGTGATTTTAATCTAAAAAAAACTTATAGTTTATGCCGCATGACTATCATACATATATCACATGCTTACTTTATCTTACTATAATCAATTCATAAAAAAAAATATACATCTTATCCTGTCAATCGAGGAATTAGAGCCGTATCAGCTTGTATATGATATACATTTTTCACTCATCAATTTGGCTCCCACGACAGCAAGTCAAAGCAAAGTATAGCCTCATCATCCACCTGTGTTAGTTACAGTGCGTATACTGTGAAAAAACACTGACATGTCTTAGGTGCTAACTAGCAGTCCATTTACTAATGGTCGGATGTTTTAATATTATAGAAAGGTATAAGAACGGGGAAGTAACGGAGAACATGTATTACCTGAAGAATGATTGACGAACTAGATGCTTCATGAACAACCTTGCAACGATCTGGAGAAGGATGCGTTCACGACAATCATGAAAGATCAGGAAAAGGACATCATTGTTAAAACGAAGACCAATTCCGGTTCCAAATACTATCTGCAATTTCCGTTCCAGCTAACATCAACAAAATTCTCTCGGTAACTGATGAGAGAACGCTCTTGAAGAGCAAAAAGTGTTTTTCACTTTTGCTCTATTTGTTTGCATAGCACATATTTCACTGTCTGTATGCACATTGGCGTATAGCGCGAAGAGTCATGAAGCAGCGAATGACAAGGACAGACGGTCTAAAATTCCCGTTACCACATCAAAACCAAATAGGTAGGTTACGGTACTCATAGCTGCTGAGGCACATGAAGTCGGCGTGATAGATCATCCCACAACATCTGCCATAAATACAGTAGGGCGGACTCCTGACACCATTACCTGGTCGCATTACCACGTTAAAAACACCGGAAGAATCGAGCAGATGATGTTTCTCAGGAACATGCATACTGTCCATCGTTCAAGAGCAGCTCAACAATTGCGTGCTAAAGAAGCATAATATTCAGTAACGGGCTTAAAACACGAGCACACCATATTTAAACCATCGCACGGAGGATAACACCCTCCTTCTTTGAGAAGTATACTGCAGAACATTCAGAACCGCCTTCCCACTTTGTCGAGGAAGAATGAGATAGGCTAGCAGAACCTTTAGTCGTCTTCCATCCATCAAACGAAGACTTGTTTGCTCGCCTGACACACCTGCTTCACAGAAAGTGGACAAAAATGGCTAGGCCGGAAAAGCATACAAGGAGCAGCCAGAGAGAAATTTATCCAATTTCATTAGGCCCTGGGCAGTGCTGCTTCCTCGCTTTGCAGTCACGTCATTGCAGCTAAATATTCGAATCTATAGACAGTGAGGCAGAGAATCAAGGGCACTTGATGAAATGCGAAATCCGTCAAAACAGATCTTTCAGAGGATTGTGCTCCTACACATACCTCTTAAATAAAAAGGAAAACCTAGAAACTCAATGAGACTGAAAGTCACCATCTAACTAATCTTTCTGATTCAGAGGAGCTGCGTTTGTTACGTCTGTGAAGCAATTATGTACAGAAAACAGAGAAATTTCGGCCTGTATTTTGTCTGATTTCAAAAGTGAATGTGAAACGGGTGATGCAAAACTTCCACTCTACGCAAATCCCTGCAATTCAGATGTTTCAGAAGAACACAGTGTAAGCATCAGAGCAATTTTTTACAAACAAAAAATATTAGTAAAGAAAGAAACTTCCAGAATTTGAGTAAGAGTTGTAAAAAAGTAAAAAGCAAACTAGGCAAGTGAAATACGCAGACCATTGCGTACTTGTCGGCGAGGTCATATACAGCAAAGTGCTTCCATGCGGCTCCAAAAATGTTCTCACCGCCGATGGCAAACGTAAGGGACCAGGCCAGCAGGACGCTTGTCATCGTAAGACATCCAACTCCAGACCACAAGACATCTGCAGATAGAAGAAAGCAAAGGATGAAACACATGATCTGCAATAAAACTGCTGGCTAGTGAGTGACATATGTGAAAATTGTGATACAAATCCTTCACAAAGTACGGAGGCAATTCTTCTTTCACCGAACTACCAATGCAATGAGTCCGGCACTCTAGCTTTCTTCTCCTCCGTGGCAGGAATCAACTAATGAATTCTTGAATTCCTTCAAGGTATCTGCATTCTCAACCAGCGCTGCAGTTGAAGAAAGCAGCAACCAACTATACGTGCATTCATTATCCGTAACAAACTCCACTTTCTGCAAAAGATCATAGAAAACTAGGTCCGAAAGAAAAGCACGCACGCACAATAACAGAATTATCTTCATAAACAGCTGACTCGATTATAGGAGAAAAGAGATGGAAACCACTCACATGGGCGGATAAGAGGATCCGATTGCCGTTGCCGAAGAACGGGCCAAAAGTAGAAGCAATTGACAAACCACAGCCAGGGCAAAAGGCAGAACCCTGCGTAGAAGAAATTGCGAGCCAGCTTCAGCGCCTCTTCTTGCTGTACTCCGATCGGCCCATCTACAGTCACCCACTGCACGGATGCAGCTGCATTGCCTACTTCATTACTGCCCGACACAGGACTTCCTCGCCATCCCTCCTCCACTTCGTGCTCTGCCATGTTTCCACTCATCTCCACAATTTGCTCCTGCCGCACACGAGGAACATCACATTCGCTCTTCCCCTAGACCTTTCCCGCTGCTTCCTTTCCATGCAAATCGCTGACGCTAGCGATCAAACCTCGTCAAAACCTCCAAAGAGTTCGATCGATCGATCTCGTCGCAACATCGACGCAATTCACGACCTCGAGGACTTGACTCCTCTCTGGAGAATCATGTGACCTCCGAAAATGTTAGCCTTCCCGGCCCTTGAAGCAGTACCCGGTCTCTCTTCTCCGGTCACCCGCTATGTTGACGTGGCATGGATCGGAAGATCCCATCAAGCCACGCGTGGATGATGATGGGCCATCGCATACATGCATCTTGTACATAACCATTTGGTTTCCCGTCAAGTTTCACGATGATGAGGTTTTCCGTCAATTTTTTGTTAGACATTAATTTATCTATACCTCCAAATAAGCTTCGATTGCTCATGTGATTGTTCTCGTGAGATAATATAGCATTTGCAGTGTGATCTCGGCTAAGATCAATGGATGTGTATAAAATGAAAAATCCATATAATAGAACTCAAAGAGAATGATGCCATGTGTCTCTACCTGTAATATATGTTTTCATGCAATTTTCTCAATCAATATATATATATATATATGATGGAGTGAAGTGAATGAGTGAATTGCCTATTTGCACTTCACTTACTATTCAACCAAAAGTATGGGTAATCACATTCACAACAACGTTTTCGACATATGACATTCTTTGCTTCACAAAATATATCAAATGATTAGCAATGGATGATATATATTTTATTTATGATATTTATTTTGTAATTGCTTACAAAAGAATGATTTCAAAGGTTTCCTTGAGTTGTAAGTGATAGCTTCCAAGCATATGGCTTTTTTGAATGATTTCACTCGGTTGAAGATTATCACAGAGTTTGCAAATAAAAGATGGTATTGTTAGGTAGTGAGACCTTAAGAAGCTATTGGACTCCATGCACTGGAAAAAGATACATGAAGTATTGCTATTGGCATATATTACTGTAATCAATTTATAGTATGATTAATATATAACACGATTATAAGATTTTCATCGAATAATGTTCATGTGCTCTCATCAGTTTGACGTAGCAACACCAAAATACTATGAGCCAATCAACGTTAAAAGTACTTTAGATATTAATCATATTTTGTTGATATCAATGATTATTTGTAAGATTAGGGAAGGAAAATATGCATATTGATGAAAAATTGGATATTTTCGGTCAAAATATATCAAAATAATATATTTTTCTTACTAGATGGATCTTCTAACAAATTACAAAAGTCATTTCTTTCTGCCACCATTCATAAAACTCCTCGTTGATGGATGATAGCACACATGTATATTATGAAGAAATAAAGTTGTGACGTGTAAATTCCAAATAATAATTAAAGCAATAATTTGTAACTAATATATTCAACTTGGATTATTAAACTTTTATCTTTGATTACAATTTCAACAAACAAAAGATGATTATGTTTGTTCTTAATAATATAATGTGTGCATGATGTTATGAAAGCTTGATAAGATTGTATAACATTCATTATATCTAAAAATTTTCTAGCTTATTTATTTCTTATTCGTCATAAAATTGTACTTAAAATTAACTTTAAAAATTTATAAACAGTTTCTCAATATAACATATTTTTTGAAACATATATTTGACCAAACTCAATATGTTCATTCCTAGAGCCATGTAAAGTTATATATTAAGTTATTAATATAATATCATATGTCTTTGTTAGTAGTTAACTAGTTCGCGTTATCTTTTATTATTATTAGTAGTAGTTTTACTCTTTCACTATATATAAAAAGTTGGAAGTCAAGGAACGGTGATAATCCATGAGATGAAATTGTGTGTAATGATGATTACGTGACATTCAGATAGTTTGAAAATCTACTAAGAGTAATTCACATTGGATTGGGATAATAAATGCAATATTGGAAAGAGATGTTTATCAATCCTACGCTTGACATGACTTTTGAGGAATTTTAATTATCTGTATTTTGTAGATAGAAGATAAGTGGACATGCTCATGATTTAAGTATAGGGGTATATTTAAGCTTGGCCATAACCAGTTAAGGGTTAACTGGTTAGAGAAAAAAAGTTAAATCAATAGATAGGTACATTTAAAAATTTTGGAGATAAGTGATAAAGGTCAAGTTTTATCATTTTTTATGAGTTTGCTTTTAGAATAAGCAATCATAGCTTTTTAATTTCATTATTATTTTGATATTTTTGATCGATCTGGAGAAACAAATTCATCACTCTCAAAAAACTTCGATTCAGATGTCACAAAAGAACTTTGAATCATCAACTTATCTATGGCCATCCTGGATAAGGTCAAAAAGCGATTGTAGTGCTATTTTCTGTGATCATTCGCTTTTGCCGTGAGCATGAAGAAATCGTTGAATGGAATAGTGATAATGAAATTCCAACACCAATGAAACCCAATGATTCATCACATATGCAATTAGGACGTTTAGAATGTATTCTTTGGATTTGTCATTCAGCTTAGGCAGAAGTTTATCATTTATTCCAAAAAGTGTACGTAGAGAATCGTATTATTTTTGAACTTTCGACATATTGTGTTTTATCAGTAGATAACAAGACAATGTGCTTGTCTCAATCTTGGTCTAGAATGATGCTATACATCTAATGAGAACTCATGGACTTCAAGTAAATGACCTTATTTTGATGAATTTTTCACCAATTTAAAATAATTCCAAACCCAACTTCTTGAGTATTTTTTCTTCTGTTTTCACTCGGTGAATGTCGTCGTTATTTGGCTAGAGACAACGATAGACGTTCAATATGTACTACGATATGAGTATCATTCCGAATCAGTAACGATAATGGGATGGGCCATGCTCCTCATGTTTGATTGTTCAACCTACCGGCAAAGATGGATGAAAATTGAATATTGCATCGATTTGGCGGACCTGCGAGCAAGCCGTCACGGAGAAGCAAACTATTAGACCTGGATGCTTATATATCTTGGCTCACCCCCTCAACGATTGAATTATAGATGATTGTAACATTAACACGGAGTGGGTTGATGTAACTCAATATGGTTACTAACCAGATTAAGTCAGTTCAAAACAATCATTTGTGAGCAGTTATAACATGAAACATACTACTCAATACTACCCACTGAAAAAAAAACTCCAAACCATTTATGAAATATACATTAGTATCGGGATACGAAATGGTTACCGTTTAACCGGTCCAAAGAAAATTGAGACCGATTAACCTTCGGTCCGTAACGTGGCCAAGCCTAGTTATAAAGAGAGTTCAAGTCTTGAGCTCTAGTATTGAAATTATGGAGCTATGTATATGGAATGGGAATGTTTGTGAGAGCTCATATTACGATGCAAGAGGGTTCAATTCTTTCCGAGGAGTTGTTTCAGTTACCCTTTTGAAGATATTGGCAAGAATAGCGATCACACGAGGGAATGCAACATCATACTTTCACATTTCTAGCGATTTGATCTTGGATAGTTCAGAGTTTTTAACTGCTGTTCCACATACTTCGAGCTATGATAATACGCAGATACTAATGCGGACAGAACCAGCAACTTTCGACAAGTAGTCCGATCCAAATTTAGCCAGATGCGGAAATGTCTGCAGCATAATCATTAGAGAGAGTTGTCTCTCTTGCTCATTCTGCAGATCTATTTTCGCAGAACAAACAAAAGCCCAAGTATATCAAAAACCTCGGAGGCATAATCAACACAAAAGAATCAAAACCCGAGAATAGAAATTCAGCAGGCCTGACAATGGACGAGCAGCAAGATTCAGTCGAGGGAGGAGGATTCTGACCCACGTGCACCCGGAGACTGACTATGGTCAAGTCCCCGAAACCCGAGGCGGGCCCCTAAAATAGCCCCGAAAATAGCCCCTAGGGCCCTGTCGCCTTGTCCGGAGGCCAGCCAGAACGGAGACGGAGGCGCTGCAGTGGCGGAGGAAAGCGGCAGCGTCGCACTTTTCCGCCGGGCCGCCAAACTGGCGACGGACCAGCGAGAGGAGAGAGAGGCGCTTCTTCCTCCCCTCCCCTCCCCTCCCGCGGGGGCTTGACCCTCGTCCTCCGCTTCCTCGTCTGCTCTTCTCTTCTCTGCTCGTCTCGTCTCGTGCTGGATCGCGTGCTTGCTTTCTGCGATGGGAATCTTGCGTGCCGCATGTTTGGCTGCTCTCGGTCGTCTCAATCGGAGGAGGCGTGCGTGCGAGCGAGCACTCTGAGCAGGACCGCCGAGGGGACGGGAGTCAGCCACTTTTCTTCCTCCTTCTCTCGTTCTCTCTCTGTCCTTTTCTTTTTTTCCTCTGTCCACTTTTTTGCTCGTAAATTGCTCGTTTGCGTCGGGGAGGGAGGAAAATGGTGGAGGGATATGCGCGTCTCGCACAGCGCAATTGGGCGCGTGTACAGTGAGGTGATAGATTCGAAGATAACGACCTGGGGCAGAGATTCCGGAGACGGGAAGAAAGCGGAGGAGGGAGGATTGGGGAAATAGTAGAGGGCCCAGCGATTTGGGCCGGAATTCATTTGTGGGTTGGAATCGGGACTGATTTCAGCAGCGGAAGTCTGTTGTGTAGAGCGTGGAGCAGCAGCGAGGAGGGAAATCGGCGTCATTTTTTTCGCACCGGCGCGATCGTCGAGATCAGTACATTTTCATCCCCGCAGCGCACGAGAATCGAGAAGCGAGCGGAGAGAATTTGCAGTGGGCTGGGGGCAGGGGCGGTGCTGGATATGGTAGGCAGCCCCTGTAACTCCCGCTTTCACCCCAGTGCGCAGCAGGGCGTCTCGTCGTGCTGGACGTTGCCTCCATGGCCAGAACAGGTGCTACGCCCAGCAACTCTTCTTCTTCTACCTCATCGCCTCCTGAACTCTTCGCAACTGACATCACCAACAACTTTGTGGAGCTCAAGAATGTGATCCTCAACGAATTTCACGTTCTGCGCAAGTTTCTGCTCATCAGGTAGACGTCACCTCACACTGACTTTCTATCTTCGAGGTTGTGTCAGCTTCAGGAGGACTTGATACTTTTGTGTTGCTCTTCCTGTGCGAAGCCCCCCCTGACCCTTTCTCTGCGGGTCACACGAAGTAGAGGCTTTTGCTAGACAGGCTGTGGCCATGCCTTTCGAATTGTGGGTGGTAATTTACCATCCGTACAATCTATGATAAGCTGAACTGAATTTCTCCGGGATCGCTTGGGTCTGAATTTTGTATTCTGTGTTACAATTTGTTTGATCGCGTCTATACGTTATTTGGCGTCACTCCAAACTTTCGAATTCACATATCCTGGAGGTGGACTGAGCTTGGACCATCTTCAAAGGATGTTACTTGTGTGAGGGTGCACACTCTGGATGGAATTGAGTTATGTTAGGAAAATTTCTCACTTGTGAGTTATGTTGGCCGAACAGCTTATGCGATCAGGCCCTTCGAGTGACTCTGGACAGCGACTTGAGTTCTTCGATTGGATTCCAGCTCAACAATGAAAACATCGACAACAACGATGAAAGCAGCGGGACGGAGCCAGTCGTGGCAACGTTTCTGGCAGATGACTTTAGCGAGGTAAGGTCGTGCATTATCTTTGTGTGCAGTGCGATCCCTTATGGCTGCCCGGCAGCACTGGAGAATGGGGAAGATTCGGTTGTGGTGTAACCTCTGAATCAAACGTTCTGAGCATGAAGAGAGTCGTCGCCGTAGAAGGAATTCTGAGCAAATAAGTGGTAGTCTGTTTGATCTGCTACTCGTATCCGTCCTTTGAAACCTGTGCAGCAATGTGAGACGCTGTCGAGTGGAATGTGCATCGAAATAAGGCTTAAATTGCTTCTTCGCTGCTTACAAAAACGTCGTAGAATTCCACGTCTAAAAAACAATTCGTGGATCGTAACATAAATAAATAGAACTCAAAGATCTTAATTGAAGGTTTCAAGACAAATGTTGCGTTCCTAATTTGAGAAGGAAAGGTGATCCTTGGAAAGAGTAGACCGTTCCTTTGGTTTGTCGCTGGGCTTATGAATCAATAGAATAAGCTTGTAGCGACTGCGTGGTGTTTTATGCAGTTGTTCAACACCGTGAATCTTGTCAATGAGGTGATTTTACAACCTCGGCAAGTCCAGCAAGTTATTTTGACGTTCCGTCCTTTGGAATCATCAAGCGATGCTTCGGAGCACGAAAGGGATTTCAAAGAAGGGCAGCGGGAGATTGAGTTGTCTTCCGATGCAGTAAGTGTATTTTTTTTTATGAATCATGGAGGCTGGCAAGGAGTCCAGAGAGATCTTTTATGTTCTTCTCTCGCACACTTGTGTATGTTCTTAGCTTCTCTTTCCTTACAGCATGGATACTCGGTTTGTCCTCTTGCAGGAAATTCAAGAAAATGGGTCTGTTGAGCCGTCTTCTAAAGCTGTACATCCCCGCGCTAATCAGTCCTTCAAGGTCACTGGCATGGTTTTCCTGTCGGCCACAGTTCTCAGTGACAATTCCAGAACGCAAGTGGCTCCAATTTCAGACAAGAGTCTCGATTGTCGCCAAGACATCGTTATTCATTTTCAATCAACAGTCTGTCGGTCTATTTTGAAGGCGGATGTTCAAGACATTGTTTTCGACGACTGCGTTCCCGGAGGAGTATTTGTGAAAGATTTTAGTGTCTGGAATTTATCTGAAGTTCCATGTTCATTCCAGCTTCATGTCAAGAATGGCCAGACTGAACAACCTGTAAGATTCTGAATTCTGAAGATTTTTGTCATGGTCAAAGAAACTACGAACATTCTTTAAAAGTCTTGCTCTTCAATATGTCGTTCTGACGCAAATTGTGTTGGCAGAGTCTGGACCTTACAGATTATGACACAGGGTTGCCTATTTCAAGTGGGGAAATCAAAAGCTGTGCTCATCGACGAATACGGGTGATGTACAAGCCAAGAGAAGTTGGCGATTGCGCGTACTCTATACAGTTGGAGAACAGTTTCGATGTGCGGAACTCAACCTGCATACCTGTACAATGCATTGTACGTTATCTCCAACCTCAGCCTGTGCGTGCTATTCGCCTTGTACTCCCATGAAGATATTATTTTCTCATTGTGCTCGTTTGAACAGGTTAATGCAGAACACCGAAGAGAAGGTCTTCTTGTTACTGGCGTTGGTGAAGATGGTGTTCTGGATTTTGGGGATTGTTATGCAAACAATGGTACCTGCCAAATGTTGACTGTGAGGAATATCACTCAGGAGGTAAGGACACGATCTTTTTATCCGTTGGTCTACTTCAAGTTGTGTGCGTTTGCAAAGTTAGTCACCCGTCCTGATGCTAACATCTTTGCACCATCTGCAGGCCCTTGTGGTCAATTTGGGAACAGACCACTCTCCTGGAGATAAGGTTAACTTTTACTTGCAACCTGAGCTTGATATGTCAGCGGGCTCCACCACACTTTATCAAGCCGATGCCAACAATCCAGAACACAGCCCGCTGATTCCTGACGATGAATCCACCTCAAGTGTGCTTACTCTCAAACTGGTGAGACACGCGGCGTAATTCTTGCCAAGCACTGACACTTGCTCGTTTTTTAAATATGGATGCTCCTGGCTTCTCTGACCGTCGTCTTTCTTCTGCAGGGAGATTGTTTGGGCACCCGTGTCAACTTTGACAAAAAGAACAGGGTGGAAGAATTGTCACTTGGACGTGGTGAGGAGAAAAATCTTCTTGTTTGGTTTTATGCAGCCGGTGCATCGGATGAAGCGAAAGCACCAAAACTACAGCGAAGGACCTTCCGCCTCTCCCTTAAGTGTGTTGAAAAGAAGGGTCGAAGTAAACAGCGCTTCTCGAACATTATTCAGGTGCGGTACGCACCTTGAGAGTTATTTGTGTCCAAGTTATTGGACGTCGATGCATACTCAGGGTCTCCAGTTGAAGCTCAGAACCGCTGGCTTCACAAGCAAAATTTAATGGAAAGCTTGCCGTAGATTCTAATGTCATGTTCAACGTCGAAATGATCATGCTTGAATTTAGGCTCACTGTTTATATTCTTCCAGATGTGATCATCCTGTTCAGATTCTGAATTATCTGTAAGAGTCCCACCGTATTACCTATCGTTTCTTATTACCACTACCTAATAATACATGTGTTTGTTGAGAGATATACTAAACGAGGTAACGAAGACATCCACATCTAAATATTTTGTGAAGCCTCGGATTTAATCCGATCTCAGACTTAAAGTGATCTGCACAATATAGATTACACTGCGAATTTGCTCAATACTCTTGAAAAAATTGAGCCTAAAATACATATGGGGATAATATACAGTATAATAGAGACAATTTGTCAAACCCAAAAGGTTTGTTTGGTTTTTCCTTCCTTTTAAGTCTTTATTGTTCTTTCCTCCTCACTTCCTCGTCATCCTCTGTTGTTACAAGCAGCGCCAAGCCAGGGTGCAGAGTCTGTGGTCTTCAGGCTATGACAGGCAAATTCTAACGAGTACATATTTCATCAGGGTAAAGCTCGCGTGTGTACATCGATTGTGAAGCTGTCCACACCAGAGCTTAATTTTGGTGACTGCAACATCGGATCACATAAATCAGCGAGTGTGGATATCATGAATCTCTCTGATCTTCCTGCTCTCGTGACTTCATACGTCACGTCCACGGTGCTGAGTTTCAAGTCCAACGTTGAAAGAGTGCTGATACCTCCTCGACAGTCATACAGATTGGATATCGATTTGGTGCCACTTAAAATCAATCTGAATTATCGCAAGCAGATCAGTATTGACAATTTTTATAACAAGGAAAATCAGCAGGTTTTGGAAGTTCGTGCCAAAATCATGGATCGTCATCACGTCCTCCTCCACTCTCTATACTACAAACTACATACTCCGTCGACGAACAACTTTCTCAACTTCGACTGGTGAGATTACTGACCTTGTAGCTATCCATGTTTTCGCTCATTCTCCATCAGAAATTTATCTTATGCATCATGCAACGGCCTTTGATTGATTTCCGTCAATCTTTCGACTGGATTCGTATCAAGACAACACAAATAGTTATCAGGATTTCCATCTCTGAAATCGCTGCTCTGGTTCCATTTTGATACAGTGCTATTGTCAACAATCCAAGTATTCGAACACTAGCTATCGAGAACATTACAGAAAAGAGTCTGGTGCTTGGGTTTAGTACCTCTTTACCGGAAGAGCTAGGTATTTATCAACTCCGAGACGATTGCCAGTCAGAACTCGGAGACGATACTTGCAGTACACTAAGTGAAGGAAGTGAGGAGGAGACTCATGAAAGCAGGAGAAGGTACTGGTATTGAACCTGCGCCTGGCCGTGATCTTCTACGCATCTCATAAATAATTACAAGATGTGAGTAGCAGATTCCCAGCTTAGTGTTGGGCTACGTACAGATGTGTCTTGGCTCACCGAAACTTACTTTCTTTTCCATTTGTCGCTGTGTATGAAGAGCTTATGCTGCTCTAATGAACAAAGAGAAACTCCTCGAAACGCTTGAAGAATCGCAACCACGACTAAAGAAGGCAATTGTTGACTCGGCTCCGTTTCCGGTGCAGCAAGGTCACAATAAGTCGATACCTCCGCGGCCACCATTCACACCGTTTACCGGCTCCAAGAGGAAAGCGAGAATGAGGTCGGTAAGGCCTGAGACTGCTTTAAGGTGTAAGTGTGTTTTAGTTGAGATCCATCTTTACTCATGGTAACGCGCGAGGAATATTAGAACGCGATACTGCTGTTTTCAATGACTCAACATTATTTCCACGTCGTCTTTTAAGTGCAAAGTCATTGAGATAGTCATGAAGTAAAGTAAGGAGAAAACAAAATAAAATATTACTGTTTAGTCATTGAGCTTAGGCGATTATGAGCACACGGACATAATAAAACAATGAGAGAAGTATCATAGCATAATACACTGAGATAGGGAGCTGTAGCTCGTTGATTGGAGAGTTTTCTATAAGTTTACTTATATGTGGTGTATATACTGAATCGGATTGAGGAGAGTGCTATTCACAGTTACTTTTTTTTATACAACAGGATGTCTCTTGATCTTGCTACAAGCTCCTCCTTTCCAAGCAACGGTGGTGATAAATCTCTGTTACTTGTTTCATCTGGTTCTGGATCGGTGTCTGGAAACGGTGAATCCAAAGTTGAATCCCTAGATGCTGTGAAACCCTTTGGCCATCCGGGGGATGACATTGGGCCTCGCCCTTTGAAGAGAGTACAGAGCAGCGCAGTGCTGAGTGCAATTGAAGAGGTGCAAAATATTGTATCAGAAAGTTCACAGGAAGAAGTTTCCCCTGAGGGTATTGAGGAAGTACTCAAGCGACTGAGTGATCATGTCATCTCTAATTGCACATTTGCAGATGAAGAAGCTGCGAAGCAGGTGAAGGATCTGCATTTTGTTTCTTTGGTCGTATATTTGGCAAAAGGAGGGTTCTAGATATTTGTTCCTCGTAGAACTGTTGCGCTCAGGTATTACGGGACCATACCTTAAAAATGGCTGTCAACAATCAGGAACACGCCAGTGCTACCTGAATGAACAGGTGCTCTAGTCGAATTTGGTGATGATTCACAATTGACCATCTTTTCTCCCTGCTAATATTTGTCCCATTTTACCAGTATGTGGAAAATCAAATAAAGGATCGGGATCTTCTGATGCATGTTCTGGAAGATGTTCCTCGAACTTTAACCCCAGTTCGGAAACTTGAGATTCTTCCCGGTGAAACGAAACTGCTGTATGTTTTGCTTACGGTGGATGGGCAAGTTCGTTCTACTGTGCAAGGACGTCTCCAAAAACAAACAGCAAAGGTGAACATTCCAGATTTCTTTCTCCCAAAATCTATACAACTCCTTTGCACAGCACTGCAGAAACGTGTTAAACACGAACTTACGAGGTAGATGTTGGCTATACCTTGTATAGTATAATTCCTCTTTCCCATTGCTTTGTGGATGGCTAAAGTCTCCGCGGAGACGGATTGCAGGTGAATATACAGCTTTTGGACTATGACAAGGAGCGTCAGGAGCTTTTGGAAGGAGGCTTTTTAGAGCCCGCAATAAATGAAGATCTCCTCACACGAGAGCTACCCGTGAATTTTGTGGTCTGTACCCACCGGCTTTGGAGATTTACCTTCCTTGAGCATAGATAGGGGAAGTGCATAACCTTTTACTGCTCATGTACGTGGGTATGTCGGCGTCGAGAGATGGGTGGGTTGTTGGACTTTCAGTAAATCAAAGGTTCGATGTGCTTTCAATAGTGAGGGAAGTAGCTACAGGGACTGTTGCTGAATTGTGATATAATGTCTTGTGTGCAGGTCTGTAGGGCTCTTCTCTCCCTTGCACAGAAGAATATCAGTTTCGGAGCGCTTCTTACAAACGAACATCGTGCAAAAACTCTTGTGCTAACAAACATATCAGATGTTCCTTTGCTTTACAAACTGAAAAAGACGGGTACGTCGTACTCTAAGCTAACTTCTTCAACTTTCTACGTCCTTCTGGTATCTACTGCATTACTTATAATCTCCTGTTCGGTTTTTGCTGTAATTAGTCTCCTTCATTTGTGTACTCTATGCTAAGGCACAGATGTACTCAATAAAGGGACTAGCTCTGAAGTTCTCCAAAATTGTGTGACGTGTTGGAAGGATCCTTTGTTTGTAACTTAAGAGAGTAAATGTCCTTGTTTTCGACCTTCATCGCCCAAATCCTTGCCTTGTAGCGTCCAGCCATGGCGCTGGGCCTAAAATCTCCAGGCTCCTGTCGATGAAAACCATTTGTATCTCATGAGTGTCTTTGAGTAGCAATCTTCACTGTTATGCTTACAAATTTAAGACACGTATTTATGTGAACAGGTTCCATAGCTTCTGGAGACTTGCACATAATCAACGGACGTACTGGTATCTTGCGGCCACACAGTACGTGTGAAGTGAATTTTGTGTTTCAACCTTCGTTGGGTGGGTCCTTTCATGAAACTCTTGTCGTAAGTAATGTCTACGATCCTAGCAATGATCAGGTTGTCACTCTGAAGGCCACCATCAGCCGAGCAGATACGTTCTGGTTGAACACCTCCAGCATTGACTTTGGAGGGGTGAACGTTGGAGAGTGGTCAAGACCCCAGAGCATCGTATTCGTGAATAATAGCAAACAGTCACGAACCTTCATGTTAAAGGCAGGTGACTCTGGTTCTGATGAGAGGGTCGTCAAGCCTCCATTTGATGTAGCCACAGATGAATCTCCAGTTTTGAGATTCATGGTAGAAGAGGAGAAGAAATTGTCCTCGGCAAGTGCAGTTGGACCGGAGCAGGAATTGATTGAGGCACTGGAAAGAAAGGGCCTAGCCTATGAGCGGAAAGGCAAAGCAGACAAAGCAGCCAAGATACGTAAGCAGATTGAAGAGCTCAAATCACGAGATTCGTTTACAGTGACTGCCGAGAAAGAGATTGATGTGGAGGGTTCTGAGGGTTCTAAAGTTGATAAAGCTCAAAGTGGTAGCGATACGGAGTCACAACACAATTATAGTCCCGGAGAGAGCAATGCTCCAATTGCTGATCAGGGCTTGGGCAGGAGGTCTTCAGCCAAGGGTTCAGATGGATATGTCAGTCTCTCAATAAAAGGAGGTGAATCCAAGGTACTGTTTGCTGAACTCTCAGTTAAATGTACGAGGAATTGGATGCTGTTTTCGATTTGGACTATTCAAAAGTTCTTCAGGGTTGGAGGAGACACTCACGTAGAGGTAAGTACGAACTTTGTTGTTTTCTCAGGATTCGTCGTCCAGTTACACTTCTTATGGAGATCTTTTTTACCTGATTGCGCAGGTCGTTCTTGTGAGCATCCTCTCTTCTTTATCAGCACCAAGCCAAAGGGTTGTGGGTACTCTTCTTGCTTATGAAAGCAAAAATCAGGTAATGTCGTTGATTCACATTTGCTTCACATTTGACATTATGCGGTATCGTTTCCATGCCGCTTATGTCGTTCATATATATTCTAGCTAGCAACTCCCAGCACTCTAGAGTTTAGGACACACTGATTGACACGAGTCGATCGATCTTACAGTTGCTGATTAGAGAGTCGTGTGGTGAAAACTGTCGTATTGACTTTATGGATCCCAAGCAGTTGGTTGACTTACTGTTATCAACTTACAGGACGTGGTGAAAAAGATTCAGTACGAAGCAACTGTGGTGCAGGGTGAGGATCTTAGAGATATATCTGGATCAGTAAACTCAAGCCCCTTTAAGTTGAAATTGGTATGTTCCTTCTGTATTTGTCAGCCTCTACCTCAATTTATATGCTTTTATGTATGTGATATCGTGTGTTCCCAGCATTCTGGAAATGATGTCGAGAAGAACTTCGAGTGGTTCTTCAAGCCATGTCTGCTTCAGGCTGAAGTCCTACTTAGCGACTGGAAGTATCTAGAAGTGTCTCAGTTGAAACCTGATGTTCCTAAGTCCGAAGCTGCTGTTCGTATTTCAAGTCAACAAACATTGCAGTTGGATTGTTGCGAAGGGTTTCTTGGTCGACACCTGGAATCTCAAAACAAAGTCCTATATGATGTTCTTCCTGAGAGATGTTTAACTCTCAAAAAGTCCTTTGTCTGCTGCCCCTTTGATCCCATATTAAACTTTCTTCTCTATGTAAATTAGTGCAACTGGTATGGACTTGAGGATTTGACTGCTGCATCCTAATAAATACAGATTGAATCTGAAGTTTGTGAAGGGATTCGATACATGTGATTTTTTGGTTTGTCTGTTATAAATTGCTGTGTTGGTTTCTTTCAGAGAACGTCTGGACCGGAGATTCCCCGATATGCCACCTTGTTAGCTCCATCTCCAAGTCTTTCGCCTGAAAGTTCAGCACCAACATCACCTGTAGGTGCCTACACACCTCAATCAGCTGCTGCTCAAAATCTGTCCAGAACCTCATCACCGGATCTTTCTACATCCATATCTCATTTTAACGACGCACTTATATCGTCGAACAAGGACGCGGGGCCTTCATCTAACCCTCGAAATTTAGCCACCAGCTTTGCTCACGCTTTAGATGGCGATGGCTGGGGTTCAAAACAACATATTCTTCAATGGGGGGGCGAGGAAGCAGAGGGAATCGCCTCGGTTGATAATGTCTCCGATTGCATTGGTGTTGACGAGGATGACGGTAGCAGATCTGAAAGTTATAGCGGAGTATCTGGGTTTGAGCCCCTCTTCAAGATAGACTTGTCACAACAGACACACGATCAAGCAACAGGTATTGCAGAGCACAGAGATGGTGATGATGAGATGGTAATGTACTTATCCTCGGCTGCAGATCTTGCCAAAAGTTTGGTGTCTCAAAAGATTCAAGAGCTGGGGAAGGCAATATTTGCTGGAGAACTTAATCTTGAGGATTGTTCTTATCAGGATAAGAGGGAGGCATCTTTTACCCTGAGATCGTTATCAAGTCAAGACATTTCTATCCAGTTTCATCTCGCATGGGATGGAGAACCTGACGTCGTTGAGTTGTGGGTTCGCAACCTGGACGAAGCTGTGGAATCCTCTGGTGAAGGCGATTACTTGGCAGTTCCATCTTCCCTATCGAAGGGCACACGACTTAGCTGGGATCAGACTGAGGCTTCTGACTGTCCTAAGGATGACAACATTTTTTATACTTCGATATACTTGAAAGGTGGGGCCGTTGCAGTTGTCACGCTGGTACGTCCAGATGAATCTCCTCAAGTGGATCTGCTGAGAATAGATTCAAATGGTGCTGCAACTGAGAATGGAGGAGTGACAGACGGCTATGAAAGGAAGGTGCAAGCCACAGGAGTCCTTACAATGCATGCACGACCTGATGATGGGCTTTCACAGCAGCTTCTCGTTCGTGTGAAACAACTTGATCGATGCCTCAAAGTCGTTCCATCAAGTCTGGTTTTTCCCGAGTCAGATCTATCCACTCCTCTTACGCAAGACTTGACTATCAAAAACAGAATTGGATCGATAGTCACGTACACTACTACTATCACTGGGCCCAGGGAAAAACTCCTCGCTGATAACAATGGGGCACTCACTGATAATCTATCTGCCTCATCCAACGAACTCGCAGAGTTTTCACCTTCCTTGTCATGTGAGTCTGTTCTGTCTGTTAGTCCTGGCTCCGGACGCATTGAAGCTCATGGATCTATGATACTAAAAGTAACTGGACGACCGTTGAAGCCTGGAAAGCAGATGTATACTGTTCACATACAAAGCTCAGCATGTCTTCAAGAAACCCAGATTAGCATTACAATGTTGCCAACTAGAGTTCACTGTCTTTACCTGCCTGACCTGCCGGATGGAGGTGCTTTAGATATGGGCTTTTGTTTCATCAATGCGCCGTCTGGTGTAAAGGTTGTCCCGTTGAGATTGCAAAACCTTGCCGGTGAATCCTTGCTCCTGTCATTCCGATCCAACTTAGCGAAGCAAGTCTACATATCGACAAGTTCAGAAGACCTAAAGCGGACTGATGAGTTTCTGTTACCTGGTAGTGCATCTTCAACAGTTTTTATGTGTTTAAAGCCAGGCGGGGACGCAACAGCTTTCGAAGGTGGGCAGTGTCGAGAGATAATTGGAGGAATGAGGATAACTGCCCGTTCGATACCTCCGGACAGTACAGCAGGAGGATGCTCTAGCCAAGAGAAATCTTTAGATGAAGTTATGGTGAAATTCCGAGCTATTGTCGGGAGAAGTCTCTTGCAAGTGTCCACCTCAATGATAGACTTGGGGCGTGTTAGAGAATATGGGGGGTTTGTGACAGGTGAATTTATGGTTTCCAACCCTAGCAATCAGATGCCTTTACATTTCTCGTTGACTTCTAAGAAAGCCATACTATCTGTCTTGGATGGACAACTGGCTGGTAAGGAAGCTGGACGCTCTGTTGGCCAATTTGGAAAGTCCGATATGGCTGTGAAGTTCTCGTTACCAGTAGTTGATTACGGCCTTATTGAAGATAAGGTGGTTGTTAAGAACCTTTCTTGTCCTGGACAGACTGCAGAATTGGTCATTCGACTATTTGTTGATGGTGGTGTTGTCGAAGCTAAAGCAGAGCAACCACTGCCGCATTGTGAGGAAAACAGGGAAGAAGATTTCTCTTTTCCTCTGGCTCCAGGCTCTCCTTCAACAAACTCTGTCTCTGGACTATCCAAAGACCGAAAAAGCAATCCTTCGGGGACTCTCGGCCGCACTTTGCCATTTTCGTTGAGAGGAGAAGATGACAATCGTTCCAGCCGGCAGATACGGAAAGCTTCCTCAGCAGGAGATTTCTACTTTGCAAACCTGACTTCATCTTTCGGTAGACCAGATGGCTTCACAGATGATAAAACCGAGAAGTGTAATGATCTCCGAGGTGATCATGTACCCTTCTTGGAAGCAAACTCTATTATGGACATGGGAACTGTATTTATTTCACCTATCGATAGAGGACAGGAGTATGACAGTTCTTCTGATAAACTACGTTCCTCATTCTTCTCAATTACTGACCTCCGTCCCTATCACACTTCATTGGTTATCACAAACCACTCACAGGAGGTGATAGAACTTGAGCCTTTCAGCAATCTGCCGGTGCTTGTTGACTCTGATCAGCGGTCGATGGTTTCACGAGATTCCAGAGATTATGGTGGTCAATCTACTGCTCCTGACAGTGACAAGTTGAACGAGGGATATGAGATCCATCAAGATACTTCGGATGAGGAGTTTGCCCGAGAGGAGTTGATTTTTCCGGAGAAGTCTGAGCTTGTAACCAAATTTACATCCTGTGGGCGCTCTTTTCTTCTCCAACCTGGTTGTTCGACAAAAGTGCTCACGGCGTGTGTAGGTCTCCCACGCATGTCTTCGTCGGAGTTGGATCATTTTCGTGGGGGTAATACTTCAACACTCGAAGGATTGCTGTTGTTCATAAAACGTAACCCTGTCGTTGGTGAAGATACCTCCAACAAGTTACAAAATTGTTATGTTTATGACGAAGTTGATGTAAGTCATCAAGTTGTGGAAGTGTTGAACATTGTAGCTTCGATGTGTATCTCGAAAGGTCAACTTGCTAAAAGCTACGTCGAACTTGGTAAGGTGGGCTATGCAAACAGGTGGGCAGATGTCCAGTTCGAGTTAACTGTGGAGAATATCAGTGATGCAGTATTGGTGTACCAGCTTGTGGATGTTCCAAGTTGCTTCTCAATTCTTATGAACGATTCACCAACAGAGTATAATGTTGACGAATTGAGGAGTTCTGTAGTTCCAAGGGGCTCCAGCACTTTGAGGATTACTCTACGTACTTCAAAGCTGGAACACGTGAAGGAAGCAGGTCCTTGCTCATGGCGTCTCTGCCTGCTGAATTGCAATAACCCTCAGAATCTGATGGAGCTTACCGTAGAAGCGGAAATGACTGTCTGCAATCTTCGTTTTGGAGGATTGACCGAATCTGCTTTATTGTTACCACCTCTTACGTTGCCTGCTCTACCGAGTGCACCACCCTGTATCACACAATTCATGGTAGGCTTACTATTCATAAGATGTTGCACTGTTCGACGGACAACCTTCAATTTCGTTGTCCTTCAGTTGTTCCTGTACGGCGGGTTAGTCTATCGCATCTGACGATTGGGGTGAATGTCGACAACAGGTGGAGAATCTATCGCTTGAGTCTCTTGGTGTAGCTCTTCAACTGCAACAAGCTGAGGAAACAGAGTCATTGGTATGCTCGTTTGTAGAACCTGCTGTTGCTGAGACTTCTGAGTGGTTGGACCTTTTTCATTTCTTTCAAGCAGTAACAGGAAATGTTCAGTTTTTGACTGATCTGTCCATCGGCCATTGTACTTAAATGAATCTTCTTACCAGCTTGGTCTCACGAACAGTGAGAACGTCGCCTTCTTGTAACTTCTAAATTTGCCATTCACCGCTCTGCAGGTCATGTTGGAGATTGTTTCTCAGGAAAACACCACCATTGGGGAGCTGACGTTGGGCCCTGGCGAAAGAGCTGAGCTGCGTGTTTGTGCGCGCCCCATTTCCGATAATATCCCTTCTCACTTCCTCGCACGAAAGGCCTCAACTATCAGATTTCCAAATGTGGGCAGTAACGGTGGTTTGAGTAGCAAGTACTGGGAAATATTTTCCTCCGACATCCCAAGGAATATTAATCGGACAAATTCCAGTGGGCAGGACTTAAAAGTTCTGGATATTGAGCAATCTGATGCAGAAGTAGAGGTTGAAGGAACTCTATCCATACTGCGAGGAGACTCTGAGCTTGCAAGTACAGTTTGCTTGGGGCAGTTGTATATGTTTTCATCTCCTCACACACCGGATTGTATTCCTATCCACGGCGCTTTACTTCCGGGTTCATCTTTTGATATATCACCGCGTAACCTCCATCTTCAGGTTTGTGGATCTTAAATGGATGAGTCGTCGTATGAAGTTTGTCTGCCATAGTGCTAGAGTTTCTTTCAAGACTGAAAACTGAAAACTGAAAAACAACTGTATGCATGCAACAGTATAACTGAAGGTCATAACAATGAGTTAATATTAAGCTTCTTGATTGGGTTGGTTAAACTTCAGGCGAGATTGGGAGGAGCAGAATTGCCTCAGAAAATACCAAGCTCGGACGATGTTGAGAATGGCAGCAAGATACCACCGGTATTATGGGAAGGGCGACATGAGCCAACTGCAACGTCGCAAGTTGTCATTAGAAATTTTAGAGCGTTTGAGTCTTTGCAATTTTCTGTGCTTATAGGTGATAGCGAACAAGAGATTCTCAGAGAGATAGTTTCTGATTATCTTTCTGTACAACCATTAGAAGGCTCTATTCCTCCCCATGGAAATGCTGAGATTACAATTAAATCTCGACCCTGGTCCAGAGATGTCTATGATACATTCATGAGAAGTTCAGCTCGTGAAGAGATTCTTAACCCTGAACCAATCGCATTAACACTATTTGTACAAGATGTTGAAGGGCAAAAGTCTGAAAGAAGTTCGGAGCGTATAGTTCTAAGAATTAGACCCCCAGTAGATGTGAAGGATCTCAGAGAGGAAGATATTGAAGCACCTACGAAAACTCTGTCTAGAAATTTGTCTGTTGATAAGAAGGACGTTGCCCGCGCGAGTAATGGTTCTCCTCTGGTTCTTGGCCTTCGAGGCTGTACTCCAGTAGGTGGCAGCCATCTCTGCTATGAATTCAATCTTGGACAGCAGAATGTATCATCTGGGGGACGTTTGAACTGGGATTTAACTTTAGTGGGAGATAAATCCTGGCCAATACACTATCGATTGTGCACCATCAGCGAAGGCGACACGAAATGGCTAACTATAACCCGTCCCAAAGGACTTGTTGAGGCTTCTCAGCAAACGATAGTTCAACTTAGTTTCTCCACTAAATCAATGGGTGAGATTCCTTCCTGCTTTGTTTCTCAGTTGTATGGCGTCGGATGAGTTGTGAAAGTGAGAAAGAGTGTGTTTATCGTTCTTAATTATTAGTGAGTTCTGCATTCGTGTTTGGTCCTTGGCTGACTTTGTCCGCTTCGTAACTTCCATTATTCCATCACTTCCTCATTCCCGTTGTTGGTATAAACGCTTGCGCCTCTGATCATCGAAGGGAGCATCATTAATTAAGACCGCGTGTTCCAGTAAAAAGTTCTTTCATTTGGCGTGGCACGTCTTTCCATGTATTTCCAGTGGCGTACAGGCTACTCCTTCCAAAAAGATGCACCTGTTGAATCATGAGTCTGTCTTTTTAAATTTCCTCTTTGATCTTCTGCTAGGTGTATATTCCACATACTTGGTGGTAGAGAATCTGGAGAATCCAGCTGACCTGAAAACTGTCCACCTAAGTCTCGAAGTAGTGGCTCCACGCAACGCGCGTCCAGAAGCACCGTCGTTGACATTTTTCCATGTCCTTGTGCAAGGTGACAGGTAAGTGTACTCAATTAAGGCATAAATGCAGCACATTTTTGTTGGAAAACTTCCTTAACTCTTATCACCCGCCTTAGCTTATGTCATCACCATAAACATTAGGATGTATACAAAATCTGGTACCTTTTCCCCAGTCTTTTGTCCGTAGAATCACTTCGAGCTCATTTAAGTCTCTTCATAATCCAGGTCGGAGGGAATGGTTATAGACATGGGAGAAGTGTACTACAACTTCTGGTATCGAAATCGGTCATTTGCCATTGTGAACGAGGCCCCAGTAGCTATGGAGTTTCTGTTGTCTTCCAGTATGGATCAGAATGAGTCAACGGAACTTAACTTCTCTCTCGCCAATACGTCATTGAAGCGATTCAGCTCCATAACACTCGGTGCGAAGAGCAGGTGTGTATATGACAAATGCTTTAATTCTCGTGTCTAGACAGATGTCACTAGATTGGAAAACACTGAGCATCTTGATTTGAATAGCGTAGGATGAGGTGGGTTTACATCATAAAGCCACCTTACTCAAATCAGGTCTAGAACATCTTGGCGCTCTTATATCCTTGTGCTGAACTGAAGCTTCTTGCAATTGCAGTGTACGCATCTGGATTCACTTTTGCCCAGGCCCAGCCAAGGAGAAGCCTATCACCGAGGATACCTGCGACGAAATGGCAGCGAACATATTTGTAAATTGTCGGCTTGTAAAGGTGCGACAAAATACTTGGAATTTGGCTGTAGTTTTTCCAGTAGTAAATTGTTGTATTATTTGTTGGAGTAAGCCTCCTTCTATAAAGGGAAGAGAGAACTGATTTCTAAGTATTTTCCGCAGGATTATCAACAGTGCATCCCGTTTCGCGCAAGATGTCGCTATCCGCAGATTGGTATATCAACAACAGATATTGTATTTTCCACACGACGTCAAGGACAGACCTCTATCTGGATGCAAGAAGATTCGAGTTGTGCAACAGGAGATACCATGTCTGAGAATGGTCCTGTAAATGCTCCACTGATTGAGAGCGTAGCTGTAGTTGGATCTACAGGGTCACAGTGTCTAATACCCGTACTAGATGAGCTCGCATATCAGTCTGTGGGTGGGTCAGCTGATGACGCTGTTCCAGCTGAACAATCGAAGGATGTATTGACTCCAGTCGGACAAGTAGGAAAAGCGAGGCGCGAGGAGGACATGGAACTTTGTCCTCCACAGCAGTTGCTAGTTGTCAGAAACCTATATGCTCATCAACCGTTACAGTATCTTGTGAAAAATGATTCTCTGTTTTTCATAGCAGATTTTCCAGAGCCACAGGTCATACCATGTGCGAAAATCATACCAGAACTGACGGAAGATCTTAACGGACCTTGCGAATCACTTCATTCCATCGTTGTTAGACCAAACATGGAAAACCTTCGTCTGCACCAGAAGACGATATTGAAGCAGAAGTACCTTGAGGAGCATCTGACTATCTACAACCGGTCGAATCCTCGTGAGAAGTATACTGTGAGCTTGCGGATTACAGCTGGACACTTGCGCAATTTTTTTGCAGCTCCGGGGTAAGTTGTCCCCACTAATGTTATGCTGTGATGGTATAAGCAGATGAGGTAGGCAACTCGTCACGCTGTTTCAAGACATGAAAAGGACAGTAGAAAAAATAAAGCTACGTCCCTGGTAAGTTGCAGTTTGAGGGCCTAATGTCTGATAACACTAGATTCTCTTCTGTGCAGGCGTAAGAATTCATACCCATTCAACCGTCTAGAGCTCCTGATCACTTCTTTCTTGAGCACCTTTTACTCCCTGACAAATCAAATGTTGGCTGGGATAGTCCCCAGTAACCTCCGTTCGATTACATCAGGCGAGGTTAGAACCGAGAAAGGTCGTGTTAACGACGAAGGGTCGAGCAGTCTGATGAAACAGCAATTGCGCAACAGACAAGTGGGAGCAATATCTCAGGCTCTTGAGGAATGTCTAGAGTCGAGAATGTTCAGCACCCATGCTTCAACAGACTACGAGACTCTTTATTTTGATTTTCACTACTTGACCGGTGAGGGATCCATATTCAATTCTTATTCCACTCATATTGCACCTCATATGTTTTAAACTGTCTGCATGGAAATTGGGATTTGAGCTTATGGTGAAACCTTGGGGTTTTCTGTCAACCGTTTATACCCTGTTAAATGGATTGGAAATGAAAGGATCAGCGCATCTTTCCCTCCATGTAGGTCGTAGGTCGTCCACGTAGACTATTTTGTGAATCCTGGTGAAGAGATCTTTCTTATCGCAAGTGCTTCTTTGTATGTAGATGAACTTGTATTCTACTGTCTAAAAGAACGTTGGAGTAGAGGCGGCGGAACCTTGGAGCTAGCAACAGTGCAACTAGCTAAACTCCTCTATTGTGCTCTGTATCGGTGTCAGGTAAAATTTCTTCTCATGACCTGACTCTCAAACACGGTTACACCGGGTCGAGAAACAAATCGTCCCATAAACAACTCTTGGTTTGCTGCAAGTGTCACAGACAGATTCAAAGAGGGGATACAAGGAAGGATGTGATGAGGGCTTCTGTTCGATGGAGTATTCAGGTCGTATTACATTCACATGTTGTGTCACGCAGATCTTCCAGGTTTGTCTGGACAGTTGCTGGAACTTTTCGTCGTTTGGATCCACAAGCACCGTGACTCCTGAAGACCAGGCTGATGAAGATGTCGGCGCGATGGTCAGCCAAATGTACTTGTCTCCCAAGTTCAAAAATGGGGTTGTAGAACCTGACGACGGGCCTCCAGAGATTGGCAACTTGGCGCAAGGAGAGGTGATACCAGCCCCGAGGCAGAGTCTGAAGTTCCTCGAGGATTGGACAGGCCAGCTGCGTCATTTCTTGTCATTCTTCCCTGACAGTCGAGAGGATTTGATCCCTCTCAGAGAGCTCAACCAGAAGAATCAGGATGTGATTATTGCATGCAGATGTGCATTCGGTAGAGAGAACCATTCTTTAATGTACAGATCGTAGGGCTTAGATGTAGAAATTTTCACTTGTATACTAGTAGCGTATGTTGATTTTTGATTTGTAGGCATTCAAATGTATTCAAGGTGCCCCACATATAAGCTAGAATTAGAATTCAGGATTAGAAGCCAAAGGGGCAGTTATGCAATCACCATAGGATCTGTCTTTTCCTGCGCTTCGTTCCATCATCAATCTTGTAGACGGGCTCCTTATAAATCTACATGGTTGTCTTACACTCCCTTAAACGGGATGTTTCTGGTATTTGTCATGGCTTTGGGGAAGGCCATTGTCGACTTGGTATGCCCTCGGATACACTGGTCTCATTTTGCATGTGGAACGAGGTAAGATGTTGATTGATACTCGACGTACTATGCTTATACTCATCATTCCCCATGGAGACTCCTTGAAGTGAAGGTACATGAGACCCACGTCTCACAAAGGTGATCGTTTGTACAAATATGATAGTTCACATCACAGATGAGAACCGCTTTCTACTACCCTTTTGATAAAAGGCCTTTGCATGCGGCCTAAGGAACATTTTTGAGATCGAACATTTAAAAATCACCAAACAATGATAAGCTCAATACATATGGTTTTGAGGACGCATCTATTCTAAACAAAAATAAATGGTAAATTTCTTGAAATTGTTCCACATTAAGCTGGTTTTGATTGGATAAAGAAGAAGATTCGCTGACGATAAGTGTGTTACATAATTTGAGCAATTTGAATGATGGTAGTATTGCAGATTATAAAGGCAATCATAACAAAAATATGAATAACTGACGAGATTTTCGAATTTAAGCCGTAAGATTATCAGCATCGGCACAGATATATATTTTAATGTACCATCGTGATTTTTACACAGAGAAAAATATGAGTGATTACTTTATGAAAGTATTAATAAAACATTAATAAGAAATGATATGAAGTCGACTAGCTATACAAGTACAATTTATTGAATTGTCATCTTTAATGATTTGTATCAATTAAAGTTGGAAAAGTCATTTGGACATAAAATGTGTCAGAAAGGATATGCGAGCTTGGACTCTACAGTACAGATGTCACGAGGCTGTATTTAGCTTAGAAAAATGGGCGTGTGTCCACTTGAGCAACTATCCTCAAGTGGACACACGCCATCAAGCCCCTTGAGGAATACATCTCGAAATTTAAATTGAGGGGTTAACAAGCAAGATTTCCATCCAATCCATGAATGTGTGTCAAAAGGTGTTCACAAATAGATTAACTGGGCCCTCACGCATCACAGGAACTCTTAGGAAGATCATGAATTGTGCAAAAGCTTTACCGGGATTCTGGCTGAAACAACACCCAAAGCTAAAACGCTCGTCTATGTGCCAGGCAGACATGACCAAGAGTTGGAGTAAAGAAGGCGGTACTTCTTATTATGTACATGTAATAGCCTTAAGACAATGGAGAGGCTGCGCAGAGCTAGTAACGTGATGATAAAAGCGGATTTTGGTAATTTGTCACACTGATAGATGCTTAAAGATGCTGCTTCTTGGTTCAATCTAAGGGGAATCACTGGTTGGAAGGTTTTAACAAACATGATGTATCCAGATTGAAAATAAATATATCAACTATCAACTGTAAGTTTTCATGGTCTCTAGATTGTAAGAACAATAAAACGACGATAAACTGCAGATTCTAGTGCACAGCAAATCAGGATCCGAGTGAGAGTTTACAAGATACAAGTTCGTAATGGCATGACAAAATACTTTTCTCACGATGCATTCGTTTTCTTTGGCCAACGTTGTATACAAATCCAACGTCAGGTAAACAATCCTTTAAGAGTATAAACGGGGATACATATGTACCTAGGAAATGTGTACCTAGAAAATAATGAAAGTGTAATACCTCGACGATTCTATCCTTTGCTAGGAACACTTCGTGGCGTCGCAATTGCTCTCCTCATTGTTTGCTTGGCAAATAACTTGCACGTGCCCAGATAAATTGAGATATGTTACAATGCAGCTACCAAGAACCCTATGCCGTACGTGAAGGCCTATCCTCAATTCTATGTATTTCGGCATAGAAGTTTTTGGCCAACATTGAGGGCACCTAGTGTTTTCCCTCTAATTATTTGACCGGGACCTCAAACTATGAAGTACCTACGCTTGTATGCCATGCCTCTTCAGCCCTTAATTTCTCATTTCAGAAAGGGAGAACGGAAATAATCAAAATTGTAGTCTTCCGACCTTGTACCTAAATCAGTTTGAAATGGTGCCTCCAGAATAAGATCAGCGACCTCGTATAATGTTCCTCTTTTAATATGTCAAGCTGAAATGAATTGCGCAAGAAGAACGTGTGAACTAAGTAGGACGCCCGTCTCCAGGTTTTAGAACCCAAGCACCACCTTTGGTATAACACAACTCCTTCAGAACCTGCAAAATTAGCTTCATATCAGAAATATTGTCGAAGTGACTTGCGCGGGGCACCTGACACAAACTAAAATGCAGACTGCGCTGTCCTGATGTGATAGTTGTGCTTCCATGGTGGCAAGGTTTCCTTGTGCGCGCTATGTCGAATGTACAAGTGTCAAATGCCAATAGAACCTGATTACCTTCTGATACACCGCTTGAGGGACATCTGTCTTCAGTGCTATTTTCGAAGCTTCCATAATATCTGTCTTTCGCAGGCCTGACCCTGGTCCCTTTGCTCGCAGAAGAGCAATAACAACATTTCTGTAGAAAAATAAAAAAATTCTGTATTAATTCGTTAATAGAAATGTCGAAACTTCTTGCAATTGTCCATCAATACTGTAACTGATGGGTTTTGTTACGGCGTTTGTAAGAAAGAAGCTTTGAGCTACTTAGCCTACACAACCATGCCAACATATAGCGAAAGGACAGAGATGCTAACCAACCTGAAGGGATCCAGAGCTTTACTCCCTAAAGCCGTTAAGAAATAAACACCACCAATGTTTGAAGCCACTTTGCTCACGGCAGCTTCTAGTTCTGGCAAAGGCGCCGAAGCAGCCTGCGCGGCTGCCTTTGCCTCCTCAACAGCTACGCTATCTTTACTAGAATCTGCGGCCACAATGGCCATTCCTCTCAGGCTCTGACAAATAAACTGCAACCTGCATCAACCGATCAAGAGTAATAATGCGGAAGTTCAACGACATGTTCGAATCCATTTAAATTAATTTCCACCATGTGTATTATGTTCCCCGACGCAACACCAATACAATCTACTTAGGGCAAAAATGTCGACTCACAATAAGCTCTACGCTGGTCTTTTCTGACAAGATTACCAAGCAAGCCCCTTGACTACCTACAACTTCCAAGTTCAAAAACGACATGTCGAGCAGCAAGCGGTCCAAAATCATACCTGCAAACGCTATGCTTCGCAAAAATTTTCAGCAAAGCGCCAGGCAAAGCAGCTAGAGTGGCCTCAGAGAGTGTAGTATGCCCTACAGTCTCCCCAGGGATTTGCTTTGAGACCCCACTTCCATCACCACTTAAATTGAAATGTACACCTTTTGTTTTCTCAGGAGCTGGGAATGGCTTTGTAAGGCCTCCAATATGTAATTTCGTTTTCGTCACAGTGACTTCCCTCACCGCTGACAAGTCAACAGTGGTTTTACCAGCCACTCGAGGACTCGTCAACTCAAGAGACATTACTGTCTCTCGGAGGCGATTTTCAACCTCTGCCCATCGCTGTGCCTGCTCCTTCACCACCGTCTGGTGACGCTTGATGAAAGACCTATCAGTACTTTCCTGAAACTCCCAGCTTGCTGTTACACCACTCTGTATGGCGAAAGAGAGCAATATTTCTCGTAATATCTCCTTTGAAATTCGCAGTTCCTCCAGCTGAGAGTGCTGAACAACCCTGTTCTTGGTGAATAAACAAAGAAGATAGTCTCTGACAATTGTGACTGGTTTACTATAGCGGAGACTACTAGCGGCGACCCAGCAGCCCTGAACCAAGACAGCTTTCTCTTGAAGCACATTCAACACTTCTTGCTCTGTGCAGTCATCTGGTGCAAGCTTCATCAACCTCTCAAACGGTAGAACATGAACTCTACCCTGGATGTTGCACCACAAGAATTAACAGTAAGTGTTCCTGGCGATGTTACTCTATTAAATGTCTATAAGAATTTCGACAGATAACACTAAAATTAGATCAGAGAGAGAGAGAACGATGCGTATCTAAGTCCAGATAATGCACAGAAAAAAATATGTTGACCACACAATTGAACCATATGTTGTAATAGAATGTGGGGTTTCAAAAAAATGCAATCGAAATAACCTTGGACAAAAGAAGATGAAATCTCTTTTCCAGTGGTAAGGTATTGAGAAAGCTGCATCCAACAAGAACTACAATGTTAGATTCTTTCCCCAGAACCCGGTCAAGGTAGCACTTCTCTAAAACTTTCAATAAACAACTATGAGCAATTACCTCCTCGAAAAGCCAGCACTTCCCTTCCCATCACCAGATACGAGTTGATAAGGATTCGCAGTTCCCTGCCCAGGAACAAGCTTTTTGATGTAATCGGCCCTGAAGGATACAAAAACAATCTCAAATTATAGAATCAAGTTCTACAACAACTTAGCGTATACCAGAAGTACATATGTCCAACTTACTGAATAATAGACAAGTGGAACACTACCGTTCGTTATATATCACGACTGTGACTATCTGAGCAACATAACGCTAAAGACACAGAAAGTACAAAGTTGTAAACGTACGGGCCCAGCTTGAAAGGAATTTGGGTCGTAGCGGAAGCAATCATCTTGGAACGAACAGCGTCGGTAACAGGACTGTCAACACCATGCGGCTCTAGGGGAATCCAAGGCTGCACGGATCAGTTCAAACAGGCATATGTTAGCGAAGAAATCCACGGCCAATGGTTGGTATCAGTGGTCACGGAGCTGCTCTCGTTGCAAAATGTCTTCAAACATGTATCTTCCATACAATTGCTAGCATCCCGAAGTCACTGAAATTTGGTACGAACTAATCTGATGATATTATTCAAGTACCATTGAAAGAGCGGTATCTTGGAAACCAATAATATAAGCGCATCTACAACACGTACATACTTCGATTCATACTTGGGGTGGAGTACGAAGCGTGTTCCGCATGTCTTACGTCCGCTTCTAACCAGTCTTCTACTAATAGCACCGCTTAGCACTCAGCGCGGAGTCTATAGTTTTCAGGCTATGACAGGAAATTGCTTATGGAAACAGATTTAGAATGGGTATTATATTGGCAAAGGTAATATAAGACCAGACAGGCGGGTCAAGACGGCATTCTACGATAGCGGGTGCGCTTACCTCAGCATCATCTAGTTGCTTCAAATAAGCATGTGAGTGAAGTCTGTTCTCCTCTTGCCACTCTGTTTCTCGCCGTCTTACATTCACCTGGAAACCAGACATTGAAATGACACTGTAGAAGCACTGATTATTGCTACAACTAGGAATCAAGTAAGATAACGTGACCCTTCAAACTCATGCGTTTAGTAAAGTAAAAGTGTAGGGACAAAAGTACAAAGTGTCGGGTCTATAATCACCTATAAAGGAGTGCAAGAGAGTGATATCGCTTGATAACCACCGTCATCAAGTCAGTCTCCTGCAGACCTTGATCAATATGCGCTATAATGTGGACCTACAAATCTCTCATTGCTAAAAAGACCCTAAGAGAGATGACATTGATCTAATAAAGGATAGTATCTAAATTAATCTAGACTACTTTCAACAAGATCAATACCTGCAATGCGACTAGTTCTGGTGTTGCCTCGGCAGCTTCGGCGTCTGCCATCTCTTCGTCTCCATCTCCGTTGGAGGCAGCGACCTGCTTCTTCTTTTGTGCATCTCCTTCATCGAGATACTTCATGGAAGGACGCAATTGCACCACGGCTTGCAAGGGATTCAAATGCAGCTGCCAAACATATCCAAGGCCAAGTACAAGAGCTCAAAACGAGTGGCAAGACCAGGTACAAGATTAACCCGACGAGCATCAAACTATTGTCACATGATTCCGGTTGCTTCATCAAAGGGTACCAAGGTGAATATGACATACACCGTGATGTCATCAACAGAAACAAAAAATTCAGTTGTAAAGAAGACTGACCTTGTTACCTTGCAAAACTCCTATAGCATAGCTTGTTGTAAGGGCTACTCTTGATGATGACAATGTCTGTAACAACGGCACCAGAGGCCAAATTTTCATGTTAATCGGCTGAAATGCACAAAATGTTGGATCTTGGAGCTTAACAAGGGCTTAATACGCACGAACCCGGAATTTACAACCATAGGTAAATAAGTACTCTATGCAGAAGCAGATGCATCGAACCTGTCAAGGCGAAGAAGGTCTAAATCATGGCATAGCATTCAAGTGAAAAAGCAGACGTAATCCAAGGCAACCTTTCAAAGGTTATCCAGATATACGCGATTAATGAGCTGCACTACAGAGAAGCAGGCAGCAACAATCCATGTGATAAAATGCACGCTGGAAAAACAGAAAATGAAACATGTGCCCTAGTTCGATTTGTAGTGAACTAGGGCACATGCATTATCAGAACACTAAGCAGTATGGTTCCTGGAATGACATGTGAGTAAAGGAACGAGCGATCGTCAACAATAGCTACCCCACGGGCATCTCTCCATCGTCACATGATCAATAGGTGCCAGGATGAAAAGATTTTTGCACTGGAGACTAACTAGAATCCCAACAGCCCATGAGTAGGTTCCATAACTGAAAACACTTCTTAAATATAGCAGAAATTTCCCGAAAATCCGACTGTATGAATAAATATAGATATATACATAGCACCAAGGTGATTGTAATACCCAAATATCGAAAGCCCAGAACAGAGTTATGAGTGATGAGTTCAAGAAGTACATAGAGAAATTTTTTTTAAGCATAAGCAAGATCATTGCCTTGAACCCCGACATTGACAGTAACAAATGAGCGGCCAGATATGGGCCAAACAACCTGTTAAAATTTGACTGTTGAAAGCTATCGATATGACAATAGGGTACGGCCAGAATCAAAAGACATGTTTAGGACTTGACAGCATCACAACCCCGACATGTCTAGAATCATAATATTCTTGGGGTATTAACAGCTAAGCCGATAAGTAGTAAGAAATCAGTTTGTGATGCATCTATTATCTTGCCTGTGATCTTCATTTCGCGATGCTTAACCTTCATTGATAGACAATGTTAAATGCAAGTTCTAAAGCATTTCATTTAAATGAAGCAACCTGTTTCGTGATCTTCAGATGATCAGCTGCGTCCTGATCGTAGTTCTCGCTATCGGTGTCGATCGCGAGATCCAACTCCAGCTTCTTCTGGACAGCCTTCACACGAACCTGCCAGACGAATACAAGGGTCAACGGAAGGCATGCCTTGAAGAATCTTGGACTGATAGCTCTATCAGTGTCACAACCTGATAGTTCGAACATGACTAGTAACTCATCTTACCTCCTGGCATTGTTCTTCTAAACCATAAGGACGCCATGCGGGTCGCAAAGGATACTGAAGGAGATAGAACTGCAAAAATACGAAGGCAACATCTCGATGTGAAAATTCAGTTGTATATTTTTTTTATAGATAAAGGCTTGTGGGTATTCAGGTGCAGAAAATCCAAATGGCATCAAGAAAACATAAGATAAAATATGAATCTGCCAATACAAATATATGCCACGAAAGGCAAGCACAAAGTGTATATCTGTCACAACGGTAGACTCTAGAAGTTTGTTAGTGCTCAATTCTGTACAAATTACGAGTCAACCAGAAATTGATAAACTAGAGGTTGCTGAATCAAAAAACCATCACATTCCCGCTAGAGAGAACAGATGTAGGCACAATCATAATCCAAAAAATCGTGACTCCACTTCAAGCTCTGTCAAACCAAACCTGTGTCCAACCACATAAGAATCTGATAACATAACAGGCAATAATAAGGACGATAATTACATGAGTTTCAGGATCTACTGATCGTGACACGAAGACCTCAATCTCCCGCACCACACGATCCACTCCAGGACGACTATCTTGAGGTAGTCCTTCCGACTGCTGCTGATGAAATTCTGGTAGCGCACACTCCTCTTTCATGACATGTCCGCTAGGGTCTGAATCTGACTCCACTTTCACGACATGACCGCTGGGTTCAGAATCTGTTTCCATTTTCACGACAACTGGAACCTCTTCCTTGACTTTCAAGAATTCTGGTTCAGATTTTACAACTTTTGTTTCCTGGACATGAGGTAAGTTCGATCGCTCAAGACTACTGGCTAGCTCTCCGCTTGCAATCTTGACATCAGAATTCGGACTTGGGATCGACTCAGCTGTGGCCAACGAAGGTGAAACTTTGGAGCCCCCAGCTCGTACGGGAGCTGTGGACTGGTTAGCGAGCCGAGACTTCGCTTGAGGCCCTCTAGGTTTGACTTTGGGTTCAAATCGAGGTTTCGTGGTCGTAGATGCATTACTAGAGGGTACAGCATCAAACAGATCCATCTTCGGTTGATTCAGAAGAGCAAATGGAGATTCGGCATCTGCGTCCACCATGGCCACATCACCAGCCTTTCCTCCGGCTAATTTTGCTTCTCCATTATTCGACCCCATCCTTCCTTCTCGAGAACGGGAGAATAATGGAGAAGCGAAGAATTCTCAAGCTATGTACCCACGAGAGTCGTAAAGGAGATTCTCAAGCTATGTAGAATCCATAAATTACTCGATACACTTCCGTGCACACAAAAACTGCACTACCGCTTCAACTCTCCATGGACAACAACCTCCATGTCGAATGTTGTAGTCGGACTGTCCGCCCTCCAGCAGAACCTTTTCACAGCAAGCGTGCGGTAGCTTAGGCAGCAGACGTCATCCTTTCCATCACTTTGAACAGATGACCGCGAGACCTCGTGCTGTCAGCAAATAAGTAAGAGAACTCCGGGATGTACCGATGCTCGATATCAGGTGAGAGAGAGAAGCTGCTTCCAGAGAAGAAGTATGGATGAATTCCGATACCATCCCAATTAACAACGCAGCCGGCTGACAGAAGTTCCTCGCAACTCGAACCCGCAAATAGTGCTCTGAAGCATTCACTCGTTCACTTTTAATCAAGGTAATCAAGGTTCATGAAGCAGGATTTCTAACAAACAGCTCTGCGCAGCAACCGATGCGATAGGATTGACGAGGAAACTTCGCCTCGGGAACAGGGGAGCCCCAAAAAAATTGCGGATCGTCGAAAAATCTTTCGAGAAGAGGAAAAATTCAGGAAAAAATCGCAGCAAGTGTCAGAATTCCCGTCTCGTAGCATAATATTTCATCCTCGTGAGACGAGAGCGCTGACAGAGACCTAACCGACCGACACGAAGGCGCAATTCGATCTTCCTCCGGCAAATGGAGCCATCGACTCCGTCTCCCTCTCGAGGGCCCCTTCGGAGCGGAATTGCCCGACGTACCGTACCTCCGTCATCAGCTGCTGACGGTGCAGGTCATAAACCCCGACCCCCACCCTCCCCCGACTCTCACTGCGCGGCATAAATCCCACAGATGGATGGACGGATGGACGGACGGACTGACAGACTCACGACAGCATCTCCGGCGACAGTGAGTTCATTTTTCTTCCCCGACGTCGGCTGCTCTTGCGCCGTACTGTACGTTGACTACTCTGATTCGTAAATACAGTATTGACTAATAGTGTAATACAAATTACGGCCATTGTCACGTCGAGCAGACCAAGTGGATTGTAGAAAGTATCGGATTAATGTTACGGATTAAGCACTGCTCTTGTATATAGTTTGTGAAGATGTATAGTATCCTATCACTCTATTATCTCGTGTGCTACGTTTTTTAGATATCTAAAATTGAGTACGCAGGGAGCGAATTTGATTTCCACCTTGTGTATTAATTCTTGTAAACATATCGAAATTCGTATTCTTTAGTTCATATTATTCTAATGCGAATGTATGAAATTGTTAACTTTCTTCATAATCTTACATTTGAGACCTATGTTTTTGTTTCCACACTTATGGCCATCCGATGCCCTCAGTAATCACTTGTCTAAAGTTCTTTGATGTTTTATCATCAGTGATCAACATACATTCATGATCGATAACTAGTACTTGTAAAACCAAATTTGATACTTTTGACCACATATGTGTGCCAGTACCTTAGCTGAGTGCATATCCACTCCATATTCTAATATGGAGATGGAGTGGACCCTTTCACTCTCTCACTCGCGTTCTATTTACTTTTCGTTTTATGCATCCAACAAGTTGGTAATCCAATTCAAATGATATTTCATAAAATCTGGTTGTAGTAGAGTAGAAATGGCCATTCCTACTCTACTATATCCAGTCTGGCATGCGCATATTCACATATTGGAATTACACTAGCAAATACGTCGAAGTTTTGTGATGCAATTGGATTAGCATGAAAAAAAAGGTAGCCAAAAATAAGGAAATTCTATTGAGTTAAAATAATCATATTTCACATATACATTATGAGTACAATATATTCTGCATAAGTCTACGCGATACACAAAAATTCTAAAATATCGTGAGATTATTTTGAGTTTTCGATTATTGTCTACTCAAAGGAATATCAATAGCTGGAAGTTGATATATACTTTACCTCAATTCCATAATCCAGGCCCCACGTTAGTAATATATTTTTAACGAGGTTAAGGGCAAGTCTATTTGCGTTGAAATCCCATATATTTATTTACCAACTTGACTGATCTCGTCAACCTTTTATTACAATTTTTTTGGATGGGTTCTGCCGTCTGTTTTAATCCTATGGTTCCAGTGTTTCTTGTCCAGTGGATAGAGGAGATTTTCTATGTATACCCGATGGTTCTTGTCTCTCTTGTCCACTAGACAGAGGGGATTTTCCTGTTTTTCCAATGGTTCTAGTGTTTCATGTCCAGTGGATAGAGGAGATTTTCTGTGTTTATCCCATGATTCTTGTGTTTCTTTTCCACTGCACAGAGGGAGGAGATTTTCTGTTTTTATCCCATGGTTCTAGTGGTTCTTGTCCGGTGGACAGAGGAGATTTGGCTGGGCGATTAAGCGGCGGCTGGCATAATGGCGCGCCTTGTACAACGGTAGTACGGCTGCCTTCGGTTTGAGCCAGGCCTCGAGCTGCAGCTTTCAAAGAAATTCGTTCTGCTCGTCGTTTCGCGGAATCCGATCGGGCTCCAGCTTTTGGGCGCAAGATTTGGTGTCTGGCGATTCCATGGATTGGTACACACAACAGCAGCAGCAGTCAGCTTTATTTCTCGATGACGAGGAAGACGCAGACGCCCGTCGCGAAGAGTTGGTGCGATTTCTGTCCAATCCTGCAGCTCTGAAATTTTTTATTTTTGAACTTTGGATCTCGAATTTCTCGCGGGAAGTTTGGAATTGTGGGACGCGCATGCTTTCGAAGTCTCGTGTCTGCTGTTTGTTGAGAATTCAGATTTCTTGTTTTTCCTTGTATGTCACAATGTAATCTCATGGGCAATCTGCATGTCTCTGGCGTCAGACGTTTCCAGTACCGAGACAAGATGACAAAATTATCAAAAGTGATCGACTTTCAATTAGGAAGAATTTGAGCTGACTCTTCTCGTGTCTTAATTCGAAGATCGCCTCTCAATTTTCAAAGCAAATTGTATTCCATGGAGACATGTGTTCACGTTTCTTAGAAGTTCTACATAGATATGAGCTATGCTTGTGAACTTCACATCTTGTTCATCGAAGGTTGAAGGAAGCCTCTGGTCTACTCCCAGATCTCGCAGAGTCGAATGTAATGTTCATGGCCAAATTTGGCATTCGAAGAGTATTATTTTCAGTATTTTCCAGTCTTTCAGTCATCGATTGTCTTCTCAGTTCTCTGACTATACGCGGAGATGATGACAAAAATTTTCTGCTCGGTCTCGCTGACTCGGCAGGAATTCACTTCGAGCAAGGAATACATTGTGTACATGGTGGATGCGGGAGCAGATATGTTTCTTCCACTCGGGAAAGAGGTGATGTTTTATTTTCTCTGATAATGCAAATGTTTCGTCTTCTCTTGGCTTATTTTCATGGGATTGGGTCGCTTACAGTAGACTTAAAACATGAGCATGTTTGGGGTGCAGGAAAATGCGAAATCTTTTTTTGCAACAGTTATCCATGGAGTCATTAACGACCTGAAGACTCGAATTATATCTCGAGACACGGATGAAGTCGGGGTGTGCTTTTTCAACACTGTAAGTTCTCTACCTTTAACGAACAAATATTGTAGCAGAGTTCAACAGCAGACAAGCTTGTTGAATTGTACTGCCGAGTCAATCGAAGAACGCTTCTGCATTGTCCATGGTTTTCACTGAAAAGATAGTAAAAGCTTGTCGTGACATTGTTGTCGGCACTTTGTATGAGCCATGCTTCTCACGCTTATTTTATATTTTGATACGAATCCCAGAGGGGGAAAAAAAACATACAAGAATCAGAAGGTGTTTATGTATTCAGTGAGCTGGGACAAACGTCGGCACAGCTGATTAGAGAACTCGATCGCATCATTGGTATGTAATTGCCTCCTTGTGTTCTGGTTAAATTGTTTTCAAAGATACTCCTTATGAGACACCGTCAAGTTCATCCAAATTCACTGCCACGTTTGCCTCCGTAAGCCACTTCCTCTAATGTTCTATCCGTCCGAACCGAGGCTGGAATAGGAGATTTCTCTCTTCTTGTCTACTCTGCATCCATTCACTTGAACTTGACGTGTGCCTTGATGGAGATGTGACTGGGTTCTTAGTTAGACATGCCAACTTCTACAAATTCATCATGAAGGGTGCAATTCCTAGAGTTTTATGTTAAAATATGCATGGTTGTATTCTCAGAAAATTTTGAGAAAGACATCGGCAGTGGTGTTGTCAATTGCATGGATGCAAAGGAGAGTATGCTCTACAACGCCCTGTGGGTGGCACAAGGAATGCTCCGCACAGGGTAAATATATGTTCTTTGTCTGAATGTATGTGTAGGAGGTCCTCCACGAGATTGTGAAAGGAAATGCCCAGTTGAATTATCGTTTTATTGGATACAACAAAGCAGCAGTTGTCGTTTTTTCTCAATCGAGAGTAGCATTCTTGTGCAGTTCCTCCAAGAATATTGTGAAACGACTCTACATCTTCACTAATAATGACGACCCTATGGAGAATGCAAGTCCTCTAGTGAAAGCAGACCTGCGAAGAACAACTATTCAAAGAGCACAGGTGGTGCTTGTTTCAAGCTTTGTCTGAAATACTGTACACCCGAACAGAGATCGGTTAACTATGATGATCTTCCCATGTACATTGAGTTTTCCATCTTTGTTTTTCTGATGGAGGCGGCCTTTTTATAGTACTGCGACTGCTTATGTTATCAACGCTGTCAGGGTCTATAATACGATACTGTGATGGTGACGGTCAATTTATGCCTTACATTTTCACTTTTGTTGATTTTCAAGGATGCTCAAGATCTAGGAATTGGAATTGAGTTGTACCCTTTCAACAGACCAGGGGAGCAATTCAACGTGAATATCTTCTATTCGGTAAGCCTTCAACAAAACATGTTGCTTATAGTATATCATGTAGTGGACAAACTAGAATTGAAAACTCCATTCAGAGTTTTGAATCCACAGTCGTTTCTTTATATCAAACAACCCGTTGTTGATTCTAGGTGTGGCCAATGTCTCACAGGCTATGATTCAAGTAGATGATAATGACGAGTTGGGATATATGACATCTGCTTCTAACAGGTTACCTCTAGCAACTTCCAAGTTCACTCGGACAAATTGATTACCTAGGTGCATTTACAGAGTGGATAAAATTGTATGCTAGAAGGAAAGAAAGAGAGTTGTGTAATGTGGATCTACATAGGAAATTTCATTCATAGCAGAATACTGTGAATACTTCTAGCGGCATATGCAAATTAAGTTGGGTATGCTATTTGTGTTGTATGCCAGTGAAGGGATGCCTCACGTGATGATGGATAGGTAACCTGAGAGGCCTGATGATATATATCATCTTTATCCTCATTATTCCCTGTTTTGAAGGTTTTCTGATCTGGCCGATCAAATGAGGAAAAAGATGTTCAAAAAGCGTGTTGTTCGGAAGATGATGTTGACGATTTTGGACGGGTTGGATATCGGCCTTCGTTCTTACGCAATGATGCGATCAGCTACAGCAGGTACGCAGTACGAGCTGTTGTTTGAATATATCACATATCAAATCATGTGTCTGGTCCTTATGAGAATTGTTGGACTATTCAGGTACAACCATCTGGCTTGACTCGAAAACGAACTCTCCTTTGAAGGTACTACGTAGCCATACTGGAAGAGTACGAGGAGGCATGTATATGCTCTTTCACATCATATCGATTTCGTCGCTTGCTTATTTTTTATTTGGTTCGTCAGTCAGTAACCACAACGCCATAGAATGGATGCCGGCAGCCTGGATTGGATGTGAACCCTTGGAAGCACCTGAAGTTATTGATGCTCATCAGTATTTTTTTATCGTTGCTTCCCTGTTCGATACGACGTTGGAGCTGACTAATGTGTGGCACCTAGCAGATAGAAAGATCGTACATATGCTCTGACACAGGAGCTCTATTGACTGGACCATCGAAGCGCTACCATGAATATGCTGGGTAACAATCGTATTGAACCTTTCAGCTTCTCAGAAGTTGATGAGATTGCGAATGAATATTCTCACGATTGTAACATGAATTGATGCCTCACTTTCTGCATGCATTGAGATCATCCTAATCAGAGTACGTTTCATGCAGCAAAAAGGTTTTGTTTAATGCCGAAGAAATCTCCGAGCTGAAAAAAATCTCGAGTGTCCAACTTCAACTGCTTGGGTTCAAACCCTTGGAATACTTGAAAGATTATTACAATCTTCGACCTCCCACATTCTTATATCCCGATGAAGAGGTGTGCTTTAAGATCAGCGCACTTGACATACCAATCCACTCATGTCTAAAGAAATATATCAGTTTTCGGCAAAAAGGGATGCAATTTACAGATGGCCTGTTGTTTACTTGAAATCTAGAAAGGGAGGCCTAGCGGTCAGATCTGGATGTTTGGACTCAAAATGCTGCATGCTATATTACTGATGACGTGTAACCTGGCTTTATTGTGTAGGCAATTAGTGGGAGTACGTGTGCATTTATTGCTCTTCATCGGTCTATGCTGAACATGAAGAAGTAAGTACCGTTCATTCATCGAGCATTGAGTTAAGGTACTTTGAGATGCAAGAAGGAACGGATATAGTCATGTTGAAGGTTGATAAGAATCTAATGTGGAGTGTTTTAAGCAGGTTTGCTTTAGCATTTCATGGAGGAACAGCGAATCCACTTCTAGTTGCTTTGGTTCCGCAGGTGCGTCTTTTCTTTACTGTTTTTCTCTCGTGTACGATGAACAAAGTGTTGAAGAGGAGATGGACTTGATAAGCAAACAAGTATTACGTTCTGATCAAATTTAAATCTACCGGAAGTACCGGAAGTTTAAGGGAGGGCGGTCTTTCTCATAAGCAAAAAGGGGAGCCTTGGTCGCTAGAGTTCAGGTCGCTCGGCGAAAAACATTTAATCCGTAAGTTTGATCTGCTAGTGGATGGTCAGTGGCAGTTTGATTTTGGCATCACTCTGATCTAAGAGAGTTGACATACTAACTATGATTATGGTTCAACTCTCTTGGAATTATTTGTGGGTGACAATAAAAACTGTTCCGCCAGAATGGAGGTTGTTGCTGTTAAGCGGGCCTTCAAACTTGCAGCAGCCTTCGGTGAACTCTTTCGACATCTGACACGCACTCGCTCAGCAGAAGACAAGGACATTGGAGTTTGTCTCAAATGAGTAGAAACTCTTAAAAGCTTTTTGGTGCTTACAAGGAACCCTAGACTCCTGATATGCACCTTGCATTTTCCCTTAGGAAGAGGAAACCGACGAGACTGGTGGTCAACTTCAGCCTCCAGGCATGCAAATGATCTACTTGCCGTACGCCGATGACATTCGACCCGCGGAGAAGGTCGAGTTTTGACAGACACAGGGCTAGTTTCTTAAGTTTACAAATGATTTCAGTTTTAGTTTGCCCCGCTACTGGAAGATATTTTCCTGAGGATTGCTCAGGTTGGTTAGACAAAGTTTCTTATATCATGCCATTTGTCTCAGTTAACACCCATTGATCTGGTTTACAGTATCTTGTTGACGTTTTGAACCACCCTCAACGAGGAGAAGAAGAACAGATTGACAAAGCTGTTGCTTTGATGAGAAAACTAGACCTGAAAGACTTCACCGTTTATCAGATCCAAAATCCTGGTGAGTTGGGATCGAGGGACCCTGACGACCGTTGTAACGCTCTCAGACCACAGCAACAGAGCGGACAAGGAAATATTCGCCTAAATTTGCTCTGAAATCTGGTTGAGTTTGATCTGCATGGTCAACTGCCCAATGTTGGTAGGGACATGAAACTTACATGCGTTTTGTTGTGCATTGAAAGCTTTGCAGAAACACTATGCTATACTACAGGCCCTTGCTCTTGAAGAGGATGAGTTGCCCGAGGTCAAAGATGAAACGCTACCTGATGAAGAAGGCATGAAACTGTAAGCTCAGGAGGAATTAATTTGCAATTTTGTGTGGAGCTAACGACTTACTTACACTTTATTTTGCTCGGAAGGGTTGAATTTATGTTCTTGCACGTTTTGTGGTCAATGAGAAGTCTGTCCTGCGTTTCCTCCCGCATGCCGGAAAAGAGTTAGGGCCACCGGACTGTGAATGTCAAAAGCATTAACTCCAGGTGAATGTTATCCGGTCCGTAAATGCAGGCCATCGGTTGTCTCTGCAGTAAAAGATTTTAAGAACGCAGCATACGGTGAGTCATATGACGAGGAAATGGCAGACGAAGCTGCCTTGAAGGCCAAGGGCAGTGCTGCATCTCAAAAGCGGAAGGCCTCCGCAGAAAATGCTTCAAGAGAAGCTACCCAATATGACTGGAACGAGCTTGCTGATTCTGGAAAGGTGGGTCGAAATGCTGGTCATATATATATATATCAAATCATGGGACTATTTTCCACAAGCTGCTAACTTTCTTTTGCATATGGCTGCAGCTGAAGGACCTCACAGTGGTCGAACTGAAGTACTACTTGTCCGCTCACAACCAGCCACTGTCAGGAAAGAAAGAAATTTTGATCAACAGAATCTTGACTCATCTCGGCAAGTAAGGTTCAGACCTAAGCTGGTTCAGCTTGTCTCATGGAACTACCTGAGACTAAGCAGGGAAGGTCACATATCCATGTTCCAAAAGAATTGTCGATTATGTAATTCAACAAGAACAACATATGCTTACGTCAGGCGCGTTAGGTTTGATCTTAAATAGCTGGCTCGAATGAGAATGAGAATGTAGGCAGAAACCACGTCCTCTAGAACACAGTCAGCCAAATATCTGAGTTGCAGTCTTCTCGTCTGAGTCTCATCAGCCGACAAGCAACCTTTTTGTAAAAAGTTGTTATCTTATTCAAATCGGAAAAGCATCTATTGTACATGCAAACTTTTAGTTGCGGACATTTTCTCCTAAAGAGGTGTCTGTAGAATGGATAAGGATCGAATCAGGCCGAAGGCTAATCGTCTCCTAAACTGGAGATCAAGTGGAGGGATTTGTAGAGACTGCAAGATTTCAATCCATCCCATCCAAGTCTATCCAAATCCTTCCCATTTAAGTTGTCACACATTTACGATGTCGACATAGATGGAAAGGATTTGGATATATAATGGCACTCGAGATGAGGCATTTTTGGAACGGCTTTCGCCTCCAGAGAATGACATATTTTTGGTAGCCCTCTGCGCGCCAGCCTTCAATGACTTTTCATCGGATTCATTTGGGACAGCCGAGTAGAACGCGACGAAGTTACGAGTTTATTGGATTCGCTGACTTCGTGTTTTCATGGATGGATCCTGTGTTTTGATATGCGGCCAGCACCCGACTTCTACCTTTAAATATTGATGCAATGAACATCCTTGTGAAACATGCATGTCACAATACTTTCGCTCGGCAGCTGTGATTAGAATGTGTTGGCTTGAAATATTGCACGAAGGTTCTGTGATGCAAAATATAAATACTGCAGTTTTCAAGCCCACTGTGCTGCCCAACGTTTGTTAGGTTATAAGTATACTACCCCAGATGACTTTATTTTCTAATCGAATTAATCTATAGTTATCTCCATCAGCTTCAAATCAGAAATTATGTCTGTTGAAAAATGTGTATAAAATGATCGGAAGTTTTACTTTGCTTACATTCAAAATTTTGTCTGTTTTCAAAATTTTTGCCTCATGTTACAAAATACCATAAGCTTTTGTAAAAACAAAACTTCGATGAAAATTTCTACCGACTTGTATTTTTTTAAAAGTTTCAATTTGACAGTATATTATGTGCGTATTTTTTATTTATATGCAAGAACTAATTTTTTAAACTTAAATTTTAACTTTAAATTTAAGACATGTATTAGACATAAGTTTTAGTTTCAAAAAATATATACAAATAATCTTCAGTTTATGTCTAACATTACTCATGCATTTTACCACAATGTTTTTTTATGTATTATTGCAGATAAATAATAAAAAATATTCAAGAAATTTAAAAGATAGATTTTGTGTTAATGAGATAAATTTTCACATTAAAAAATTATAGATTTTTGAGATAATATTTTTTTTTATTTGTAAATATCATGATATGTATAATACAACTTAAATTTATGAAAATTAAAAGTAGTATGCATAATCAAGATCTTTTAAAATACTACTTATGATTACTCAATTAATTATTTTTTATCATAATTATTATACTTATATATAATTATTTTAAAATTATTCAAAATTAGAGTTGAATTGTACATATTATATTGAAACATTTGAGTGAATTGTAACTTTCTAATTTTTGCTGATATTTTGTTGATGTTTTAAAAAAATTCTACAGAAAAATATCTTTAACCAGTAAAGTGCATCGTAGACAATTCCATATATACAAAAGTTCATGAGATTTTCAAGTTAATGGTTGAACAAATATTGTACTTCATATGATAATGTGTTTATAATTAAATATTCCTTTATAAACGTATTTCTATTTTATCAATTTAATATTGTATCAAATTTTCACCATCAATCTTTATTCTAAATTGATAACATGTGTTAATATTTGGGACAAATATATAATATATTTAATGTTTAAGCATTCAAATTGTATCTGTCAATCAAAAAAATTTAAATTTCTTAATTATTCAATATAAGATTCATATCATAATTCTTCTACTTGTCAATTTAAATTGATTACAAATATTATTTTTGTCCTATAATTCAAATTGCTTTGTCAAAATTGATTGTAAATTTTAATCTTGAAAATCATTAATTAATCAAACTTAAGCAATCAAAACTCACCTAAACTTATTCAATATTATCAAAACCTAAACCTAACACATTGTAAAACTTTTTTATTGATAAAATTTAAGAAAAAAAACCTTTGAATGCTCTTAGTCACTTAAATTGCAATATGAAAATTGATATTCAACTGCAATATTGCAAAGGTGCAGCTAGTTACCCCTCACTTAGAGTTAATTAGCCATCACTCTACTATACGCTGATCATTCATTGGTGGCGCCGTGTTATAGGTTCCGTGTGATGAATAATAAACTTCATAGATAAGTTTCTTTTCGATCTTCATCAAAGATGACTCCGCGGCAAAAGTAAGCCTCGGCAAGGTAAAGTAACCCTTTAGGGTTACCCGGTAAAAGCGTAAAAGGTAAGGGTAAAGGTAATACATTTGGCTATAGGGTAAGGTAAAGGTAGGGTAAAGGTAGAGCCTCGCGGGTTACAAGGTAATTACCGGTTAACCCGTGAGGATACATTCTTCTGCATATTCTCCCTGATTAACCTTGAACAAACTTACAACCAGATTCAACAATATTGTGCGATGAAGTCCGGGAACTGATTCAACTCTTTCAGACTATATTGTGGTCTGCAAAGCTAAATTTGCAGGACGCATGATGTTACTAGTTTGAGTAGATAAGCCATCACTTGCTGCAATTTTGTAATCTGACGACGAGGTCTTTTAATAGAAGTTATAATAGCGTTGGCTCGAGTAGTTGTTCGGCTCAGTTATAATGCATAGATCTTCTGCCTGTTTTTTTTATTCTAATTAGATCTGAAATTAAAAACACTAAAGAAGATATACCTCTTGTCAACGTTAAGAGTCAGCATGGCTGGGGTTTGACTTGAATCGTATGGTCCTGTGAAGGAGACTTTAACTTTATCTCCATCCGAGTGAACCAGTTGAAAATGGGTTCCACTTGGATTGAAAATTTTTGGTTAAAATGAGATAATTTAGTATCTAAAATGGCGGAAAGCCGCTTCTAATGGCTACTGAGTTCAGTACTTCATTTATATTGCATATAACAAAATAATTCATGTTTCTCATGATTGCGGTATTCTCTCTCCTCTATCTTTGATTTAGACACACTCTCTCAAGCACTAATGCTATATAGGAAGTGAATAAGAAACTTAGAAGTAATAAGTATATGATCCATTGGCAACATCTCAATTCATGTCCCGGTACCTACAAAGGAAGCGGTTATTCATCGACAACGAGGCAGTAGATGTCTGATAGTGTTACGATAGAAGATCAACAAGTAGCTTAAAAAATGCATTCAAAGAAAACCAGAAACCGCATATCCCCAGGAGAATCTTTATATGATGCGTCCAAAACTAAAACTTTTTAAATTCGTACCAGGTAACCGGGTAATTACCCTGAGGTAGAGGTAAAGGGTAAAGGTAGACAATAGTGTTACGTGTAAGGTAAAAGGTAGAGTAAAGGTAGAGGCCCATACCTTACCCCGTTACCTTTTACCTTACCTTCCCGAGGCTTAGGCAAAAGTCACAGATTAACCATGTCTGCCATCTCCACATTCGAGGAGCCACGTCAAAAGCCGAGCATGTGATCCGAGGGTGCTCGTGAAGAAACGACGAAGCTGCGCATTGCCAAACAGTTGCTAGTGAGTGCTGAGAGGAGAAGCGTCCGAAGTTTGATGTTATGGAGATGACAAGCGCAGTACTAAAATCTGATTGACCAGGAACGACTGAATTTGTTCTATGAAACACGCGTGCACCAAAAGGCAAGACACACAGAATGCACTTGACTATATAGGCAGGGCCACAGAACTCCAGCACCTTCGCACCGGATATGGAGACGGCTATCTAAACCTCGTCCTCTATCGATAGTGATCGCCCTTGCACGCAAGAAGCACCATTTGACTATCCGAATCAAGAAGCAATATGCACTACGTGAGTCAAACTACGCCGGCCATGTCAAATGCAGTACCGACGAGAGACATAGTCAGCAATCTACATGACCATGGAAACTGTCACTCGTCGCAATTTTCACTCATTAGAGCATTTCCACGTAATTTCTTGACACTTCTTTCCTCGCGCGTGTTCGAGGCTACAACACGATATCACACCGTCCTCGGGCAGATCATTCTTCTCTCCCGTAAGCTTCCGAGCATTGTCACCGCGAACTCACCACAGTTCGTGGCCAAACTGATGCTCTGCGCAACCTGTTCGAATCTTCCGTTTCACGACATCATTATCTCCAATTTAATTATGTACAAACATCCCCCTCTATCTCCCGTCTCTACTCCGCAAGCACGCACGCACACTCGGAACTCGGACGAGAATACCTCTCTCGAGTTTCAGATAGCCCCAGATATGTAAGCAGCCACCTTACGAATCCAATAAAACTCTTTTTTCAAGATATCGGCATGCAATTCTTTCAATTTGGGAGGAATTCCAAATTCATGAATATCGTTGTGAAAACGTCACATCATATTACAGCTTGAAAAAAGCTAATTAATATGCCATGTTGTCCTCAGTGACAGCCGTGAAACTGTCGCACCTCGGACATGGTACCTCCGTAACTTTTGCCACGAAGTGATCTTTTACGAAGATTGGAAAGAAGCTTACCCGCGAAGTTTTACAATTCATCACACGGAACTTATAACTTGGTGCCACCAATGGGTGACTAGCGACTAGTAGGGTGAGGACTAATTAACTCTAAGTGAGTACTAACTAGCGGCTCCCTATTGCAACTTTGTTATAACTTAAAAATTTTTCAAAGCTGCCATAATCTTGTCAAATTTTAATCTAATACAAAAATTTTATTTGAAAAATATTTTTGTTTGAAACATAATTATCAAGAAATTTGTTTCCTCTCGTATTATCACTCAATTTTCATTATCAAAATTGACTATAAAATATGATTTTGCAATTGCATAGTTATAATAACTTTTAACTTCCAAAAGTTTTCAAAAATTGATTCAATCTATTGAAAATTTGAATCTAACACAAAGATAACATCATAAGATTCTTTACAAATGTATCAGATCAATCGAAATTCTGGTGAAGCTTGCATTATTACTCAAAACACATTCACAATATAGAAAAATGTAGTATTCAAAATGCAAATTTTTTACCAACTTTTGATGGTCAAGTTACTTCAAAATGATTTAATCTAGTCAAAACATGACTCCGGACAAAACACAAGTTGTGAATATTTTTGAATACACTGAAATTGCATTCATACTTTATAATTTTGCGTATTAACATACAATTAGTTGTACATTTTACATTCATGTTCAAATTAAACTATTTTTACCCATTTAGATATTTTTCTAATGATTATCCGTTGATAAAATTTTCTTGCACAATTCATGTCTTTGAGACTTACTTCCAAATCTTTTATCAATCATTAAAAATATATTTTGTTTGATATTCATCCTTTTGATTTTTTGAAAAATTTACTTGACTAGACCTCATTGTAACACATATAGGGACCCATTACGCATTGTTCTATCTTATGGTATAGCACTGACGGCACACATTATCCATTATATACTGGCAACCAACAAGCACGAGAGGAGGATGAGAGGAGGTCGTGGATAGAAGAAACATTTTTTTCAGTTCGCAAAAAGGTTGCAAGAGTTGGTCAATTTTGAGACATTCTGCACAAGAAGTTGAATGTCACCACCTTTAGAAGTGTTGAACCTTGATCTTGTTTCGTCATTGAAGACTACGCACCATTCAAGCTACAACATTCAAAACTTACTTTGCTGCGTTTTTAATTTCAGGAGATTGAACACTCTCAACTCTTGCATAATACTTCGACGATGCAGAATCCTTCCGACTAACTAATTTGTTTCTCTCTCCACATCTCTATTTCCAAAATCGTGTAAACTACTCAATTAATAAGTTGAATTGTTAAATACACCACACTTTTTACCAAATACATCACACACCGCACGCACGCAAGAAGCAGGTGATGGGCTTTGTCCGTGCGGTCCTCGCTTGCTTCTTGGTGGTGGTGGACTCTGGGATGCCCTTCCAAGGAGGGGGGTATGGGGTTGGGGGATGGGAGGGGTAGGGCGGCAACGAGGATCCGTTCCCTCGAAGCCTTACGAGGCGGCAAGATCGATCGGCCGCACCAAGGCCACAAGTGCGGAGGGATAGATGCTATGGGAGAGGAAGAGGGATGGTGCCGGGGGGAAGAGAGGTGTGGTTTGTGGTGTGTGGTGTATTTAACTCAGAGTCACTATGAAACTTCTCCTATTTTGTAAAATATTTCTTCAATCTGCGACCTCTTCTCATACTCCACTCCTGCACCATCAATTGATAATGAAAGATGGATGACATGTGTCATTGATGACATCTCATTGGGTAAAACGGTACATGATGGATACTAGTAAGCTACGATGTGTTACGAAAGAATTCTTTCAAGAAAATTCCTTTGATTTGTCTTTTGTTAACTGTTTTCTATTATCATCTTATGATAAAAATGTCTTTTGTCTTATTTTCTTATTGCATCTTGTTTCATCATCTAAATCTTATGTAAGTAATCATTTGTCTTTTCATCTGTATTTAATATTAACGCCTATATCAGTTTTTGATATTATGACAGTTTGACAACTTTCATTTCTTGGTATTGTGCTTCATGCATTGATTACTTTGGTGTTCTAACTTTTGGAAAAAAAAATATCAGGTGTTGTGAAAACACTTTGTTACACACCAAACTAAACCCCAAATTTATTTAATTTCTTTGATTTTGTTTTAACACATCTTCAAATGTGTAATTTTATCTGTAAAAGTTTGTTCCATCATTTTGGAATCATTTACATCAGCAATTTTTCAACTATTTGACATGTTTGTAGAGTATATTCTCATCAGTATGAAGCTATTTGTAGTAGCTCAATGTAAACCTCTTCATATTAATACTTTATAACCACTTTGATTACATGTGTAACAGTATTTTCATCACTTTAGGATTATTTGTAACATCATTTTTTACCATTTACATACTATTTATACTTGTAGTTTGTGAATTTTTGTAACAGTTTTTTCCATCAATTCCAACGTAATCATTATAGTTGTTTATTTACACTTTAACATTCTTTATATCCAAAGTGGTCCAATATTCTAATTTATTCACATTTTTTTCATTATCTGTTTTACCTAATAAATCTTTTTTACATGGCAACATGATAGTGAGGATCTTGAATATTTTAAAATCTCAACTTACTATATGATTAAATTTGCAAACAATAAAATCAATCAAAATGTGATAAATTACAAGAAAAATAAATTAAAATCTACTCCTTAATAAAAATTTAAAAATAATAGATAAATTTCGAATATAAAATATAAATTAGTTATTCTATCAAATATGAATTTTATAGCTAAATTTATTCATGATAAGAAAAATCATAGTCAACATTTTAATTAATGTCAAAAGAATTACATACGTACAATTATGCATATTACATATCATCACTTACTTGAATGATGACATATAACAAATTTTATGATATTTTATTTCATTTTTTTTATCCAGTATGGCACTGAATATGAACTGAACGACTAGATTTACAAATTAACTAGATGTATAATACTTTTGAATCTAGAAACATTTCAAAGTCTAGAGATTTTATCCTTTGTCAAATTCACGATACTTTAGATGAATTGTGTCAAAAACTGTAATTTTAATAAACTTATTGTGTACATTTCAAACTTGTTTATCTTTCTATTGTTTATGCCAAGAAGGTTGAATTAAATAATGTGAAGTAGTATGATTTGCTCCACAATCTAGTTACTTTACCTATGATTAGCTAGAATAGGAATACTACCGTTAATCAGAAAAATTGGTAGCATTTTTCAAAAACAGAACTAGAGTTATCAGTTGAGAAGATCTTGTACTACGCCGAATTAGTCTCAATGAGATAAACCAGGAGTATTTTGTGTTAGCAATGGTTGTGACTGTGCATTTGAATAACAAAGTAAACAATAACATGTGAAAGTGATGGTTATGTAATTTCAAACAAAACCTTGATATACATTTTCAAGAAGTAAATTAGTTTGAAAGCTTAGAATTTGCATGAATTGGATCACCTTTGATGAATTTTAAACTTTTCTTGATGAAGCTTGGTATTTTTCTATTCACTTGTGAACATGAATACCAAGCTAATTTTCAATGCGACCTTTGCAAGATGCATGACTTAATTAACTCTGTGGAAGTTAGATATTAAGTTACATAGATACATGTGTGGGACCAACCAAGCTACAAGCAATTTCAAAAGATCTTATGCAATCAAAGACATGATGGAGTCTTATTCAGTACCTCAAGTGCAGATTTAGATGTCCTGAGTCATTGAAGATAACTCACGACCTCTAAATCTGCACTTGAGGTCATTGAGGTGACCGTACAACTCCACTGATGAAGACAGAAATACCTCGTGTGGAACCGAATCATTAAACGTCAAACGCATGTTATGATGATAAGTAGCACAATGTTGATAAGAGTTATCATATGCAAAACATACTAGTTGTGTATTGCAGCGTGTGCCTTCTGGAAGACGTATGTGGAGTGTGATCAAACCCACGTGTACAGTTGGATGGATAAATGCTGAAGGGCTTATGGTTATAGGACATCTTATGAACTAAATGTACATGAAGAAACCTACGTGTAAGCGTTTCAAGGAGATCAATTGCATCGTTCAAGAGGTGATTCTTTTAAACCGCAAAACTTTTAGTGTTTAATTTTTAGATTGTTATAAATCATGCTTGCAAGTGCTGAATGACGAATTACCTAATGTACAGGACATCCTTCAGATATCTTATGATCATTTTTCAGATATCAAAATCAACTTCTTAAGAATGAGTAAACATCGATGTAAACCCATTGGACACAACAAAATCAAGATCAAGGTCAATGGAGACAAACCAATTCTCGCCAAACTTATGGTCGAAAGCAAACAATTTGTACATCATCTGGTGCAGTCATACTGCGGACTATGCTCGGGTTCAAACTTTACAGGTAACTTACCAATCTTGCCCAGCATGAATTTTAAATGTACGTATCAATTCATCGCTGTGCTTTTAATCAGCAGTAGCATTGGCTAAACTTGAGCAAGAAGGGTCTCCATATGATATCGTTGATACAATGATCACAAGCATCACGCGAGTATTACAACGGGAACCATCTACTAAAATCAGAGAACGCGTATAAGAGAGAATGAAAACTGAAATTCTGAAAACTACAATCCTACGTTTGCACACTGTTACAGTATGGAGGTGACTCGAACAGAATGATCAGAAGATCCGGTCAAAAACATAGGTAATAATGGATGCCAATCCACAGAAGTGATTCCTCCGTTGTGGTCAAGAGTCCTATACGCTTGAATGGTTCCATTGAACTGCACCACCACAGTTGGAAAAAACCTCAACATACATTCAAGACTCTATGTGTGAATTGGATATGGAAACTGCGAAATTGAGTATCGAACCTCCTGCCGGTTTATCGAGGAAAGTTAACTTTATCAATAATAATAAATAATAAATATTTATGGGAAAAAGATCACTTACTTTGAACATAGGGGCACTTCGGAGATTTGATGACAACAGTAGACTTTTCCCATACGAATCCAAGGCCATTTCGTGTCTAGGAAGTGTGGAACCATCCGTAGAGCAGAACCTGTCGATAAAAGGAATCGTCTGGTATTAGGTCAAGCTACGCTTAGCAACATTTCGCGAACTCCCATATGTGGTCCGTCAATTAAATTGAGAAGATGTTTGAGTCCAAGTTCACATTAAATGTCACTTGCAAAAACACAATTCATGTACTTAATGCTTGACAGAAGTGATTCAGGTTGAGGATAAGAGACCCCATACATGCTCGCATCGTGGGACTGCAATATTTGCCCTTGATTATGCAGGCTCCACTCTAAAACCTGAGACATGATCATGCAAAGAGCGGAACGTTTTGACCTTAGGATATTACATACTAGTGGAAGCGCTACACGGTGCAATGCAGACAGCATATGAGCACATAAACATTAATGACACAAATTAAAAGTCCTGACCTTTCCAGTGGGGACAGCCACTAAAAATACTTAAAAGAAGTTGAAACTTTTTAGATAAAAGCAATATGCGAGGAGATAGGCCGTTAAATTTGACATGGTGGAGGACGGTGAAGCAATGCCTACTTTGCCATCACTCCCGAGACTAAATATACTTGAATGATCGTGGCCAAATCTAACGCAACTTACAGCACAGCCATCGTGAGCTGGCCACCCAGTGATTGGTAGGCAGCCATTCATATCTGCGAACAAATGACGTCCAAGGGTGAGGACCCATAGCCATACACACAACTTGGTTGCTTGATAGGTTCAGTTATAAGTAACTGCAAAAGACAAGAACAGACATTCGAGAGAATTACCAAAAAGACGTATCATCCCATCTGTTGCTCCTGCAGCCACCAATTTTCCATTGTGATTGAAACAAACAGAAGTAACGACTGGTGGATCTTCACCAAGAGGAAGGGCGTTCTGACCAGACAAAAGTTAAAGGTGGCGTGCTCAGAAGGTCATTCCATAATGCTCTTCCAATGTTCGCAGCAACGAGTGGATACTTTGCATAAAGCTAGATGTCAGCAAAACGAAAAAAGAGGAATGCAAAAGAACTCTATGTCATGTATGACATATAGTAAAACTGAAATAACCATAATTAATAGTCTTTCACAAAAGAGAAAAAAGCATTGAAATTATGTCACATGGACTTGCTCACCATAAGCTTCCATGTTCTCATATTCCAAACAGTCAGTGAACCAAAAGCTATGTTCTCCACTCCCTGACTTGTGTTTCTGCTTCGGTAAATACATCCAGATTCAAATTAATCATGAAGTGAATTTCCCAAGATTCGCAAAAGAGATCGATCCATGGAAACAATAGATCTCAAAACTTTCCTTAAACCTCGCTAGCACTGCACAAAAAGAAGGTTACCAAGACGATATCCTGACAAATCATTACGGTGTACATAAGAAACAGCAGCAGAACTCGTGATGTTGCCTAAAACAAACAATGGCACTTACCCTGGATGCGAAGAGGCTACACATAAAAACAATGCATCTGTTGGGCTGCACTTGAGCTCTAATATCCTGTTCAAGAACCAGTCATAAGAGAACGTCAAACACATAAGCCTATGACTCCTAAGTGCACGGCCATACATGACACAAGAGATAAGAAAGTATTGGTTCCTCGCCTTGGAAATTTCTAGATTGCAAAATCAAGTGAATTTCCAGCATAAGTACGAATCACAAACCTTGGAAACGCAGAATCAGTGTTGAGATCACAAACAACTCGCTTGGCTGCCACGTTCCAAGCCTTAACTCCGCATTCTGCTGTTCCCAGAAGTAACTGAAAGAGAAAGACCACACAGCCTTATCGGCTTTGCTTCACTACATGATTCAAAACATCAAATCAGGTAACGAACATTTGACGCGAAGAAAACTGAAATCCTTATTGAACATCTGTTGTAAGATCTCCAGCGGCTTGATATGCGCTTAGGCTTTTCGCAAGATCACATACCAGACGATCAGACTTGTTTTCCCACTCCAAAGACATAATTTCAGCCCCGCAGTAAATAGTTGCATTTCTCGATGTCGATGCTGCAGCATCTGGCGTCCATATCCTACATTTAGATAAGTGGCAGCAAAGTCGTTATGTTACTTGATAGCAGGGACGGTCCATGGAAAAGCAATTGAAACTTCTTCAAAGCCCTTCGATGCTTGGATAGCAGGATGATTGTGATGACCACACGACGACAGGGCGAAAAGCACATAAGAAGTACATGACATGTGTACTTCTTATGTGCCTCTCTACCTAGTTTAGTTCGTTAACTGTATGTTCAACCAACTTATCGATTACCTGACGGTCCCATCCACTGAGGCACTGGCCACATTTGACCCTGCGGTTGAAAATCGGCACCGGGTGATTGGGCTTGTGTGTCCGGAAAACGTCTCCTGGTCACCAAACCATGCCCATTTAGTTATCAACAGCTGCATACGTTTCTCTCCTCACTGAAGAAAACAAGCAACGCTGTCCTAAAAAGGATCCCACACCTTGTCCTTTCAAGATTAGAAAACTCTGACAATTAATTACATGAAATCATATAGCCCCTTGCATCTATTCAGGACTTGGGATAGCAATGTAGAAAGCTCCATTTCCAATCTTAGCTGCTCATACACAGGATCCGTCCTCAAGATGCTCACCGGCCCACCTGAGACTCTACAATTATTTGAGGAACTTCCTCTTCTTTGGCCCAGCGTTTGGCAGCGTCTACACAATGGGTAGAAATTAACTTGCATCAGTGTTTGATTGGGTGCAGTGAACTCACAGGTGCATAATCTCTTAAAAGAAGATTCGAAGCATCACCCTAAAAAGTACATCATTTCGGAACACTCCTTGGCATAGAGAAAATAATCGTAAAATTCGAAAGAGTTAGAATACCTGTCGTGAGCTCACTACTTTCAAGTTGTGGAAATGCTGAATGGTGAGATGAATGTGTTTCATGAGAAGTGGTGTCTAGCTTGTTCGCACCACTTCCACTTTCTTGGTCCTCATTTGAATGATTATCCTCTACAAATGTCACTGGCACCAGGTTGTTCCCCTTGTCTGCCGAAGCTGTCGAAGATATTTGTGATGGAGACGGACCAACTTCATTCTCCCCTTGTGCATCTCTTGAAGGTTGGCTTTTTGCAGACTCGTACTCACTGCGAGGGCAAGGATGGTCATCGGAGACTGTTAAGGATGGAAGAACTACAAACCACGCGAGGTATTCCTCACCAAGACTGTTTACTACACGATAAAATCATTATCCTGGATGATTCCTCGGGGAGGAAACATTGAATAAAATCAGAGAAAACCGCATGCGTTCTTGATTTGACTCATATATAAAATAGAAAATACTGGACGCATAGCCCGGTTTCTCGAGGGTGCAGTCAAAACAGAACCGGGCTCCTGGCTCTTTCCTGATAGCCAGATTGTTTGAAAAATACTGGGAGGAGGGAAATTGAAACCGCAAGCAGAATATACTAATATGCAACTGACCTTTCAAATTTGGAAATTTCTTCCTCCTTCCCCTTGAGAATCGCTCGCAGTTGGACACATTCATTTCTTAATTTTTCCAACTCTTGTTTCATGGCCCTGCTCTTGATTCTCTCCGAGTGAATTTTCAGCAAAGTTGGAAGACGTGATTCTTTGGAAGTTAAGACTATACAGAGAGACAATAAAATCAGAAATACGATCCGCCTCGAAGTTTCTATCATGACCTGGAGGCAATGAGATATTTTAATCTCTCATTATATCTCCCAAACTATCAGTTTCTAGATTACCCTGCTCAGACTCCTGACGCAAACTTTAAAAGCAACAGTACGGTCGTTCGCAGTGGCGCTTTTAGAGCATATTTTAAAACTTTGATTGAATCAGTTGTTCAAGGATATGAATATTATCGAAGACCTCGGAGAGAAAGTTGCGAAATGACACCATCAATGTGTCTAGCCATTCTTTCGAGAAGTATACTTGAAATCGTGGATCAACATTGGGATTCTGCATGTAGGGAATAGCTGCAAAGTATCAAGCAGAAGTAAACCGAGGTTAGAATCCCCTCCTGTGGCCAATCGACTTGTACATATCCATGAAATTTACTGCAGTTTCGCAGCCTCTTGAACATAAAATACGAATGAGAATCACGTAGGCATATAAAGTTCCACCCGAGGACGAAAGACTACGATTTTGGTTCGATTGAGACTAAACTCTAGTGAAAGGTTTACGATTACTCAAAAAACAGTTCAGACTTTCTGGAAATATAAGGTACTACCGCGTTCTTCGTATACTACGCAAAATTCTGAGCGTTCTTTTCGAACTTACCAAACCAGCTATGCCAGTCGTCGCCACTCCGAAGAAGTGAGTCAGCATGTCGCTCAAAAAAATGAATAACCCGGTCAGGACGCGCCTTTTGCATGGCGTTTACAATGTAATACTTCTTGAGTGAAGCCTCTAGCTTCCTTAGCGTAATGTGATACCGTTCCTCTGCTGACGGAAAAAAAGACTTTTGCAGAAATGCCAGAAGATTGATCATATTGTCGGCCTCAAATCGTGGAACATAAACTGTAAAAAGCAGGTCCACGATTCGGTCAACCTGTGACAGTGCATTTGTAGCATCAGTTTCAGTTCATTGAGGACACTAATACAAAACATTTTCACGAAAAATTCCAGATGTTTGCAAGTACTTTCGCAAGACAACTCAGACTCATACACAAAATGTATTCAGATTTCGACATAGACTTCTCTATAATAAAGTTCTGACAGAATAATCTCAAAATTGAACATTGTATTCCAGTGTTGAAGGGTTCTTTCATTTATGACGAGCTTTCGCCAAACTAAATGGATAAACAAAAACCCGACGTAACTCGGGTGGTAAGCATAATCATTAAAGGAATGAGCAGACAGAAGTTGATAAGATTACTCCAAAAAAGCTGGAGCTCAGACAATAAGCCACATGTATCCCGCTTAAACAAACTTCTTTTGCCTATATTTCCGTGTCCCAAACAGACAACCAACTGTCCCCATCCCAAAACATCCACCACAACGGGGATATCATGCCTTCATCTATGCCCCGAGCTTTACTGGGATCCCCGTTGTAGAAAATGGACAGCTTCATAACGTCAATCCTGTTGAGAATAAAGAAGCAGCCAACTACCTATTCGTTGTTGACACTTCGATTCATTCGAACACACGAGAGACTTCGTTAACAAAGTCATTTGCAATACAGTGTCAACAACAAAACAGAAGTACAGAAGTACAGAACCAAAGGTACTGTGCGCGAGTCTCAAGTCCCGAACTCAGACTAGGAAATGAATCATGCCATCTATCTAGCATTTTGAAAACTGGTAAGAACCGGAAGCCCGCCGTTCAGACCCAAAAAGAGAGCTCTATAAAGTGTGTCAACATCTGCACACCTTATATGTGTGTACGTCTTTAGCCTTATCAGATTTCTGTCTCCTGAGCTCATTCGTATTCACACATTCGCAGCCTAGTCAAGATAGTAGAATGAAAGGACACCCTTCCACTGGTATCCAGTTTATGCAATTTACCAAACCCCAATTAAGTAATATACAAACAAATAAATAAGGAAATGTGTCTTCTCATGCCAACAAAAGACAACATCATTTCCTAACACAGCAACCCGCTCTGAAACATAAGCTTCTGAACAGGAAGCTAGCACATTGCAATTGTCCAATTCACAGCCTGTAAGAGTCGACTTCGCATTGAACGGATCAATTTCCAAAAAAAATTCGATGGTCTTCAACATTGACCCGGAATCTTACGCTCCCATCTAAAAGTAGTTTTCATACTAACCACATCTCAATAAAGGGCGGGGAGGGTTGTTCTTTCAGCTCGGCGTGGCCAAATGAACTGCAAGTGTCCAACTTGACGACTGAATTGCACGAAAACGACCAATCGGCAGACAATGGTCTAGTCCAACAATAAATTCTCTCACCTGCAAGCCGTGTCCAATGTCAGCCTCCACCTCCGCATCAAAAGAATGCAGAGTGTGAGTGAACCCCCGAAAGAGCAAAAACTCTTTCACCGCAGCCTCAGCATACTGCATGCTCTCCATATTCGCACTGCACCGAAGAGAAGGAAAACACCCATTCATCAACGCGCCATCCCAAAAAAAAATCACACCCGAAAATCTCCACGCCCTGGATCGATCCGATCTGCCCCTCGAGTCCACACTAGGATACTGAATAATATTCCCACGTCACGGGTCTCGATCATTAACTCTCGAGCAGCAGGATTCCGACTCGCGAACCTCCGCTCGTCTCGTCATCGCGCAGCCTTCCGGCCTCGACAAAAGTCGGTGGAGTTGCTCTCGGCAATTCAATGCTCTGTCCGCCGGGACGTTCCATCGTCCGAACTGCACCCGACGAATTATGATCCTCGCGACTACCGCTTCTCCGACGCTCTTCGCCACGTGCGGAGTAATCCCCACGACCGCTTGCCTCTCACGCTCCTCGCACTGCTCGACTCCTTCCTCCATCATCAGCAACATCGTCACACATAGACACCACAGTCCAGTCCAGCCCAGTACACGAGCCAGGACTACCGTACCGTAGGCTGCCAGTCCCGTGCCGACGGAAAATCATCCGGGCTTCCAGAACGAACACCTCTCGTGGTCCGGTCGGGGCTCCTCCGTCCGATAGGCGGATGCCACCTTTCTCCTATTCTCGAACGAGGGACTTTGCTCCGCTCCTACAAGGATTTCTCCAGCATCATCGTACCCTCATTCTTAGCCTTAATATACTCTCGCCTGTCTGATAAAATAACGTCCTCTAACTTGTGGAGGATCTTATATTAAAGCCCAGATTTGGACGCTGCTGTTTGAGACCCCGGTCACTGGCTTAGTCCTACCTTAAGAGCGGGGTTTCAGATACAACAGGAAACCTGTTACCTGCGGATGGCGGAGTTTATACTCTCAAGATCTCGAATTTGACCCTAGGGTCAAATCTCTGTCTTCCGTATCAAAGGGAACGACTGGAGGTTAATCGGAGTACTCGCTGTACCACTGGTAGAGAACGAAACGTATACATTTTAAGAACATTTGACATTTTGCAATCAAATTTTAATCCTCCCCTGGCAGATCGTTAAAATCGCCTACTCCATCCATGGCTCGGAGTTTCTCTAGCTCCTGCGGGACTAACATGCAGGTTTCCATCCGTCCAAGTTTTGATCGTCGAGGGGCGCTTCTTATATTTCCAAACCCAAACGTAAAGTATTATAATTGCACGGTTTGTGGAGCATTTCTCCTCGTTTAATATGTAAAACGGCGCACTTTCTGCGGTTGTAGATTGGAATATGTGCATGAAACTTAAAATTTTGGCCAAAAAAAACTTCCATAGGCTTTAGATCTTGGGCTTTGCAAGAAAATCTTGTTTTATCAGCAGTTTAGGAGATAAATAACCTCCCGTTCCCATTTTGACTTTGGGTTGGGCTATCCCTGGCCCACACGCTTTTATTTCCTTTGCTGATGATCATGTCATCAGTGATTTTTTTTTACAGTTCATGTTTTGTGAAGGGAAGGGTGTTGTCAATGATTAGTATCTCTGGGTTATTTTTTATTTGGTGTTGTAGGAGCCCTTGAAAGCTTCTACACCCTTTCCTTCATATGGGGTCCACTGGTGGTTCCACTTTTCCTATCACTCGGCAGCTGGAAGCCACAATAAGCGAAACCTTTCTACGTTTCCCTCGTGGTCACAGACAGAAGCTGCTCCCTTGAGTAGTTCATCTTCTAAAACAAAGCGTAAATTGTAACTCTCTGTCTGAACTAGGATTAGATGACCGGCCATGTCCTTAGAGACATACGCACATTATGGATGCTCTAAACCACGCGGGTGGGTCATGGAAACATTAACTTCGCCAAGCTGATATTGACTTCATGCAAATAAAAAACGATCTGGTAACTAATAACCATAGGTCTAAAGGCCTGTCTTTGAATAAATGTTCGAGCTGGCGATAGGGAAAATTTTCGATATTTTCAACGGTATGGGTTTAAATAAGAAGACTTTACGATTTAGGATATGAAGAAGTCAACGTTCGAATATTTCAATAATGACACACACATGGATAGATAGATTGATATATAACAATTTTTGCACCTGTACTAAGTAGAAGATTCCACGGTCACTGAATGATTCTCAGTAAAATGCCCCACGTTTGAAGGCCCTGTTCCTACTTTTAGCTTTGTTTCACAAGAACCTTGGAGCTTCATGTATCATTTCATTGCTGAGTAAACGGCTAGACGAAATTGGGTATGGGAAAACCATCACATATTTCAATCTCAGATGAGTAAAATTTACATCAAAAATTTCAAAAAAGTTCAAAAGGAAAATGGAACTTATTTCCTCCAATATTAAAATTTCGACTTTCTATGTACCGGAAAATATTGCCTAGTCTTCTTGAAATTCATATCTTTAATCGATTTATCAAAGATTTTCCTAAGTTTTTAAAAAATGAGATTATATAGTTCACAGTCTTTCTTTTATTTGAGTAATCAGGAGCGAAGAAAATATTTTTACGGGTGGGTAAATCCCATTTAGATGGGAGAAATAGACACATATGGCTGGATAAACAATCTCGATGACTTTATAAACTTGATGCTCAAAGACAATATGTTTTGGTTTGATGTGGTATATAATTTATACACTCTCAGATTATCATCTGGCGTACAAGCATACTCATTTCACTTTAATACGACAATAAGACAGCTGATGTTGTTGTTTGATGACAAGGATCTCATTATCACGTCAGACTTACCTATAAGAAAGATTGGTTCGTGGAAGGTAGACACGTAAAATGATAACATCCTTGATTATGAAGTAGTTCTTTATTATGAATATCATACGAATTTTTTCATGCAAAAAAGGTAATATGTACGTACTATGACATGTTAAGTTCAAGTTTCAGATATATGTTCTATTTGAAGTAAAATTAATATTTAAAAATTTTTGGGCTATTCAAGTGTCAACTATGAATCCTTTCAAAATGAATAAAATGCTAAATTTTCATATAAAAACCATAGGAAAAAATTGGGCATTATATAACTACTATGACTGGTTATGTTTTAGCTGTCATGTTTCAAGTTTCATAAATATTATTATTTAAGTTAAAATTTAATTTATTAACTTTTGGATATTTAAGTGTTGAATATGACTTACAAATAAATGAACAAAATATGGAGGTTCCATATAATCTGCAGTAATCATGAGGTAGATAGATACTTTGTAGATGTGAATGTGGAATGGTATGGTTTTTCTTTATATCATTTGTTGCTCAGTCTCATATGAGATTGTATCATAGCAAGGTGGAAAGCAAGTATAGATCTAGAAATCAAGTTTAGATGTTCACTAAAATCTGTGTATTTGAATGCAAATTTTTTAAAATCATAAAGAAAATAGAAACGGGAGAAATCAACGGCTCATTATATCTATGGTATAATTAACACGTAAATTCTCAGCTCTTGAATAATTCAAGATATGAAATTATTTAAAATAGAAACATCGACGGATCATTATACCGTCTGGTACCATTCAAGGCTGTCCGTCAAGCTCCGACCTCGTTATATTTTGAACCAAATTTCAACTTGATTTTTACCTGGAAAGTGGTAGTTGTAACATTTTCCGAAGAGCGATATATTGCCACATGTCCCATACGTTCAGGGACCCAGTGCCTAATCTAGCAAGTGCTCGAGTCGAGCTTGTTCGGTAACTTCCTGTAGCCCGTTAACCGGAATTCTTCGGACGAATGCATCACGAATCATAAAACGCTCATGGAGTTCAAATGGAGCGGAGTGGCTTAAAGCGAGAGTACATGAGCACTGTGCCAAATGCCATTCCGCCGCCAGAACAGAGAAGTCGCTAAGAAAACGTTCTCAGCGACGTCACGACCGCCATCAGAACAGAGAAGTCGCTAAGAGAACGTTTTCAGCTACAGTACGTCACGACCGCCATCGGTTCGCTATTCGCCGTCACTTTCATTTCGAAAAATGGGATTATTTTTTTTGTATTGATGGAGATTATTATTATGGAGAAAAGTGAAGCAGGGGAGCCCGAATTAGGGCATAATTATGAGCTCCGGGCTTTAAAGGAAGGGGAGCGAGGGCACATGGGCACAGCCGAAGTCCAAGTCGGGGAAGAAATAAAATGGCGGAAATGGGCGAGGGCCATGAAATGAAGAGGACAGAGAGGGAGCAGTGGGAAAAGGAGCAGGCGGTGAACGCGATTAGTTGTAAAGTGGATAAAGGATCTTGTCCTCCAGAGGGACTTGTCGACTACCGAGCGCGGGCCTCAGATCCATCCGTGGACCCAAACTTTATGGCGAGATTTGAGGCACCAGTTCGATGGTTCGGCGCTGCTCCATGGCGCATCAAGCACATGCGGCGATTTGCCATGACATGATGGATCCCATCGCATCGCTCGCGTGCAGTCCAGCCGGACATCGCTCGCGGTGCGGATGGCCGGGCTTGGATTATCCGTCCCTAAATAAGCCAGGCCAATACCATCGCCCGCCAGGCCCACTGTGCAACCTCCGTCTGCTTACAGTTACCGATATATCTGAGCATGTTTGGCTCGCTCCCCGCGCCGCTGCAGCGTGCCCGTTGTCCGCCTGGCGTCTAAGAAGGGAAAGGTTGGTGGAGCGAGCGAGCGACGACCGAGAGAGCGAGGGGAGGGGCCCGGACCCGGTTCCGAAGACAGGCCGAGCGCAATTCTGTGTCGACTGCTGGAGACAGTTTTGAGAGCAAGTGAGTGAGCGAGTGGGTGGGTGAGGGAGGAGTTCTAAAGGAGAGGACAGAGGAGAGGAGGAGGAGGAGTGAGGGAGCACAGTCAGTCGTGTTTGTTGGGCGGATCTGAAGGTATCTCGAGGCGGGGGAGGAGGAGGAAGAGAGGGCCCTTGCTCGACATCTTCAGGTGGTGTTGTTGTTAGGGAGGCAGGGAGGGAGCGAGGATATAGCGTCGTAGGGAGTGGTGTGGAGTGGGTTTGGTGAACGTGAGGGCGGAGGAGGAGGGAGGAGGAGGAGTGTGGAGAGTGGAGTGTGGAGCTTCTGTTGTTGTTGGAGTTTGTGTGAGGATGGAGGCGGCTGCTGGGAGGAGGAGCAGGAGTAGTGGCAGCGAAAAGCAGTGTGTTTGACGATGCAATGCGACGGCATTGCGGCTTGGTTTGACGATTGTGAGGAGGAAGGAGAGCGGTGAGGCTGCGTGGGTGGCTGTGTAAGCTTTGGTTTTTGCGTTTGGAGTGGCAGTGGAGTGGAGTGGAGTTGAGTGAGTGAAGGGAGTGAGGTGCCCCGAGAGGAGGGAGGGAGGGAGGAGGAGAAAGCGGAGTAGTTGCCAAACAGCGACGAAGACGATTTGCCATGGCCGGTCGACAGGCCAGGGGCGCCTGGCGGACAAAGGTCGTCACCTACAGGGCCATTGTTCCTACCATGCTCTTCTTCGTCTGCTTCACGACTGCCGCTGTGCTATATGGGGACCGTGTAGCTTCAACTCCGGTATGTCTGTTTCTCATTTCATCGCTGATTACTTGTGCCCGTGTCCATCTAAATTCTCCAGTGATTGTTGCCTCCTGTCGCTGCTTTCATGACGGATGCAAATCTTCGCTTTAACATAATGTCACTCCTATACTGTTTTCGTGCATCCAAACTATCAAGTCACTTCATCCGTACCGGACTTGAGGCCGGTGAGCTTGTTTTGGATTTCCTGACCGAGGCATGAATGTTTTACAGGTGGGGCTCGACAAGAGCTATGTCTCGTCTGATCATCTACATGCATACATTTCTCGGACTTTTCTAGCTCTGAAACCCAGGGCCGATCCTTTGAAGGCCAAAGCAGACCAGCTATTTAAGATGGCAAAGGATCAAATTGCAACGGTGAACACTTATGCTTCGTTCTCGCGCAAAGCCAAGCTGGACGTGATGAAGCAGGTGCGGATGTTTGAAGAGCAGGCAAGTAACTACACAGAGTTTCTGAACAGACCCGAGCATCAGGCTCTACTGGATAGTGCAGTCGTGGACAAGGAGGTGCTGAACCAATTTGAGAAAGATCTGAGGGACTACATGACAACAACGAAAGAGTTGATCATGCACGCCAAGGAAGTCTTCGACACTCAGCTGAAGATCCAGAAAATGAAGGATACCATCTTCGCCGTCAACGACCAGCTAACCAGAGCCAAAAAGCAGGGAGCATTTTCCAGCCTTGTCGCTGCAAAGTCCATCCCGAAGAGTTTGCATTGCTTGTCGATGAGGTTGATGCAGGAGCGCGTTGCTCATCCGGACCTTTACACTAGAAAGCAAAAGGCACCTGCGCTTGAAGATCCGAGTCTCTTTCACTACGCAATTTTCTCCGACAACGTCATTGCAGCATCCGTTGTTGTTAACTCAGCGATCAAGAACGCATTGGAGCCGGAAAAGCACGTATTCCACGTCGTCACGGACAAAATGAATCTAGGAGCAATGACGGTGTGGTTTAATAAGCGACCGCCCAAGGGAGCTCACATAGAGGTGAAGGCCGTCGAGAACTATAAGTTTTTGAACTCCTCTTATGTTCCCGTGCTACGTCAGCTGGAGTCTGCCAATTTGCAAAAGTTTTATTTCGAGAATGAGATGGAGAACGCGACCAAAGACACTCCAAACATGAAGTTCAGAAATCCTAAGTACCTCTCCATGCTGAATCACTTGCGATTTTATTTACCGGAGATGTACCCCAAGCTCAACAGAATACTCTTTTTGGATGACGATATCGTTGTTCAGAAAGACCTCACGGGACTGTGGGACGTTGATATGGATGGAAATGTCAATGGCGCCGTCGAGACTTGTTTCGGTTCGTTCCATAGATATGATAAGTACTTGAACTTCTCGCACCCACTGATCAAAGAGAAGTTCGATCCCAAAGCCTGCGGTTGGGCATATGGTATGAATTTGTTCGACTTGGATGCGTGGAGGAGAGAAAAGAGCACGGAGGAATATCATTACTGGCAAAACCTGGTATGGTACAATTGACATCTAATTTCGTGCTTGAATTTCGTTATCTCAATTTAGTTGTCTTTTTCAAACGAGGTTCTGGACGTAGCTGTTCGAATATCGTCTAGATGGAGTGTTTAACATTTGTAGTTACCTTACCGAGTCTTCTTTTATAATTGTCCACACACGCTGAGTGTCTGACTAGCAAGAGACTGGTCATCTAACTTGGAAATCAACTGCCTTATCAGCCCTGGTAGTTTCTGATTCTTGCCTGCGTTGATTTCCTTCAGAATGAAAACCGCACTCTATGGAAGCTGGGAACTCTTCCACCGGGGCTTATCACGTTTTACAAAACAACAAAACCGCTGGACAAGTCGTGGCACGTGCTGGGTCTAGGATACAATCCGAGCATTCCGATCGATCAGATCAAAAGCGCGGCGGTCATTCATTACAACGGGAACATGAAACCATGGCTTGATCTCGCATTCAATCAGTATCGGGAATTTTGGACCAAATATGTAGACTATGAAATGGAGTTTGTGCAAATGTGTAACTTCGGACATTAGTGGAGGAAGTCATCAAGTCTCGCTACTGAATTTTACAGGTAGCAGCACCTGCACACGGTAACCAGAAGATTGGCTCCGATTGTCAGGTCAATGATTCTAGACCCTGCATTCGTTCATATTATACATAACTTGTAGAATCACAGCATAGTACTACACGGATTGATCCGGATCTCTTGTAACAAGTCTCAATCTCCATTCTTTACAGTCACATCACAGAAGTTAGCCTGCTCTAGCTCCTCAGAGCCTCAAGTTTTGAAAAAAAATTTCCTGGCTTCGATATCTTTCATTTGGTTCGTAGTCTGTACACCTCTTGGTTGAATGGACCATACCGCAGTTTGTCATATTCCTGGTCGAGCCATTTATACCCCGTTTGGCTACTTGAACACCGAAGTCTGTTTGTCGTGCAAGCGATACAGCAGATGCAGCGAAGTAACCAGTTTGGGCGATTTGACTTTTTGGTTTTGTGGGATCATATCTGGATTCGCCTTCAATGGCACGGATATCTTACAACTCATGTCTAGTTCAGATTTCGCCGATCCTGGCGGAACGCTGGGCGTTTCGTAGTAGCACACTATAGAGGCTTTAGGCAAGCTGGGTGGACCTGAGCAATTTATTTGAACAACCTTTGTACCTTAGTAACATTGGGACTTTGTTTGTGATCATCTTGAACCCATGTCGATTCGTGTTTTTGTAGTTGAAGAGGAATGTTGGTTAGAAAGGGCTCCGGCCTTGGGATCTTCCCTTATGCTCGGTTCGGGGGAAAAAAACTATGAAACTCTTTAAACATTTTTACTGAACACGAGCTTCGCAATGACCCCTTTCATCCTTTGATCCGTACCAGTATCGAATGATTATGGACTGTCCATTTGTCTTCATACCGTGCTTGGAAACTCCATGATGCAAATTGTGCCAAGCTATGCCACGTTCCCTTTCGAGTTCTTGTCTTGGTGGTGCAGCAAGACTACACACCCACAACTAGGTGTGTTGTCTTCATGTATATCAAATCCGATGTTAATATTTGAATATTATTCGGACTTGCCGATTTGAATGCAGCTCTGAAGTATCGTCTGAGCAAGCCAGAGGTTCAGCCTCGGAGTGAAACCTTCTAACGCAGTCATTTCCAGGGTTGTCAATTTCCAGACGCTTTGCGTATTGTCGATGTCATTTCGGATTAGATAGACCCACTCGTCAAGCTCAGTTTTGGACAGTACATATCAAGTGATTATAGGTGGGCCGAGAGCTGAACGAAGAAGGGTACCTTCGCCTACAAGTGTGCTCAGCCCCCGCTCTTTGGCACTGTGATGGCGATTTTACATTATTGACGTGTGAGGTATCCTTCAGTGCTGGTGCAGTATTAGGTAATAGAGAAGCTTCCTCTATGCAGTCCTTCTGGACTGCTCGTCTTGTGCTCGGCTACACTGTGGATGTTCCTAAAGACAGCCACTACCATCTCATTCCAGTCTATTGATGATATCTATTTAAAGCCTGCACAAACCGGGCACGCTGTGGTTTCAGAAGAACTTCGCAACCACAAGTCTGCGAACTTGCTCACGACCCCTGGTCTACAGTGCCGGTTGTCGTTCAGCGTGTGTGGCACATGAGCAGTGTGGTTTATTTTAGGCTGGGCATGAGCTGACAATAAGTTACTCCGAGTGGCCTGCGACTCGTGAATGTCACGGGTTGAAAGCCGTACCCCTGATTTCGTATCTTGACCGATTTGATTTGTACGTGACTGGTACCATGACGACTAGCGTACTAGTCCTACAGAGCGATCTAGTTTCACAGAAGGTGTTCCACAATTTCCTACGCGACTATTCAGCGAAGAAAAATACCCGTCCGTGCCGGGTTGAAAAGTCTCAAAGCGCTTTAAGATCTAGATCGGAGCATGGCACACGCGCATAACTACGTTGCAAACGAACTGAAGGAAGTCGCGAATCGGCTGTGAAGAAGCAGTACTTAACTAATGCGCGAACATGAGCATCGCACATCACGAACCAGCCACTCTGGCTATGACGCGATAGTTCTCTCACCGCTGGTAATCGCTAAACGCTTGTTGCACTGCTCCAGTCGAAACTTTTTCTGATAATGCGTTTCCACCCCGACGCCATTGTCTCTAATAGCCCTCAAAAGTAAAATTGTTGCCCTCCTTCCAGCAGAGACCAGCATGAAAGGAAGAATGTCCCCCTTCACTTCACTGCCGTATTCAGCTCCAACAGATGATTTTCATGGCCTCACACGGACTTCCACAACATTCCATTTGTTGCAGATGTGTGATTCTCCGGCGTGTAGTATCTTAAAAACCGAATGTCGTGGAGAAGCTGTTTAGGACATGAAAAGCATTACTGGAATCCAGTAACGAAATTGAAGGTAAAGCGTCGGGGGCTCCAATTGCATGAAACTGGGGGAGGTTGGAGCTTCGCAAATCAACCGATGCGGTTGTGCCATGGCGTCGTAGTACGGAAGCACCAAGCGAGCTTCCTTCTGATCCAACCTCGAGTGAAGAAGCGGACGAAGAAAAAGAAGAAGATAAGAAGCGGAACGAGGAACAGGACCCAGCTAAGGCAACTGCATTACAAGTGCAGTACAGTAGTACATCACAGTACTACCGCGTACCCTACAGTTTTCCACATGAGCTCGCCGCTTCACGGGCGCCAAGGGTTAGTCCATGTCAAGAACTCAATCAAGACTCGTAGGCTGCAGTCCATGAAACCAGCAAGGCGGCCAGAAAACGGTGAACTTGAGCTCGCATGCATGGGCCATGAGCTCCCCCCCACCCTCCCTTAGTTTGGAATCTAGACTTGCGTATCGTCAGTTGTGCATGTTGTCTCTTTTCGTGTAGATGACTGACAGCCTCTGCGCAAGCGTGCGATCGGCTCAGAGGCTCGCTGCCTGTCGAAAAGCATAATGCATTCCAACGAAGATCGGACCGTGTCTGAGCTATAACCTGGAGCTGAAGCGTTTCTTCAGCTCCATGGTACACTTCGTCTTCACAAATCTCGGACGCCTTGTTCTTGACATGTAACCCGAACTGAGCGACTACGATAGCAAAAAGGACGGGAAGGTAACGAAAGGTCCTCCAATCCGAATCGGCCACCGCAGCAAAGATGTTTCAACGACCTTCTGTGCGGATGATGTTTGAATTAGTCGCAAGAAAGCGCGTTTTAGGAGCTACATGCCGAAACAGATAGGACATAATCGAGCCTAGCCTTTGACGGATTTGATGAGATGTGCATTCTTGCTATAGGAAAGAACTTACTTTTGATTTTCGCCAACACTTCTCGAGGTCGTGGTCATCGAGCTACAAAATGGGTTGGCATTCCTGCAGTCCCAGCACGATAATGCGTCACGACGTGGCCAACCTTCTGCACTATAACATGACCGGCGACCGGATGCCTCCCGTGACGAGGGAGTAGTTTCTCCAGTTTGGCGTGCGAGGGAGTTAGTTCTGCTCCACAAGGATATGAGAATGTCGCTTTCCGGGTTCTGGCCTATTTGGGAGTGACCATGCACATGATACTACCATTGTATGAGGGCTTTGACGTCTAATCTAAGGTTATTTGTAATTTAATAACCTTATCGAATGTGTTCTAATCTTGTTGGCAACTTACTATTTCAATAGGTATTGATATGAGATTGTCTAATACGGAAATCTTACAAAGTCACAAATTAGACATGAAGTCACTCTGATTATTGTTGTACATGCATATTAGTTATAGTCGTATAAGATAACATACATGTATCTTTGCTCATAGGAAAGGATGTTTTCTTAATGATTTCAAATTTAAAAACAATCAGAATTTGAAAATTAATCAAACCATGAGAAGAAAAATATATTTAAATCCAAATTGGTGTCTAAATCTTTCCTCAAAATGAATATGTCATTTTTTATCACATGCAATAAAGTATATTACAATAGTATATGCAGTTGTTCCAATATTTGATCTGATTATGAATAAAAAGGTTATACTGATTTTGTGAGTACAACCCTGTCCTCATAATAGGTGGCATTTGCCACTTTTTGGACTTTTTAATATAAAGTGGCGCGCCACTTGAAAATGGCGCCACCTTTGTCACTGAAGGTGCAATATCGCGAAAAACATTAGAACCAACATGAAGGTATGTTCATTTTGCGGTCTTATCATGTCCCCAAATGTGGGATGGTTGGTTTTTTATTCTTGGTCGCACTCTGCATTCGACGGAATGCTGCGCAACAGCCCCAACTGCTTTGTCTGGAAGATCCATTCCAAGAAGGGGTTGGCTAACGCAAGACGAGTGGTATTGCGCTCCCACTTGACAATAGAGAAATCGCCCTCAATCGACATGGAATTGTGGAAAACTATGGCCAATCCGATCAAAACTTCACATAAATGCATGATATGGCCGCCAACAACGGCCCAGCCCTTATTAAACCCGGTCGAAAAAATTTGCTTGTCAATGTTTTCCTTGAGCGCCGCTCATTTTGGTACACGTTGCGAAAATCGCTATGATACTGCTCGACATTGTCGATATCAATTTCGGCCCATCCAGAATTCTGGAAACGCATGCGCAGCGAATCGAGTACGTCTGCAACGAAATGTCTATGAGAAAGGGACGCGATGTTTGCGGGCATCACCGGCAGGGCCTCCTCGATCGATGCGTGATTGTAGCTGTCACGTTCGACCATGATATCCGACATGTCATTCACCATATTGACGACTTAGCGGGCAACTTCATGGCTGACGATGATTTTGTCGTCGTCATTAAGCAAGTTCCATTGGTCTCGCTTAAATGATCCGCCGTGCTCCGCGATGAAGTCTGGCAAAGTATCGTATTTGATACACTAGCCCAAAATTTTGTCGTACAACGTCTCATCGTACCCTTTTAAAAGCTCGTGGTTGCCGTGGTGGATTTCCCACAAAGGATATGATCGACGCGATGATGTTCGAAATCATGTCGTGCTGCTTCGAGAGAACAAGTATGCTCCCTTGAAGCTTTACGAACAGTTTGTTGATCTCTTTGCCAACGGGCACGATGGAGTACGCGATGATCCACCATATGATCGATGGCACTTGGTGTCTGTATGATGGAACAGACAAATGCGATGTTTACGCATCCACGACAGCATTGCGATGACATGCGATCAGCGATTCGTATCTCTGGAGTGAGTTGAGCTCATTTTAGTGATGAGAATCTGCTGAACGCGCACATACGTTGAAAAAGCGTGAGCGACAGCGTAGAATTGACCGTCCATGACATTGTTCATGCTTCTTTTCATTTCCAAGTCGAGTTGGTGGGCACACACCAGATTCAGTACGTGGAATAGGTTGCCTTGCGCACGAGTTGCGTCGCGACGCCCAAAATTTGTCATGTCATCGTCGGCTCGCCGTTTGTTGTAATAACAAGAAGCTTGCCTCGCTAGCCATCGTACCGAGCGATGAGCATTTTGATGATCAGTTGGGTGATATTGTTCGTTGAGTGGCGCTCAAAAAATGGTAAGATGACTAAATGCAGGTTGTATAGCTTGTCGGCAACGCCGAGGCGGACGCGAATGTTAATAAACAACGTCCCACGATGTGAGGAACCGTCAGCAGCAATGGAGATTGCCCAGACCCGTTTGCGAGCAAAAATGGATGCAATAACGTGCAAGTTGATGTCAACCTCGACGCGGACGAACTGTTAGACATTGTAGTCGCTGATGCCCACGAGAATCGGATTCTTGGAAATTGTCTTATGTTGATTGATGACACGAGCAATCTGCCAAAACGATAGTCCGACGGAGGTATGAGCCACAGAGAGCCTGTACCCAATCACATTCTTGATAGCGACCTTGTATGACGCGTCAAGGGTAGCATCTGCCGCCTTTGCAAAGAGTTTGAGGGTGTTTGACTTCGTGACGATCTCGCTCCCGTTGTCGTCCTCCATATCGCTCTCTAGATGCCAGATGAAATCCCCGATCACCACGTCCACAATGGTTGGCTTGATTTCAAACTTCATGGAGTTGCTCTACTTCTCGAAATAAAACCCAATCATGCGCTTTTGTTGCTCATAAAATCACACTTTTGTTCAGGCGACATTGACTGATATTACTCCCAGATTGCGGAATGCTGATGCTTAATATACAACTCTTTTCGAAAAGGAAAATTAAAATAGGTTTGGGCCGCTTTCTTGCCCCGATGGCGGCAAGAAACGACATTTTTTCTTGCCTTTATCCACAACGGCATCGTTTCACCTGGATCGCCATGTCGTCTTCGCTCGATGACGAAACATCGTGATAATCTTCTCTGCCAGATAGAACTGCTCTGCTTTCTCTGGCACCTCTATGATCCAGTCTCCAGTGTTGTGTCCGCGGTTGAATGTCACGGACACGACACTGGAGATAGGATCTCGCCGCACGACTTTGAACGCGAACTCATTGCAATGTTTAGCTTTGAACGGCGTCTTTCGTTTGGAACTCATCAAAGCTGTAGCAAAAGGCAAACAAGAATTTGCGAGCAAGAGCGATGAAAAGCAGATTGGGAAAGTGCTGTAATTACGCAACGTAAGATCTCGAGGGACTCAAGAAACACTCGATAAAAAGTGGCGTCCGGGTAGAGTCAAGAAGTGGCAAAGATGGCGTTTAAAAGTAGAATGTCACGTTTTATGAGTCTAGGTACAACCTTTTCATTCATAATTACATCAAACATTGATATGAGATAGTCAACTGATTTTGATCATGAAGGTCAACAAATTTTATCTTTTAAAAATTATTAAAATATTCATATGAATCAAAGCAAATTATTCATCAGTGAAATCCAAATTATTATTCCCACAATATTTTTATAGCTATGGACAAGTTAAGCATGTGCATATCAAATATAGATGAGGTGTATTAAAAAGCTATGATGTGAATTTTCATTTATTTCAAAAGCTTATGTTTTTTATAACAAAAAAAAAAATATGAAAAATTGTTCTACTCATATCATGCTTTGTTGACGTTGATTATGAGCAAGACATGGATTATTGTAAAAGTATAATTAAATATTTGTTTACATTTGGAGTCGAATGCATTAGTTGGATATTTTTACAACCTTAAATGTATAATTTAGTCAACGAAATAATAAGTGAATAAGATAATATAATACATTAGCAGATTGAGCAAAGTAGAATAATTTTTTAATGAAAATAAATATCATTTGTAATTATTCATTGCAATAGTCAAAATATAAAACATCATGAATCTAAGTGCAGATTGGAACAAAATGATAATAAATATTAAATTTAAATAGATGCATTTTTTATATGAAGATTGAACTAGTTAAACTAAAAATAAATTCAATAGAGTTAATAGGTTGATTAAATTTTTTTATTTTTTTCAATAAAAATTGAGATATTGTGCTAGTATGCAGATTTGCATAACAAACATTAGTAAAATTTATAAGCAAATTTATGATTTCTACTTATGAATTTTACTTTTATGAAATTTTTGTCTACATATTGGTTTGAAATATCCTTGATTTTAATAATGATCTACGTAAAAAAGCTTAGAGAATATTTATTATTGGGTTACTAATAACCAATAGATTAATGAAAGTGAGGATTGATAAAATTTAACTTGGGCTTTGTGCACTCATATTCATCTAACTTTAGTAAGGTGAACTATAGCTAGCTTGTTATTATATCACAGAGTTGTTCTTCAATCTTAATTACACAAATTGATGACTTTAATAGATCATAAGTAATGTTTTTGTGAAAATAGATTTAGCAAAGTAGAAGCACATACACGTTGTGTGTCAATTCTTGATGTGTAAGCATTTCGTCGTCAAAAGTCAATTATTGAGATTTGCAATTTTTAGTGAATATTTTAACAATTCGCACATCACTATAATTGCATTTCAAACATCATACATGATTTTTTTATTGACATTGTGTATCATATTTCAAAATCAATATGTTTTGACCTCTACTAACTAAATATCATTGAAATTTTGATATATGATGTAAAATAATATAAATCACATCCTTTTGAATTAAACTGCAATTCAAAAAAAAAATTAGATCATAGAATTTTACTCTTGAAGTTTATAAGATTATTTTAAAAAATATATATACGATTTACATATATTCATACTATAATAAAACAAAATAGGCTTAAAATATTTTTGATACTTGTTCTTACAAAAATTTCAATAAAAAGTTGAATTGGAGTTGGATAAAAGAGTTTAAAATTATCCTTTGAAAAGATATTCAATTGAAAATTTCAATAAAATATACCTGATTGAATAATCAAATATATTATCCATAAGAAATAATAATTATTAATCAATTCAATTATAACGTACAAAATACATTTAATTTTGACAAAAACAACTTGGTTATCAAAACCTTTCTATATTTGCTTTGAAATTATTTTCTGGGTTCATTACATTCTTAATTCATTTTGATACTTCCCACCAACATCTGAATCACATCTACACTGGTGTCAAAGGTTGTTTCAAACACTAATGGTATATCGATAGGTGAATTTTTTTTGAAATTTTCTTTTTCTCGAATAGATTGTGATTGTTTATCGTAGTGTAACACATTGTGTAGGGCGATCTATTCTTATCACTACACCATTGGTTATGCATACCTTACCATCAGACAGATTTGATATAGGTCTATCAACTCGAAACATTTATCAACCCTCGTTTAATCCTGCACCAAACCAGGATTGGCAACGGCTCTACTGACTTCCTTTCGAAGTCGTAAGATGATACAAATGTGACGTATGTTTGAAGAAGATTACGACATAGACTTTTGATGGTGGAGTCTGACGAGTGTTGGACATATGAATCTGTACTAGTATATGGCAAGTAGTTGTTGGCAACCCTGCAGTAACTCTCTTTAAAGATACTCAGTTACTTGCACTTATTCGCACAAACAGCAGGAGAGTCTATGACAGTCAGATACAAGAGGCCCCGCCTGCTTTCAGGAACATTAAGGAAGCCCTCATTTGGAGCACATTAAAGATCGTGTGCACGTAAATACAGGCATTCTTACAAACAATGTGAGAACTGCAACCATCCAGTACATGACATCCTAGCCTGAGTCAAAACACTTTGCGTCAAAGAGTTCAGACTTGCCGTTACTCCTTACTGATGCTCACCACCCACCATTAGTTTCTCCTCCGTGGGCTAGTTACCTGGAGTGTTTAGCCTTCAAAACCAACATGTTTTGGGAGATATTGCCTTATTTTAGAAGGTAATGTTCATTATTCTTGAGCACGGTAGTTCTCTTCGTCACGCTACTGTTGCTTCAGCTTGTGCATGCTTTGCTGCATTTCGCGCTGTCTTTCCGGTACAACGTGGACTCCTGGTCCAACCTCATGTCTTTACTCAAAGATCGGCTAGTGACTCACTGGTCTGGGTTTCTGGAAATTCCGTGTCTTCCACAAATCAGTTCAATGGAATGTATAAAACTTGGCTGCCAATGTGTTAAGTTCAAAAGAGACCTGTCAGCTTTGATTCCAGATATGTGGCCTATCTTCTCGTGTTAAAAGGGAAGCAATGTGTGCTCTGCGTGGATCGGAAGGATTGAAGCTTTAGGAAAATTTTGTATGTTCAAAATGACTAATTCTACACAAATTGATCTAGAATTTACAAATATTACATTGGGTCTATCTACGCCCCAAATATTTCTCCTCAAAAGAGCACCATATTCTGCAGTAGACTACGGTGTACTACGCCGGACAGCGAGGCGTGCTTCGCGGCAATCCTTGCTGGCTTGAGCCGGGATGTATACTGGACCTAATTGTGGATACAAAGTATCAGATCAGTATACAAAATTTGAGCCTATGCGCTCGCTGCTTCGGCAGATGGCGGGATTTGGTTGTCGGCCTCGGCTGCCACCTGCGCACATCTCTCTTCGGGTGTGATGCCCCACTTTCCATGAATCCATTTTTCAACCTCGATCAAATCGGGGAAGACAGTTGCGCCGTTTTCTTTCCACGTCTTGGATTCAACTGTTTTGAAGCGGTCCAGAAGAACGGCGTGCATTCCAAGGCTCTTAGCTGGTAAATAATCCTTCTTGTAGCTGTCTCCGACGTGTAACACTTCGTCAGGGTTCTGCACACCTGCTCTCTCCATGGCAAGTTCGTAAATTCTAGGATCTGGTTTCTCCACTCCATCAATTCCAGAAAAGACCCCAAAGTCCCACTCTGATCCCTGTCAGAAGCAATCACACCACAAGTTCAGAAGATACGAACGCTCAATTCTTAACGGCAGATTGGGGGCCCAAAGAACTGGAGAAAAAAAATCCTAGAGCTTGGCTTGAACCACGTACGACTAGAACTGGCTAGACGGATCTGGATACAAAAGCGAAGAAAGATGTACCTGATTCAGGCCCAGGGTAGGCAGGATTACATCTCGATAACGGTGCTCGGCGTTGCTCACGACCCCGACAACGATGCCCTGCTTTCGAATCCACTGCAGAAATGGCTTGGCATCCGGAAGCAGAGTGTAGGGTGTGGCCGAGCCAAAAGTTCGGTAGATACGCATGAAGATTTTTTCCAATGTCTTGTTGTCGTACTCATAACCGGCCTGGACAGAGCAATACAAAGCTCATTAAACTTCTATTGTCGGATGACCATGAGCCACTGCACAAAATCTGTCAGCTCACCTAACGGATCCGGAGCTGCCGACCTCGGCTAGACTACTGTTAATATTTCCAAATTTTGCACAAGAAAACTAGGGACATGACGAGTAGACCGGGGCCTTCTGTCTCAGATGAAGCTCATGTGTTTCAGGCCCCAGACTATTGTCTCAGGTTACACCCAAAAATTTGACCATCAAAAGCAGGCCAAATGCGATAAAGAATCAGTGCAAACGACTCGATTAACCGTCTCAGCTATCAAGCAAAACAACCAAGAATATCTGTGATAGAAGATACATGCGAACCTTCAAGAACGAATTGTGTACAACGGTTCGCCACCACTCTATGTTGGGCATGTTGGCTGCGTTTCCGAAGCAAGGATGCGTTTGAGCCATCTCCTTGTAAGCGACCTTGAAACCCTCATGCATCCGATCGTAGTCAGGGCACGGCAAACCGACTCTCTTGGCCGCCAAACAGTAGTAATCGCCGAGACTACCCTTGTAGGCGATTAGCGTCCCTGTCACGTCTACCGTCACACACTTCAAATTAGAAAGAGTTTGCTGCGCAATTGGACCGGCCAGTTTTGCGATTGTCGGCTTCATGGCTCCTCACAAACTTCTGCACCCGATGCTTCTCGCCGAGAAGATCGAAAGATCGATCGATCGCTCACTCGCTCACGCCCACCCCTCGTCCTCACTCCCCGTCGTCGCCTCGATTGTCGGCAAGGATAAAGCCCGAATGTCAGCAGCTATGCCTACTTCAGTTTCACTCCGGCTCCTTGAGCCGTCCCGCCCAATTCGACCTGCTCGAAGCTCGTTCTCAAGGGGGGATCCAGGCTGGCCGTCGAGCCATATATACTCCGCGCTGCACTGATCGCGAAATCAGCCCGTCGACCACCGGTCCGCTCCGCGGCTGACGGTGCGAATGTTGCGCAGACACAAACTCTTTCTTAATGTTTCGCGGAATCTGAGAAGTCGCAGCTGCGGCTCGAGCAATGCTGAGTCAACATATCGCGATCCGCGCTTTCACTCATCGCGCTCGCCACTCTGCTCGTACGTGTACATCGCGGCCGGCTGCTACCATCGGCGACGATAGTTCGATGCCGCATGGAATCAAGCGAGAGCGAGGGAGATGTGGTGTGAGTCCTCGATCTTCGCTGCCCAGGCCCCGGGCCGCAGTCTGAGCCAGCGTTCGGAGCAAGCAACACGATTCTCGTGAACGACGTCCACCCGACCCAACCACGTACCCTCCTCCTCGCTCACGAACTTTCGGTGCCTCTTATCGCCTGGCCCCGTTCGGCTGAGCGTGGTTGCCTTTCTGTGCCGCCATGGTCAGCCGCTGTTTCTTGATCCGTCTTATCGACATGGAATCGAGGTCGGCCGGTCGGTCGGTCGGTCATGTGACTCGTGTTCCCTGTCTACTGTACACTGGCCCCGTAATCCGGTGATGTTCGTCATCTGTCGGGAGTTGAGTTGAATCTTGCTCGTACCATAGTCGCGGTCGCCGAACAACCACGCTGATTCCATAGATTAGTGCGCACCATATTCATCCCTTTCGACGTGACACTTTTTGGATCAGAACACTTGATTAGTCTGAACCACTTCAGTCTACACTAATCAGATTTTAATCAAGACACACCAGGTAGTTTTCTAGACTTTGCTTGACAGTACTTTGTGAAGATTTCAAGACTTAAATATTACTCTTGTTACTAAAATATTGATGCACTTGTTTTAATTATGAGCTTGGTACTGCTATATACCACCATCAATATACAATAAGATTAATATTTTCCCTATTTTACCATATTCTAACTTTGAGTTTTTAATTGGAAGACTTATGCTTCATATGTAACATCTAGTAATCTTGTATGAAAATATCATCACAACAATGATAATATTTCAATGCTTTGATATTTCTATGGCTAAAGTATTGAGAGGAAAAGATTTAAACAAATCTGCAGCACTACAAGTTAAAAAGTTTTATATAAAAACTTAAAATGACAATATTGTTAGAAAATTTATCTTTTTTTCTCTAGATTAGGTAAATGTATTTTTAATTTTAAAAATTAAAATACATGAATATTTTCAACCGAGGAAGATTTGATTTCCAAAAACTACATCAAGTATTTTATGTATCATAGATGAAAAAAAAATTCACCAACTAACTCAAGATACGAAATTATTCAAGATTGAGTAGAGTAGATGATAGTGAAATATATATAGTGTCATGTCAACAATCCGTGTGCAAGGTAGTGTGTAAATCGAAAATGACTTGACATCAATCTGTGTGCTTGTTAGTGTGTTAGTTGAAAGCAATACATCATCATATTGTGTTCTTGTTAGATAAGAATAGTTGAGAGCAACACGTCAACAATCCGTGTGCTCATTAGATATATCTGTCTTATCACTAATCCATTAAGAGCAGATGGTATGCTGGAAAAATATAATTTTTTTTTGTATGTGTTTGGAAAATCCATATAAGAAAGAATAAAATCATTCAAGGTATCAAAATCAAAGATCAAATAAATCATTTGATATTGTTACTCTATGCTGCCTAATCACTCAGAGGCAAATTTTGTTGAAATGATCAAAATCAAAATTAAAGATTAAATACGTCATTTGATATTGTTACTCTATGTTGCCTAATCATTCAAAGCTAACTTTTATTGAATTGATAAAACTAATATCAAAGATCAAATACATCATTTGAGATTATTATTCTATGATGTCTCATGTGATTGTACATGGATTGTGAAAGTAAACATGTTCAAACATCAATGAAAACTTTGATGTGCAAAGTGCACCAAGAAAATTCATTGTTCAACAACTTGTAATATGGGCTGCTTTGCAATACAAAGAGTTGGAATCTATTAACTATCTAAAGTTGCTAACAAATTATTTTCACTTTTTATTGAAGCAAATTGCAAAGACGGTGGACAAGACGGTGGAAATAAAAATAAAAATAGATTAAACACAATGTTGAAACTAAGATTTAATGAAAAAGACATTAGTGTTAAAAAATCAAAATAATTTTGGATACAAATAAAACATGTCATAGCACCGAGTGCATCAATTGTGCGAAAAGCATTTGCATAACTTAAAAGTTGAAGAACAATGTCAACTAGCAATAGGAAAAAATACATTAACAACAACTAACATATTAATCAAGCTTAGTGACTATACACTAAAAAAATATTGGGTATTGTTGATCAATATCATGGTGCAAAGAGTATAAAAACACTATGATAAATTATCTTTAAAAAAACACAATATGAAAAAATGATCGGACATCTACTTTATTGTCATTTCCATTGCGATGTGATGCAATTGATGTTGACACAAACTTATCGGCTGACCGCGTGTCAAATTTGAACCCAAGAGGGTGCGCGTTTGATCGACGCGTCGATGACACATAAAGCATGTCACGACGATAATTATATGTTATCAACGTGAAGACAAACGGTCAAAGTGTAGCTAGCCTGCAATCTTGTTTGATAAGATTTATTGTGTTAGTTGGAAGCGACACGTCAACAATCCGTGTGCTCATTTGCTATCTCTGTTCATATCATCAATCAAGATGTATTGGATGAAGAAGAGAAAAAATTATCTTTGTGTATGGGTTTCAAAGATTTGTATAAGTCAGAAAAAATATCATTCTAGATATCTCTAATCTTCAATTTTTATGTTTTATTTTTGAATGAGCTTTAATCTTAAATCATAGTGTTACAATGATGCAAACATTGATGAGTTGAAGAAAGTTCAAAATTCTTTATCAAGTGTGTTTGATTTATGTATATATATAAAAATAGTAAATGATAAAACAATATTAGTTCAAAATTTAGTATGTTATGAACTACATGCTTACTTTATTCAAATAACAATATGAAATTGACAAATGCAATCTGACAATAAAGATTTGGATCACTTTAAGACAATAGTATATTTGAATGTTTACATAAGTTTGAATGATAAGCATTTGATGTGTGTTTGATAAATTTAAAGTAAATTTCAACAATAAGGCTTATATTTGATGTGTGTTTGACAAATTTAACTTTTCAAAACTTGAAGTAGTTGAACCTATTTAGAAACACATAACATTTTTTTTTGCAGTTGAATAAAAGTATATTCAAAACTATAGAAAAAAATATGTCATATGTTTTTATGAAAATTAAAACAAAAATGATTGTTTATTTAATAATTCATATTAAATTTATGAGTTCTCTAATTTATTATTCAAATTTTTAATAAAAACATGTCAAAATTAAAATATATGAAAAAAATGAAATAAAATGAAATATTTAAAAATCATTAATAAATTATATTATTTTAATTTTTTTTGATGATAAATCAATCAATTCAATTTTTTTTAAAATTTTTGCAAGAACATATATCTAAATAAAACAAGCATAAATAATTGTGTACTGATTAAAGATGAAAAAATAAATTTATTATTCAAATAAAATTAAAGAAAATTTTTCACATGCAATGTGTAATATTTGATATAATTCATATATAATTAAAATACAATTAATTTATTATTACAGTACAACTAAGCAAAATATTATTAAAATGAAATTAATTTTATTAAATAGATTTAAATGAAATTGAACAAAATTTTGTTAGAAAAAGCAAAGTAGATTAGTTTTGTTGTATTGAATTGTGTAGCAATCTTGCATATAAGTATTCTTCTAGTTTGCAGCTAAGTTTGGTTAAATGCGCTCTAGAGCAGACCACTCCAATTTTGTTATCACAGAGATGTAATATTTCCTTCTAAACCCGATAGAAACCTCATACACTTTCGTAAGTTGTACCTTCCAGATGTTACACTAATACGGATTGCTACGGATCTGAATGACTGAACCTTCTCGCCACAGTTTTAAAGAAGTGGGTGGAACTACTGAGAGGTTCATTTAGAGTGTTGGTTTCACCATGAACTAGGATATATTAAGTGATCGGACCTTCACTGCCCTGTGACTTTAAGTGACTGGACACCCACTATCTCCTAACCTGTTAGTAGTAACTCCTGTTAACTCATAATGTGAGAGTAGGTCATGCGCAATTGTAATTTGACAATTGCGCCTGACTTACTCTCACATTGCCCAAGTGGTATTCCGATCCGAACGCGATCACACAGAGACAGTTCGGACTACAACGACATTCTGGCTAAGTTGTTCTTAATCTACTAAGTGTATCTGAAGTAATCTTTCCGAGATTACCTTCTAGACCTACTCACAAGCTTTTGTCACTTCAATGGGGGAATTTTGACCTGAGCTCAGAATTTGGAACACAACAAACCGTGCCTTAGAGACCACCAAGAACACCTTGCAATGCGTCTCCTCCCCTCCATGCTACTTTGGACTCCGAATCGAACCAGGCTTTTTCGCCTGCATCCGCCTCCGATAGCTCCGACGATCTCCAACTACATGTCCCAACCGGCTCTTTTTTTGGAATTATCTACAAGAGAATAAACAAAGTAAAAGAAATACAACATTCAACCACAATGGACCTTGCCGCTAGACTCATGACTTGCATCATGTCACAAGAAACACTTTTCTTTACTGGTTGGAAAGTACACACTCCACATGAAAAACAAGATACTAAATTACTAAACCGCTTGGCTCTAAATACTAATTTTCTACCTAACCTTAATCAAAAGACCTCGGTGGGAAATTTTGGAGATCTCGGACCCGAGCTAGTGATTTTTCAGATCGAGATTCCAAAATTCCGGATCTGAGTTTACGGTACCTCTAGACACTTACTTCCGGATACTTCCGGACTAATTGTCTGACAAAATCCTAGTTCTACCTAACCTTAATCAATAGCCGTGTGCAACATTGGACCCCATCGTTAATCGCTTACTGGATTAAGGCACACAAAAACATCATAATCATTAAGCTGAATTGAACCTATATAAGTTCCACTAAGTTTATTGAGACGATGACTCTAGTGCTACGGTGATTTGTTCACTAGGCTGACCAGAAAAGTCACCTTTGGTACTCTTCCGGTAGCTCGCTTAGACTTCTTCCCCAAGATGTCATCATTCTGGCTACTTCCGCCAGAGCCTTAATATTAATAAGTACCGTCCTGTAGCCGCTATTTGAGTTCAAGTAACTCCGCGGAACACCTTACTACTTATTATATTGTACTAATCTAATTCTAGCATAATGCTACATAGCCTAGTACCAGTGGCGGAGCTTTAGTGGATCAGGGGAAGGCACGTTTCCTCCAAGTAAACCCTACCCCTGAAA